GGGTATATAGTAATCGTTAATTCCGTCCGTCCGTCCGTCTGTGTCCGTCCGTCTGTTACGCTTTAGGGTACCTATCTCTTATCCGCAACTCCTCTCATACCACTGAATGAAATTTGATGAAACTTTCACAGAATCTTTATTACATATTGCACTTGTACATCTCCTATTTTACTTTTTGATCTGACACATATTTTGGGTTTCCCGGCCATGGCAAATCATGGACTTTGTCATCAGTTATAACCATATGGGAGGCGGGGGGTATCATTTAGTGAGCTCATTGCTCACAGTACCTCTAGTTTTGATCTGTGGTTTTTGTAAATATAGAGATAGTTCGCGAACTTTTTGATCACCCCTCGTATAGTGAGCTTGAAATTAAAAAAAATGTAACATTTGTTTTATAATTGAATATTGTACTATGAAAAAACATTAATGGTAACCTAATAAGTTTTAAGATGAATATAATGACTTTAACTTTTCAATCACCAAATTCCCATACTTACCGTATACCGGGTTTTCTTAGCGGGTGTAAAAATTGGCGTTTTGCCTACTCAAAGGTATGCCAATAATTTTGGCGTAATTCATTTTAGCGGATGCAGGGTTTCAACTCTTTGCAGATGGACACTAAGAAGACTACTGACTATTTTAGCTATCAAAATTTTAGCGCACTATCATCAAAACGCCAAAATTAGCACCCCGTTAAAATAACCCGCTAAACGGTATGTAGCAATATACCCCAATTATCTGTCTATGGAGTTTATGTCTCTCAGTTGAATTAATACTCGAGGGTACGCTCAAAGTAAGAACAATAGCTATTGGCTGATTGATTGATTGACTGCATGTTGTTTAACGTCCCTCTCGAGAAATTTTCACTCATATGGAGATGCCACCACTTCCCGGTGGAGAGCTACAAATTCTGTCCGATACTCGGCACTTAGGGCCATTGGGCAGTGACGGATCTTTTTCGTGCCCACACCTTCTGCGACACTGGACCTCAGTTTATACGTTTCCGGTCCGGTAAGGACCGGTCTCCACATCCCACAGTGGGATTGACTCCTTACTTCGCGACTTTAGAGCAGACGCTCTACCACTGCGCCAGGCGGTCAAAGTTGATGAAACAGAAATAGTCTCGCTTAAAGGTCATCATTTCGCAAGTTCTATTGTCGATAAAATGACCTTGTCAGCAAATACAATAGAATCATTAAGACAATATTGACTGACGTTTTTTTTTTTTTTCAAACTAATTGGTACACTAAATTGTCTTCTGATTTTCCCGTTATTTTCTGATCTTGCCCAAGAGCACACGGCAAGTTCGACAGGTCGGCATGGAAAGCTCACTCCGTCATGGCACCTGATCCCACCTCTAATGTTTTAGAGATCCGTGTTTCCTCTTGATTTGTATTGTTTGAATGAATAATATTCGTTATCTTCATATATCATTTCAATGTTTGTAAAAAAAAATTTAATGGTTCATGATGGCACTTTACGACTTTAAAACCAGGTATGTTCTCTAAACCATTAATGCAAAATTTATGCTGAGATATAATTCTACATATTTTTCCAAATGGCATTTTACTTGAAGATAATTTAAATTTCAAGACTAAATCAGTGTATTTTTTCTTTTCTAAATGGAGGGAAATAGATTAAACGTCATTTTGTTATTAATGTACATGTAATTTCCAATAAAAATTCTGAAAAAAAATCTAATTAAATGAAGGCATTTTTTTTTAACGATATCCAAGAATGATATTGTAGTCTCAGTAGTTTTTATTTTGCTCCCATCATAAATGAATATACATTTATTCCGTCAAAAAATATTGAAGCGAAACAAAATGCTAACTTGATCTATTAATTCATCATGGTAGACTCACATACCATAAATCATCTCAATCCTTTAAAAAGGCGCAAAAACCCTTAGAAATTATAATTGCTTTAATTTAATTTAATTTAAAGATAGATACATATGGTTTAATTAAACATATCTGTAATTTTTTAGGTTAAGACTAATTGATTTGAAGATAGGTGTAATTGATTTAAAAGATAAGTAAAATTAATATTTGAATTAATCTTAATTTGGCATTCTATAGTTATTCCATCAAAAATCATCAAGCAAAACAAAATACATTTTGATTTTTCGATCATCACGATATACTTACTTACCAAAAATCAACCCAATACAATACACATGTACCTTCAAGAGCTTTTTATGAAAAAAAAATGGGGAAAATCAAGCGGGACAGACTTGTAGTCTCCTAGTCACCGGTAGGGGACTAATAAGATTATCGATCATATGCACAATAGAACTACAGAACCCTGGGTCCTGGAGTTGTACTATTTAAAGCGTGCAACTTGGTATTGTAAGAACAGAGCAAAAACTCGTTTTCCAAACTTTTGTCTATTGACGACGCAGCAACCGTCCTTCCGGCACAAAGGCGCGAGACACTGCACACTCCGGACGCCACTTTTTCTAAAGCTTTATATTTTACGTTCCACTGCAAACGATATCGGGCTGGAAAAGCAATTCCGGATTCACAACAAACTCGTCCATCATAATTATGTGACACGCCGTTCATACACAAATGGGGGAAGACGGTAGTGAAATGCCATTTTGTAGAATTCATTAAATGTGACACTAGACAGATACATCAATCTCTTTGTAAAGAGTTATTTGACAACATTTCACAGCAATGTCGCCATGACAGTCAACTGCACTCACCTGTAGATCTGGGACAATGTTGTCGATGCTGCATGATAGCATTTTGCACATTTCCAGACCTCCCATATCTTAATTCCAGTTTTCCTACTGAGTCAACAAATCGGGTATATGCCACGAAACATACTACGTACTTCATACTGGAGACCAGACTATGCTCATTGACCTTTGAAACCGATAATTTTTCTTTTTTTCTGTCAGGGTTATACTATAATAGTAGAATTTATTTCTGAAAAGTTCGGTCGCAAATTTTAATTATTCAAAATGTACTTGTTTAAAATTAATTGCTAACTTACTTTTTCATTCGTTTAAAAAACTAAATTAAATTGTAATAGTTTTACACTTTTAAGAAATCATTTGTAAAAATTATTCATGAAAACCTTTAAAGCAAGCATGTAATTTATCAAAAATGAATATCTGTTGAGGTCATCTTCGCTTTTTATTTTGTTCAAACAATATCATAATTTGAAATGACAAAAGAAAACCCTGGTACAGTGATGTTTCTAAACATGTATTTAAGTTATTTAGATTCTTTTATTATTTTAATTCAATTTTATAACCTTTCTTCTCTAAACTTCCTTTTAGTTTGTGTATTGAAATACGATAAATATTAGGTATAGACAAGTACAGGGTGTATCTACTACAATCTAGCTCCTGCATTGCAAGAAATATAACTCTTTGAGGATGACAAAAATCTAGAGCAGGTGTATGTTTGAAGCTTCCAGAAATGGATATTCCAAGAAATAACTTATGACCTTTATTCACTGTGTGCACTAGATGGTAATGGCTACACCTTAAGTCCACTGCTCTCTTTTGGTACACGTGAACGAACATCTGTCGAGAGAGTAAAATGGTCAAATGCAAACTTACTTACAACTTTTCAATATTATACACAACCATTCCCCACGAAATCGTTAAATCTATGAAATAAATTCGCTAAACATTGCATCCAAAATTTAACGCGAGATTGATTGGTCAATGGTGCTTTTCTATAAAAGTTCAGGCTTTTTAATATCACTGACAGCTGCTTTCTCAAGAAAAGTGGAAGTGGTAAATTCACTTACCTTGTCATTGGTCATTTGCAAAATTATTTGTTAAAAAACATTCTGCATTCTGATTGTACACACAAGTACTCTGAAGTTGACATCAGCACAGGTCCTCTAACAATCTATTGGAATTCCCATGGGTACCAATTGCGCCCCGTTATCAACAGACATATTTTTGTATTTATTTGTAGCAGAAATTGTCCAAAATCTTAAGCGTTAAAAGAAGAAAACACTTGCTGAGGCATTCAACTCGACATTTAGATATATCGACGACGTATTGTCAATTCACAATGGTAATTTCCATTTTTATGTCGTCGATACATGTACAATATACCGTATTCTAGTGAGCTTGAGATGAAAGATACCACAGAGTCTGACACATCTGTTTCATATTTGGAATTTTACTTGAAAAAGATCTTAAGGACAGATGATACAAACAAATTATTTCTTTGAAAAAGATTTAATATCATGTCACAAGTTTAGAAAAGTGGATGGCTCTTAGATATTTTTCTCCTAAGAACTGGAATATGAAAAATCACTCGGAAAATATTAGTAATATTTCAATGAAAAAATAAATATAGACAAATCACATTCAGTAAAGGTTTACAGGTGAAAACAAATTTCAGAATATGTTACCATGGTGCTAAAAGTGTAATATACAGTAACCTTTAAAAAATTATACCAAGCCAGGTGAATTTTATTAGGAAAAGCTAAATGGTAAAAATCAGCCTGTGTGATATTGCTAATGTTTTGTCATTTTGATCTTCCTCTTAAAATTCACCTGGCTTGGTATATATTTCTAAAGTTATATTTGTTTTTTCATTGAAATATTACTAATATTTTCCAAGTCTTTTGATACTAGTGATATATAAATTTTCTGTTACAAAGTTGGATGGTATAATTCAACGCTATACCTTACACATACAAAAATTCTTCCCTCTATGGGTGTATTACATCCCAGTGTGTATATTCCATAAAATTTTCCCTAGCATTTATTGCTTCATTGGAGGGGTGGCACTTTACCACATACTATCTGCCTTTCATACATGTATTCCTTTGAAAATCACGACATTTATCAAATATTCATAAATGTGTACATATTAATGTTTAAAAGCTAAATGGTTAATATTCGGTTGCATATCTGGAATACAGATATATATTCCTGCGTCTTAAAATAAAAATGTAAGATGTAAATGAGTAATATAATTTATTATATCTATGTAAGCATATTCAATTTATCGTTTTTAAAAGTGCATTGATTGCTTTAAAATAAATATTAAATTACGGATACCCTTTTGTATAAGGTAAGACATTCTGGAATTGGTAAAACAAGAAAGGTAAGGAGAAACTAGTCATTTGTAATAAACAACCAAAATTATTTTTGATATTATAATCTCACAATCAGATGTTGATTTAAGTCTGTTACAATTCTTGATCCAGTGACCCTTACCCTTTCTTCCCAGCTTCGTGCAATTTAGGCTATGCAAAATGTGCATTCAAAAAAGTCACACCGAGGGTTCATTCCACAAGATTGATAACACTTATCAAAGCATTGTGAATAATAAAAAATGACTAGATAAATAAGCAAATGACACAGAAAATAACAATTTCACTTAAGTTCAATACAACTCGCAAATATTTATATTTCATCGTAGTTTATTTTTGAGGATGAAAAGCATGGACAACAAGAATCTAACAGATTTGTTGAAGTTCGCTTCTTCTTCTTCGTTTTCATAGTGAAGTCTTGATTTTTCCAGTCGTATATTTGTAGAAGGGAAACCCGAGTTCCTCGTAAAGCTACAACCAGAGAGTTTTCTACAATTATGACGTTCGTTGGTTTGACGTCAACGCCAAATTCGTAAGTGTTTTCCACAGGTGTCGAAAGGTATTCTCCTTCCGGTGAAAAAACTTGAACTCGAAAGTTGTTCGCATCTGCAACATAAATGTTATCGTATTTATCAACGAACACACCTTGCGGGTAAAAGAATTCACCATTCTGAGAGCCTTGTTTGCCGAAAATATGAAGAATAGTGCCATCGTTTTTGTGAATTTTCACTCGATGGTTTCCACTATCAGAAACCACAATGTCGTCGCGACTATTGACAGCAACGTAGTATGGCACCATGAAATGGTTTGGCCCACTCCCTCTAGAGCCGAACTTCGTCGAAGGTTTTTTCCGCTCTGTGAAGATGTGAATGTTGCTGTTTTGTAAACTTGAAATAATAACTTTTCCCATTCTCGAGACACAGATTCCAAAAGGGTTTTCAAACTTATAGAAAGAGCCGTGGGAGGCAATTACATTGCCCGCGTGTCCATATTCTCTCATGATAGCTGAACCTGCGCGGCTAACCGTCAGCAAAATAGACCCTTGAGCAGTGACTGCAATATCCCGGATTGAGCAATCACAGACAAACCCTCCAAGGTAATCCCCGGATTTGGAGTACATCAAAACTTTGTTGAGACTGCAATCAGCTACTAAAATTTCTCCTGTTAGAGGAGAGAACGCCATACCCGAAACATGAACCAAGCCATCTTGGTCTAAACCAAAATGGCCGAACGTTTTCAGCAGTCTTGTAGACCTAGGTTTGGTAAACCTCACAGAGTATTTGTCAGGGTGTAATAAAGGAATAGATGTGTGTTCATTCTGTGGGAGGTTGTTATCAAAACTTCCAGATTCTACATATTCACTGGAATGTTGCACAGTATCTTGTAAACTGATAATAAAGTGGTTGTCGGGAAATCCATACACTCCATTTGGAGGGATGTATACAAGCTAAAACAGTAAACAAAAAAATCAATTACACAACTTCCGCATAGGTAGATATTGATATTCCGTACAGGTATATATTGGCTAAATGCTTTGACTAATGAACACCACACCATAAATGAATAACCCTGAAATTTACAGTAAAATTACATAATTTCAGTGCTTATATATGAAACATATGGAGATAACGAACAGTATTCAAGATCAAAGATCCATAAAATAATACAAAATATGAGCAGAGCAAACACGGACCTCCAAAACATCAGAGGTGGGATCAGGTGCCATAGAAGAGTGAGCATTCCCTGCCATGCTCCTTGTCATGATCGGGAAATAACGGAAAAATCCGTCGTCAATTCAGTGTATAAATAATGGACTAACAATTAGTATGGAAAACGTCAGTCAGCAACTCAATGATAAATTGTACTTGCTGACAAGTTCATTGTGTCTACCATAGAACTTATGAAATAACTTTAAACGAGATTGCTGATATTCTTGTTTCATCAACTTGTTTGTCAGTAATTTATTTACCTCGTTTTAGAAATTGTTCATACGTAGAGCATTCTCTTCCATATTGAATCAACTGAGATATATAAACTCCGTATGAAGGTGTCAGATGAAGGTATGTTGCTGCATAAGTTAGGGAAGTTGACGATTGAAAACTTAAAGTTATACCATTTATCATAGAACTTGGTTGTTAGATTACCATTAACGTCTTTTTCAAGTAAAATATCCAAATATGAAACAACTCTGTGGTATTTTTTTTTATCTCAAGCTCACCAGGATATATCGTATCGACATAAGAATGGGAATTACCATTGTTAATTAACAATATGTCGTCGATATATACATGTATAATTGGACAAACTCCCCTTCATATGAATACAAAAATAGGTCTGCTAATAACAGGGCACAATTGGTACCCACAGGTATTCCAATAGATTGCTGGAAGACCTGGTCTCCAAAACAACATAGATAATTGTCAATCAGAAACCTCAAACATCTTTTTGATGTCAACTTCAGAGAACTTGTGTTTTAAATGGTACCTGATCCCACATCTGATGTTTTGAAGGTCCGTGTTTGCTCTGCTTCTGTTTTGTATTGTTTTATTGACTTGAATACTGTTCGTTATCTCCATATGTTTCATCAGAATGTTTTCAACAAAATAATTTTGCAAATGACAAATGACAAGGTAAGTAAATTTACGAGTTTCATTTTATTGAAAAAGCAGCTGTTAATGATATCAAAAAGCCTGACCTTTCATTTATCGTGTGGAATGGTTGTGTATGAAGTTGAAAAGTCGTAAGTTTTGAACACTGGGGAACAGTTCCTCATATTCTTATCACATGTATATTAAACCGTTTAAAAGTTGATAAAAGATTGTCTCTCCACTGCAATATAAAGGTATTTTCAGAATTTAAACAACATTGTTAGGAAATCATATATTATAATCCACCCCCCCCCCCCCCCCCAAAAAAATCTAAGAAAGGCGAAGGGTGGGGGTACACAGCGGCCTGTGTCAAATGGTTCTCCAGATATCTCGTCAATCTACAATCATGATTGTTTTCAAAGACATTTATTTTCTGATGTAGACAATATTTAATGTTTTCATAAAAGTTACAAGACATTTGTAAAACGTACAGTACCTGTCTGCAGATTGGACATGGGAAGCTTCCAACGGACTCGAATCTGCTGACGATATAGTCCCTCAAACAGTCTTCGCAGAAAGTGTGTAAACAAGGCAGCGCTTTTGGTTTCTTAAAATGTTCCATGCATATTGAACATGACAAAAGTGAAGTTTCTATCTGACCTGCAACTGATCTAGCCATTTTATTTACGCATTGTTGTGTTGATTTCCAGTGTGTACGATTTATAGTCACAGGCACATGATCAAGATAACTATATTTAGAAAGGTGCGTTTAGATGCATATTTCCGTTTTCGATTATGAATCGATATGAATAAACCTTAAAATATCAAAGATAATTTTTTTAGCTTTTAAACGAATGTATTGTGGGTATTTATAGTAATTACAGGGAAGAACATTTCAATAATACTGAAATAAATCATTAACATTATTCCCGGAAATGTATTAAGTTTTCATTTGAATATTAGTGCACGATTAAATCTGCGTCATCGAAACGTTTTGGACGTGGTGTTCCAAATTTCCTCTGTATTTTTTCTGATGTTCAGTAGAGTTGTCAATTTAAGGTATGTTTCCGCCATGACTGATCGCTGTATATTATGCTTGTTTCGTATTAAATTACACTAAGTCTGTGCCAGTTTTTTAGGTCACTGTGAGTAATTTAATAAAGTATTTTTTACGTTTAGATTGTTGGTAAAATATTTAGGATAAAATCGTCCTCTCTTTTTCAGAATGGCGTCTGCATCTGTTCTTCAGCGATTGAATCAACGTGCAAAACAGGCAGAGTCTATCATTACCGAACTAAAGCAGCAGATTGAAATTCTAAGACAGAATGCAGGTGAAAATATACTCTGAGTAGAAATTTTAAAAAATTAGTATTGATATAGAGATAGATTTAAGATTATGGAAATAAAAAAAAAGATCCATCATATCTATCATTAAGGCTCTCGAGCATCTTGTTCTAAAAACAGAACACTAAGATTAAAAACAATTAAGCCTACGTACACTGCGTAGATTCAAGTTGCTAAAGGCATGATGGCCCATGAGCCTCTTTTTTTCCCCTTGTTGTTTATAGATATCACTGTCATGTGAATAGAATTTTTACCAGTTCTTAAGACATGTGCCATGAGACAAACTTAATTAGGTTTGTAATTATTCTTTGAATATTTTTAAGCTGTCACTATATCAAAACCTGAGGAGGAGCGACTGAAAACTGAAAATCAGAAATTACGAACTGAAGTGGAGGAACTGAAATCTCAGCTGATATTGGCAGAGATAAAGAATGGAGGTACTAATTTCTACTGAGTGAAAAACTGTATAATCCAAATTCTTTTTATTCATGAATGTGAGGACATTGTTGTCACTTTGAATTTAAAGATTGAAATTCTTTAATGTTCATGCAACAGATACATAAGTTTGTAAACACATTCCTGAAAGACTGCAGTTGGATTTAAATATCATGGTATTTGAAACTTTTTTCAGTTAAACAAGTCCCTCTACCTACCAATAGAACTGTGATGAAAGCAGAGCCACCTAAAAAAGAGAGTCCACTTGAGCCAGAGGTCAAACAAGCACCTGTCAAAACCAGCAACAAAAAACCAGAGAAGTCAGACAAGAAAGAGAAGAAGCCTGCAAATGATGGAGGTAATACATGATCAAGAGAAGCCTTTATGCTGATTTAATACAATCAGTCTCAGTTAAATGCTTTACTTTCTTTTTATTATAGAATTATTTTTAAAAAAACGTGCATGTTATTAGTTCACTGTACATAAAAATTGTACAAGCTTCAATGTAAATGAGAACATTGTTTTTCAATTAAAGAACCAAAAGCTAAGAAAGGCAAGAATGAGCCTGCAGCTGAAGGGAAGATGGACGTCTCTCGCTTAGACTTCAGAGTGGGGCAGATTGTGGACGTTAAGAAGCACCCTGATGCAGACAGTCTTTATATAGAGGAAGTAGATGTTGGAGAGGGGAAGAACCGCACGGTGGTGTCAGGCCTTGTCAAACATATCCCTATAGAACAGGTAAAGACAAATCTACTTTTTTCATCGATTTATATTTTGAGATTCTGTTTCATTAGGGAATAACCTCATATTTAGAGAAAGAAGTATTATAAAGATTTGCAATAAGAAATTGTATCATTCTATGTTCTTGTAGATGCAGAATAAAGTGGCAGTATTTATGTGTAATTTAAAACCTGCCAAAATGAGAGGAGTTCTCTCTGAAGCTATGATCATGTGTGCTAGCACTCCAGAGAAGGTGGAGATTCTAAACATCCCTCCTGGTGCGGTCATTGGGGATAAGGTCACCTGTAAGGAGTATCCAGGTATGTGTAGACCCAATCCCTTAAGTGTTGGATTAAAGGATGAATTAGCTGTTGGACAAATTTTTTATTTGTATATGTTGATTTTTTTTTTAATTTAACAAAAATTATTACATTGTATTTATTGATCAAAGTTTGGTAATCTTTTTGGTAGTCCAAAATATTAATAGCTTTTGCTAGAAGTATTTCCTCAGAATATCACCTAAATCAAGATCTTAAACTGTTTAGCAAAAGACATCTTGTGTAATTCAGAAATTGTGTACCCCTTTCCTTATATCAGGAACACCAGATGCCCAACTTAACCCAAAGAAAAAAGTCTGGGAAACCCTAGCACCAGAACTGAGGGTGAACAAAGACAAGGTAGCCACTTTTAGAGGAGACCCCCTACAGATAGAGGGGAAGGGGGTACTAACTTCACCCACCCTAAAGGATGTACAGATTAAGTAAAAAAGTATTAATTAATAAATCAACCTGTATAATCAAGAAAATGTCTGTTGGCAAATGCTATTAATTGAAATGCAGACTTCTTTGGGTGATGGTGAATGAACTGTGAAGAATGAGAAGGACTTGCAGAATACAACCGAAAATAAAACATGAATTTGAATTCTGCTGGATATCTTGGGCCTTGGAAGCTGAATTCTAATAAAGTTGATATTTAATTATTACATTTGAGTTTTGAATATGTGTCCAGTTTATTGAAATTTTGAATTTTATATGGAACAATTTTATATACAGAAAAACAGTTTTATTGATACAGTGTCCATATCTATTGAACATTTTGCTTCTTGGCTGTTGAGAGTTCCTGCTTGCCAGATAAATAATGCTATTAACACTGTGTTATCAATTCAATTTTCGCTAATCGCTTTGACTGTTATGCTGCTATTGTAAGAATGACTTCCAGACAGGCCACATATTTTCCCTGGTAGTGGAGAGTGCCGGTAAGGTTATAGTCTCCTTTGGGAAATCCAAAAGATCCATACATGTTTATATTTGGAATGCTGTAATTTCCCTGAAATTGTATTATAAATTATCACCAATATTATTATTTATAAAAAAAAATGCTTCAAAAAATTCTTCAATACAAATCATTAACTGATCAAGATCTGAATGTCCTTAAAATGCGTTTATTGTAAGTTTGATCTTTGTATTAGTATTTATGTTTATACCTGTTTGAATGGGCATTGGCAGCCAAGCCCTGATTTCTGAATTGCATCCGGACACTCCGATGCCATGTCGAGTATTTCACACAAGTCGTCATAGTCACATGACCCGAAGTCTCCGAGACATGGTATTTTGACCCAAACACCCGCTGCCTTCTTATGAATTAGTAGGGATGCCTAGAACATTAACATGGAAAGTTAATTATAAAATCAGCTTTGGAAGCCAAAACAAAAACCATCGAACTCAATGCAGTTATATATGGGAGCCTATTTTGAAACCTGTAGCTGATTACATGTGCTCAAACAGACAAGTTCTTTCCATAATATAGAATCGGTTTATCATCAAGTGAAATGCTCTCACTGGAAATTAGTTTTTCTGACTTATACCTGTAAAGGTGACTTTAAGCCCTCTTTGATGTAGCCGATGCCAGACACGTTGAAATTTCCCGGTAATGCGAGAGGGTCGGGGACCACTTGGAGTTTGGTCAGTCCAGCAACACTTCCGCCACAGTTCTTAAAGCTGAACGCCTGCACTTTTAATGTCTTACCCTATATGTCATTATGAAGTACTAGCGATAAGTATCTTATATACCATCATCTCATTGCTAGATAAAATATTGCCATTATCAGGCTCATTTCGTTGAATTATTATTCATCATGGAACAGCTATTAACACCAGTCAGTACGTATTATCTCTTTTGAAAGAATACACTTACTACTTTGGAAAAATAAACAGTGCCTCTATATATTGCGATCAAATTTTAAGTTGTTTACGAAAAGAAGATCAAAGAGTAAATATTCCATTCTGACGTACTTACAATTTTCTTGAAATATTCTGCACTGCGATATCTTTCTGGTAGAACATCGTTGTTCAGAAAGTTAAGGAAAAGTTCTGTGTCGTCTTCAATGAGTTTTCTGAGGGAGGCGGAGCCCTGTATTGCTAGGGCTGCAACAAAGACTGCAGCAACACCAGCAACCCAACAAAAACGGTACATCTTGCAAACGAATTTACAACCTATTTAATTATCAAGTTTTGTAAGCTGCCTACTATCAGCTTGTCTGAACGATAAAGTTTCTATCTAGATAAACATTAAGAAAGAAAATACAGATGAAGTTTAGGGATGTTCATATGATATCAATCGTGGCTCTCTGTGCCCTATACAAAGAGTGTTGCAAGTCTTTTTTTAAACAAAAAAAGTTTGATTCTGTATGGGAATGCAAAATTATACGAGAAAGTATTCAAGTGAACTGTAATGGAACAGGTCGTGTTTGTGAAACACTGATGCCCCCGAATGACAGCTTTTGGCAAAGGTTGAAGTTTCTAAAATGCAAGTCAAACTCAAAGGCCAAGAGATTATGTAAGGTTGTTACCTATAGAAAGAATGTGTCTCGATAAATATACCTGACAGGTGAAATATGAAGGCCCAAGTACTAACCATTAAAAACTTGTGGCCAAGGTTAAAGTTTAAAAAAAAAAAATATTGATTAAACTGCAAGGTCAAAGGGTCAAATTAAAGGCACAAGGGAAAGATCCTTACTTAATTAATATTCATTTGAAAAACATGCATTAAAATCCTAGTAAAAATATTCAAAAGCAATGGCCTAGATTAAAGTTTTTTAACAGTAGGTCAAACTCCCAGGTCAAGGTCAAAAGGACAATATTGTTGGTATTCAGAGGAAGACCTTGTCACATGGAATACTGTGTAATATGAGATCATACATATAGTACTAATTATTCAAAGTTATATCCACACTTAAAGGTTTTTATAAAAAATAAATTGGTGAAATTTAAAGGTCAAGGTCAAAGGGTAAAACTATTTATATCAATAGAAAAGTCTTGTCACAATGAATACATTGTACTTACGCAAAGTATAAAAGCCAACTGTTTCAAAAGTTATCGTTCAATTATAAAGTTGAGTAAATTCTTGCAAAACTTTAACATCAAGGTAGAGGTCAGGAAATTAAATATGTTGGTACCAAAATAAAGTTCTTTTTACAAGGAATACACATTTGAAACATGAGATCCATAGCTCAACCAATCAAAAATTACACTCTATGGGCAATGCAAAAGTTTTTGCAGACAAACGGCTCGACGGACGAACGGGCAGGGCAAAAACTGTATACCCCCGAATCTTTGATTACAAAATAGAAGTTGGAAATTTTCCTATTTTGAAATTTGTCATCGACAAAATCAATCTAATTCTACACACATGATATCTGAACTTCATGTTTACATGTAAAGGGTGCTGCGTGAAATTCCACACTGACAATAATTATAATCTTCGGAGTCCTGAGCTTCCAACAATCTGCAGGAGTCCAAATGGACACTAATTTTGCCCCTTTTATTAACCGACCTGTTTTTATATTCATATTCAGTTCAAATTAGGAAAACTTTATTATATTTAGAAATACGACGAACACATGCTGTGGTTATCAACTCGACATTTAAAGATATATGTCGATGACGTATCATCAATTATCAATAGTTCATTCATATGTCGAGGTGAACTTGAAATAAGAGAAAATATAGAGCCTCTCACATCTGTTTCCAATTTGTGTGTCTTGCAGACCATAGACAGTAAAGGCCTGCATCTGTATGACAAGATGATTTCAGCTTTTCCGTCGTCTACTTTCTAATGAACTTCAAAATATCGTCATAGGCACTTGATCCCGCTCCTGGAATTTTCTGACAACCATGCTAGCCATATATAAAATTTTTCTCCAATTTGTATATTATATAGATGAGAAAAAAAAGACACATGACTACTGGAAACAATCTCATTTATCTTGAAGTTAAAAAAAAACACGATATAAAGGAATGTTTATTCTAATTTTTGAAAACATGTATATAAATAAAAACTAGAGATATTTTATCAGGCAATAGTTATAACAATCTCAATACATGCATCCTCTTTTCCACCAGTGGTTATGGAGCCTCTGAGTTTATAGTCTCCGGAAGGGAAAGCAGATGCATCCACATCAATAGAAAGGCCTTGGACATCAAATGTACCCTTGATAAGAAAAAATATGAATATGATATCTTTTCATGTAAGTTGTAAATATTTCCTTAAAGTTATTGATCAAAGTGAATACAAGTATATAATACGGCCAAAGCACTCACATATATCATGTAAGTTTTCCTTTTTCTAATAAATCAAAGACTTCCTGATTTACTTACAAACTAAAATACATATTATAATTATTATTCATAAATAAAAATACGTCCTTATAGACGACTACAAATTGTCATTTGTGCAGCCAACACAACAACTAAATGTTACGAATGAAATATATTTAAAATCTACTCACCGATTTAAAGGGGCACTGACATCCGAGACCGGATGTGACGATAGGGTCGGGGCAGTCTCCCACAGTGCTGAGGATCTGACACAGATCAGGGTAATCACAGGAACCAAAACCGTCAATACATGGGAGCTTGACCCAGATCCCGGCAGCCTTCTTTGACAGAACAAGGCTTGCCTTAAATGATGATGAAAAAATTACTTTGAGTAAAATATACCTGATAAATGTATAAATATTGTGTCTATTAATCATTTCAATTTTATATTGATTTTATTACTACATGTATATTCATGTATTTTGTATTTTTAAGAATGATCTTTAATCCATTCTACAAAATTCAAAGTAAAACTAGAGAATTTTTTGAATAGCATTTGAATCATACCGGAAGAGGAGCTGGAAACGAGGCGTTGAACTGAAGCTTTCCAGCAATATTGATAGTTCCTGGAAACTGTATAGGGTCAGGTGTAACAGACAAACTTAAGATACTTGCTGGGTCGTTATTACCACAGTTTGTCCACTGGAAAGCTTCGACTCTGGAAGACTTCTTCCTTCCCTAATAATTAAGTACAAATTATAAAGAAGAAGACGGCAAACTTAGGTTGGGGGTTGAGTGAGGGGAGTTAGTTTTTAGAAGTCATTTCAGTCCATGACTTATGATAAGCCGAAGTATATTCACTGCCGTCCCTCTCCGATTTCTTTTTTATTTGATAAACATATATACAGTTTGAATCCAAAACACAGATAAATGGAGGTTTTATTTTCAGTTTTTTTATATAACCTTGTAATATGTAATAGACCAACAAGTACCAGATAATTACATATACAACACTGTGAGTATATACTCGAACTTTCTTTATAGAGAGTGCGGGTATGAGACGTAAACGAAGCAACAACTCAATCGTGAAGTAAATGTTGAAAAAAAAACTGTTGTCAGGCTAAAATTATTTCCGAAATAAATTGTTAAGCTTATTGAAACTTTTTTTATGATCAACATTCACTTTATATACAATTTTACTGACATTTCAAAATCTGGTTTTCGCGCGTATAACTTGTGACGTTTTGTTACCAAATTTAGAAGTTGTTAATTAAACAGGATTATAACCAAACTTACTACGGATTTAAAGTAGTCCTCCCCTCTATATCTTTCCGGGAGTGCGTTTAAGTTAAGAAGATCCATAAGAAGTTCCGTTTCGTCGTTCAGTTTGATGTGGTTTTCATCTTCAACGTAACCCTCGTGTTCCGCAGACTCGCGAACATGGAATTCATGCTCCACGTCTTCACCAAAAGCACAAGCAATCAAAGCGAACACCACCAGAAACTTCATAGCTCTTAAGTTGAGAAATGTGAATATCTTAACTGAGATGGTTAGGCTTTTTATCAGTAGGTAATACTATTAATTGTTATCTTTATTGTTATCAAATGTTTATCACTTTATGGGGTGAAAGGTTACTCATGTATCTCGCACTCATTTTCAAATATTTAAAATTCATTTAAATCCCAAAAATTTCCACTTACGTATTTTTCAATATCAAATTTAGTATGCAAATTGTGACCATTAAAACACAATTTACTTCAAGTTCTTTCCATGCTATTTTTTTGCTGAGGTGAATAGAAAATCATACCCAGATTAATAAGAATTATGAAGATCTTTTTATTAAGCAAACTAGTTTTTTGAGCTATGAAATATAAAAGTTTACTTTGGTGGCAAAAGTACACATCTTTGATGCATGCAGTACTTTGATAATTTCTATTATTAAAATGAACTCATTCTTATCATATTTACATTGTTGACCGGTGAATTACTGGGTGTGCAATGACTCGTTCAGTAATGATAACGTACATGGTACATGTAGTACCAGTGCACTGACAAGTCACACCAAAGATAACAGTTTAAGATACCCACAAACAGTAATAGTAAACAATGGTAGAACAGGATATATCGTACATTTATATAAGTCCTGTGTTCATCAGGAAACCTCAAACCGCAGATCATAATGTAATCACGAGGGCATCCTTAGATACAACTCAAATATGGCTATTTTGATGACATTTTTATAATGCATCCGATGCATTTAGAATAGACTGTAGATGTCATACCACACCATGCAACTCTAATAGGATTGTTTTAATAGTTTTTTTAATGCACTCTGTGCTATCATCAAACCTTGTAAGTGTAATGCATGTTAGAACCTTAAAATATTTTTTTTTTCAAAAAGAAGGTCACAGTAACCCACTTTTTAGATTTTGCAGTTGTTTGTTTTAATAATTGTGTACTGATACTTGTATTAAATAACTTTCAGTAAGACTCACTGCATGTGTATTTACTTTAGAGAAGGTTTTGGATGCCATACCACACTACCGGGACTCCTAGACGACCGCATGGAATATGGCTCTAAACCAGAATTTACATGTGGTAGCTACTCAGGTGGTTCTTTTAAGATGTGGGCAATACCACCTAAGAGTTTTCTCATTAGTGAACCTCTTTCCCACTAGTTTGACACTTGCTCACTCAATATTATCTTGCAAATTAATTCACTCAATATTATCTAGTAAAAATTAAAACAAATGAATTCACTCAATATTATCTGAAAAAGCGAATGATTTAAGGCCTATGGGACATTTTTTTTGCCTCAGTCGAGCAAGTCAGTTCAATTCCCTGAACTAAGTTACTTTGTTCAAACAATATCCCTTATCTGTTCCTGTCTATTCGTCATGTCCTTATGGATGAATGAAGCAAAAAATCCCCAATCCAATTGATTGTGCCGAATTTAATATTTAAGCCATTTTCCTAAAAAGATTTTAAAGAGCCTTCCTGTGCTTTTTTTAAGAGATAGCATCGAATTTCCATCTTCAAAAACAGATCAGATATAGCTGAAGTTGATTTATACACCCTTTATTAAAAAAATATTTCAAGATCACTATATATGCATGTCAAATCAAGATTGACAATGAGAAAATTGAGCACTAATAAATATAACCATCATACAATCATATTATGAATGAGAGATACAGTATTATGGCATATAAATTACACCTGTCACAATATTTCTAGTAATTTTCCTTAGGAGAACTACATCTACTACCCCCTTTCTGTTACAAAATAATATCTGTAAACAATCTCTAACTTCAATTTTCCTAAAGCTGTATTCCTACAACACAGAACATTCAGAAATAAATGATATGTTTTCCTTAAAAAAAAAAAAAAAAGCAATTTCAATACAATTTAGAAAATTTTGCTGGTATCCCATATAAATCTATTTGCACAACAACAAATTGCATATGACTTTAAAATCAAATATTTGATATTTTTTTCAGTCAGCTCATTTAATCTACCAGTTGACGTTTTAAAAAAAATTTTCTTTTAAAAATGCACTTCATTGTCAAATATTAACAACCCTTCCACTCCCTTCAAAATAAAAAAAAGAATAATAACAATCTATATGTCCATATTGCCTCAGCTCTCAAAAATCCAAAAATATAGGAAAAAAATTATTTATATGCAGAGGAAAATAAAACAGATCAGTTCTAGGTATAAGAATTTCAGATCATATCAAAACATTAAATTGATGTACAAAGACATACATTGCTAATAATTAAATAAGACAGCATTAATACATAAGAAAGGCTTGTATAAAAAATATCAAACAATAAATCAGATTTCAAATGTTATTTGAAAACATCATTTAGAACTATATACATTCTGATCACAAAATGACCATTTTTTTATTTTTACAAAGAGAAAAGAAAAATACAAGTATCTAAACATCATGCAGGTTTTTGCAGTCTAGTTGATTGTATCCCCTTTCTCCTATCATCAGCGATAGAAGGGGGCTAGTTTTAATCAAACAGATGTCTTGAAACTTACAAACATGTTTTATCTCCAATTTATCTAAACAAATTGAAAATGTTGCATGATAGAACTAACAATATAACTATCAATTTATAGTAATACTGTGTTTTTTCTTTCCTACAATATTGCAGTTTTTATAATTTGTTGTAAATATTGCCAGAAAATCTCTGACAACTGAGACATTTAAAGCTATCAAAAAAATGTTCTAGGCAGACTGGCTATAGTAATTCTGCATTTCTTTAAATTTCTTAGTTAAACAATTAAAAAATTATTATATTTAGGTTCTTTGGGTGAAAATAATCCCGTCTCGAGTATTTTTAGGCCACAGAGAGTTCCACTTCTAGACAAGCTACAAGTTTCCCGTTTGCATCAGTCACTTTGCCTGTTAGCTGGTAGTCTCCCGTGGGAAACAGTTCCGCCCCCACATCCTGGCTCCAGCTCGGGAGGGTATATTTACCCTGTGTTAATAAAAAGAAGAGTATATGTATTTACGCAAGTTAAGAAGAAGAAGACTATATTTACCCTAAGTTGATAAAAAAAAAAAATTGGTGCATAAAAAAAATTATGAAATAGAAATTTTCTCAATCTCCATAAACTAGAAATTAAAAACTAAAATCATCGAATTATTCTTAATCTGAATAATCAACATTAATATAACTTTACAATTTACTATAAGTGAGAACGGAACTTACAGCTTTGATTGGACACTTGCAGTCGATGCCAATAGCGGTGAGCTGTGGTGGACACTGTGTCACTGAATTCAGCAGGGAGCAGAGGTCATTGTATTTACATGAGCCAATGTTGTCAACACACGGAAGGGGAACCCAGATACCTGCTGCCTTCTTTTTCAGTTCAATTGCTCCCTAGAAAATATATTTATTTTACAGGATTATTTCATTGCTTTTCATCTTATGCAATGTGAAATATGCTCTTCCATAATAAACTTTGGCCTAGGAACACTTCTTTTTATATTTATTTACATGCCAGTGTATATATCATTACAATAAAGTAATTGAAGTCAAAGTAGTGTATAGTTGATTTTGTTATTTTCTTCCTCAAGGAAATGGCAATTTTCCAAGACAAAAATGATGATCGAATTATACATCTTATTTCTTTTTAGATCACATATTTAAGTCATGAAGTTTTCATCTAAATACATGTGGTTAGACAGGATTTTTCACATTTGTTTTGATACTATTTGATTATGACCTTTGATTATGCCTTCATTTTAATCATCCCTAACACTGGTAAACTAATAAGACATTGACGAGAAGTTTGACCTTTCCAGAAAATGTAGTTCTCCTGGGATTTGCTTGATTCATGGGTTTCAAAGATAACTCCAGACTTTCTTTAAACGAAATGGAAGCAAACTCATGTTACAAACTTATTCATTTTTTTAAATCAAACATTTAAAGACCTTGTTAAAATGAAGGCAAGTTCAGTTTATGTGCACTTCTTGTCATTAATAAATCTTTGTTTCAATAGCAAGCTTCTGAATGCTGTGGAATCTTTGCTTGTCTGAATTTCTATAAAAATTTTACTGTCTAAACAGACCCTCAGAAATTATTTACAGAATGAAAGGGAAGCTAAAACAATCTAACTTCTAATATATAACCTAACAATATAAATGCTATAACTTACATTTATTTCACCTGAAACAGTGGTATTTAAAGCTACACTGGCACTGAAGGTGATAGTCCCTGGGAACTGCAGGGGGTCAGGTGTGACGGACAAGCTCTTCACATCCACCATCCCGCCACAGTTCTTGAAATGAAAGGCTGTCAACCTCTTACTGGGATCCAAGCCCTGAAAAATACAGAAAAAATCTTAATACTAGCTATAAAGCTGAGATTTCTTAACTTTGAGAGAACAATGCTTATTTATCTAATGTATTACATAAAAAAAAATACTGTTATTCGAAATAAGATTAATTCAGAGCTTCAAAGGTAAAGTTTTAAAAATCTGGGGGTTATGAAATACTATTAAATTGTGTGTAAAACAACTTGTAAGAAAGAAGTTCTGCAGTTTGCATTATAAAAGTAATGTTTATGAAGGATGTAACTAGTAAACAGGGAATGCTTACTCCTCCTAGGCATCTGGTTATGGGGCCATGATTAAAAGTGAGCTAGATTAAGTTTAATAACCCTGGAGTCTGATCCCAACTCTGGAATTGGCAGGGAACCATGTATTATGCCCTTTTATTATTATTATTTTTATTATTCACAACTTTAATTTGATAGACATGTAAGATATTTTGAAATTGTTCACTTTTTCTTATCTTGACCTTTTTCATTCATGCTTCAGCACACACATTCAGCTAAAAAAGGGGGAAAAAAAACACTTTTGTTCCACGCTGAAAGTAAGGGATATTAATTTTGGTATGTCTATCTGTCTGTCTGTAAAATTTTTGTTTTCATGCAATATTTCAAGAGGCCTTGAAGCCTTTGGAGTGAAATTTTACACAACTCCCTATAGCCTAAGGAAGACCCATGTAAATTTTGACGTCAAAAGGTCAAAGATCAAGGTCGTTAATCCACATTTTTGATGTGTAAAACTTTTATTTAATGATATACCTCAAGAAGCTTTCAAGTTTTTGCAATTAACGTATCGCCAAACCCCGCCCATCGTGCAATGGGAGATCAATGGCGCTCTCATCAACATGGCGAGTAAGTCGACGCCGGTTGACTTGTCCTTCCTGATGATTTTGTTGCAAAGTATTTGCCATACCCCACTTTTAGACAAAAACAAAGGACAAATGCTTTTACAATGGGTATATATATTCAATCACTCAAATATTCAAAAATTATTCCGTATTATGCATTTCTTCTAGAAAGTACATCATACTGTTAGCTGTCGACGAAGGAAAAAAAGCAAATTACAGAAACTTATTGCGACTGCAAAGCTGGGTAAATTATAAATTACAGCAAAGGCCTTTAATTCAATTTGTGATGTAATAAATCTGCAATAACACAAAACCCATGCGACATCGTAAAGACTTGTTTTTAGTTTCTTAGGGGATGATCATTTGATTCTGAAAGGGGGGGCCGATAAAGGAGCTGAGTCATTTTGGAAATAAATAATCTGTCCTCTACTGGAAGGAAATAAATAATCTGCCCCCACCCCATCTCACGAATAAGAGTTGTCGACGGTGTTTTATTTGTTTGTTTTTTTTAATTTTATTTATTTATTTTTTCTTTTTGCTTGTTAGAATTTCATAGGCGAAGAGGATAATAAATAATTAATACTGCCATTAAAAATAAATAATCCGTCCTTCACCGACATGAAAATTAATAATCTGACTCGGAAAAAATCGCCCCCCCCCATTCCAGAATCAAATGGTCGTCCCACAAATTCTCTGGAAATTTCGACTTTGGAAAAACAGAAGCAGCACGTTTGTCACATGCAGTTAATCTGTAAGTTGGTTCTATTTCTTTCTTCTTTACTTTTAAGTTCTGGTGAAAAATGTGCAGTAGGTGCATGGTTAAGAATTAGATTGTAGTCAGAAATATATTTCAAATCTAATGTACCCGGGTATACAAAGTTCACGTTTTCTGGGACAACCCTAGTATATAGTACAATTTTACATTGTATTTATAAATATCCTCCTTATGTCAGTCGGACTAATTCCTTAAATCATATATAGCATTTTTTTTTTGGAGATATTGAATATAATACCGGTAATGACATTTCTTTACAATAAAAATAAATGAAGTCATTTAATTTTTATCAATAATTTCGACATTTTGCCAATGTATGACGGTGTTCTCCATAAATAAATACTAGTAATGGGGGCATTAAAAGTTAATTTTTAGTGATAGAATAGAATCATTTTATTGGATTAAATCTGATTTAATTTTTTTTTTAAATGCGTAAAAGTAAAAGTTTATAATCATGCATATTGAATAACAAGAGGCCCATGGGCCTTACAGGTCACCTGAGCATTATGCAACAACTTTCTAGTGATTTAATTTGATTCATGGTTTAAGCCAGATGCTATGGCGTTCACAATTTTGAAAGAGGCACCATTGATCATCATAACAATACACTTAGCAGTTGCTTAGTTTGTTTACTTAAAACCCATAGGCAGGGTGGGGGAGCATTTCAAGTAATCAGTAATATTCAGCAATAATCAGTAATGCCCATATCACACATGAACCCCTGACCCTTAGGCCTAGATCCACACATTGCACAATTTTTGAAATGGCACCCTTGCTTTTCAAAAATATTTGATTAATACCAAGGAGCAGATCTTAAACAATTCATTCAGTTTCAGTATATAAGTACATCCCCCCCCCATGGTACCCTGGGGCCTTGAAATTCACAATTCTGTAAGATAAGGGTCCTTGCTCATCATAACTACATAGGTAGTTCATCTGCTTAATACCCTAAGAGCAGAGAAGAAAATTTTCAAAGATTTAATGTATTTTCACTATATAATCAATAGAGCCCCACCCTATCACTAGAACCTTTGACCCTAGGGCCATAAAATCAAAATTTTGGAAGAGGTATTCTTGCTCATCATAACTATGTACTAAGTTTATTTAATTCCTAGGAACAGAATAGAAATTTTTCAAAGAATTCATGTATTTTCATGATATAATCAATAGAGCCCCGCCCTAACACCCGAACCCTGACCTTGGGGCCATAAAATTCACAATTTTTGTAGAGGCACTCCTGCACATTATAACTATGTACTAAGTTAGTTTATTTAATACCAAGGAGCAGAGAAGAAGATTATCAAAGAATTCATGTATTTTCACTATATAATCAATAGAGCCCCGCCCTAACACCAGAACCCCTGACCTTGGGGCCATAAAATTCATAATTTTGGTAGAGGCACTTTTGCTCATCATAACTATGCACTTAGTTAGTTTATTTAATACCAAGGAGCAGAGAAGAAGATTTTCAAAGAATTCATGTAATTTGACTATATAATCTATAGAGCCCCACCCTAACACCAGAACCCCTGACCCTGGGGTCATAAAATTCACAATTTTTTTTACAGGTATTCTTGCTAATCATAACAATGCACTTAGTTATTTTATTTAATACCCAGGAGCAGAGAAGAAGATTTTCATAAAATTCATGTATTTTCACTATATAATCAATAGAGCCCCGCCCTATCACCAGAACCCCTGACCCTGGGCCCATAAAATTCACAATTTTGGTAGAGGCACTCTTGCTCATCATAACTATGCACTTAGTTAATTTATTTAATACCCAGGAGCAGAGAAGAAGATTTTCAAAGAATTCATGAATTTTCACTATATAATCTATTGAGCCGCCGCCCTAACACCAGAACCCCTGACCCTGGGGCCATAAAGTTCACAATTTTGGTAGAGACACTCTTGCTCATTATAACTATGCACTTAGTTAGTTTATTTAATACCTAGGAGCAGAGAAGAAAATATTCAAAGAATTCATGTATTTTCATTATATTCTTATTTAGCCCCGCCCTAGCACTAGAACCCCTGACCCTGGGGCCATGAATTTCACAATTTTAGTAGAGGACTCAGTGCTGATTACAATCATGCAAACAGTTTGACTGCTTGATGTCCAGGAGTAAAGAAGAAGATTTTTAAAGATTGCATTAATTTTAGTGGTTTTTGCCCCACCCCTCAGGCCCCAGGGGGCCAGGGACCTTGAAATTCACAATATTGGTTCCCCTTCACCTATAGATGCTTTGTGCCAAATTTGGTTGAAATTGGTTCAGTGGTTGCAGAGAAGAAGCTGAAAATGTTCAAATGTTAACGGATGACGCACCTAAAAACTGGTAAAAAACAATATAGTAGCTATCAGACACGAGTCGACAATATAATAAGCACGATAACTTTGAAATTACTAACTCAAAAAGCTTATAGTTATCTTTTAAAAATAAATGCACGTTTTTTGTCAATAATTTTGAAGGTAAAATATGCACGTATGTAGAAGTGTTACATGTATGAACTGGCCTGGGGGCCATAAAACTTAGACAAGCTCACTTTTGATCTCAGTCTCACTTTTCCACTTTTAATTCCTTTGGAAAAAAGTGAGACTGAGATCAAAAGTGAGCTCATCTAAGTTTTATGGTCCCCAGGCCTGATGACGTTTAGATATATTCTTATGCGTATGTATATGCATGTTATATATTTAAAAAGATCGAAGACAAGCAGTCTGTAAATCTGTGCACAGGTGCTTGTGGACAGGATTATCCAAACCCCAACCCCTCCCTTTCAATATTAAAAAAAATCATGTTAAACGTGAAACAGCTGAATAGAAGTTGCATATGATTGATATATTTCCGTGATTTTCAAATAGAAACATATAGATTAAGTTGTCAGAAATTGGAAATGAAGAGAGATGAATCAGATTTTTTTTTATATTGAAAAAAAAGTGGGGGGGGGGGGGGGGTTCAATGTGATACTGTGCATAGATTTATCATTAATTTACACTCAATACCGATTTTTTTGTGTATATATATATAAATGTATAAACATGAAAAAAAACCAAGTAAACAAGTTTTATTTCATTTACTGACCAAAATATTTAGAAGTCCCGATTGACCCAAAACGTGTTGTCAGGTCCCGAAACATCGGCGTACCGAATCATCGCTGTCCAAAAACATCCATAATTCCCTTTCGGGATACTTGTCATCGGTGTTACACTTTCCCCAACTGAATATTTTTAACCATAATGGACTTATTTGTTCAATTTGTTTATTGTCGACCACTCAGCTCACTGCGAGTGTTTGTCGGAGCATATGGCGGAGCAAGTGTTTTCTGATCGCGCAGAATAAATAAAATTATTTCATTGGTTGAAAATTTGTTGTGATTGACAGCTAGCGATACGTTAATTAATATCTATACCATAACTCCCTATGCCCCGCTGCCCTTCTTAAAGTGCTTCCCCCTTCGACTTTCCCCCAAATCTATGAATGCATTTCTTCTAAATAGGGCACACAGATCCTCTGAATTAGCTTGTAAAACGTTGTATACAGGATTTGATCAAGAGATTGTACTTGACCTACTTGCATGTACACAACTGTTCTCTTTAAGACTTTATACACAACTGTTCTCTTTATAGAAGTGGTCAGGTCTCGACTATATCGTGGAAGTAGGCAAACATTTGTCCTTTTGACTAAAGAGAATACTTATGCAACATACCAGTTATGCCAGTATCTGAGTACATCTGCAGTGGTGCATGCAGGTTTTTTGAGAAGTGAAAGTAGGAATACATTAAATTCATTATAAATGCATATCTATAAAATCTTTTTTAGAACAAAAAAGATAACTCTAATCAATATTGATACAAAGACATGCAATGCTATTCTTGCAATGTATAAATACACCTAAACATTACCGCCTTATGAAAGAAATCCAGTGACTTGAAACGCTCTGGAAGGAAAGGCTTCTTTAGAAAATTTAGGAATTCTGAAACGTCATCTTCGTAATGTTTCTGATATTTCAGATATTCTGCATTTGCAAAGGAAATGCAAAGCAAAGCTGACAAAGCAACATAGATCCCTGCCATTCTTAACAATCCTGCCGGTCACAAGGCAAACAATCACATGACACACCGGAAATTGATAGAAATTTCCGAGGCCTTCCGAATGCTTCACCATTGTGGGCGCGTTTGATATCATAATAATTAGCCACGGATGACCAAAGTCGTTGTAGCTACAGTTGTTTGCCCCATAGGCACTTGTTTCGTATACTGTGCACCCTACTCAAAAATAAGTAGGGGATGCCTCGTATACGAAAAAAGTGCCTGTGGTTTCTCCAATGAAAAAGGATTTTTAAAAATATTTTTTATACGACATTAATTAGTTGTTCAATGGAATGAATTGTACTATAACTTTGAAGTTGTGTTACCAAACCTTGTCAACCATAAGACAAAAAACCATCCCAAATCAAGGCTTTACATTCTTTATCAAATTGAAACTTTTTGTGTAAAAAAAATATTTTTAACTTTTCACTCTTTTACACACAGTGTTCAACTGATATAAGAATAGATATATTGTAACGTGCAACTACTTACTGTGGTCAACGGGTATCTCCTATTAATTCCCTTTGTCCTGCCACTTTACATGCAGATACTGGCAACTTTAACCCCTTCCCCCCGTTCAGTGGTATGCCAACCTCTCGCTATAATCAACCCGGCAAAATACTGTTACATAATTTCAGTTATCTTTCGCAACCGTTCGCCTTATTCAGGTCTTAAAGCAATGACAAATTTATTCCGCACCACGAGATCGATCGTGGTTTACAGCGTATATCTATTATTGTTTCGCAGTCCCAGTATTTCGCCAGTTCCTACCTACCTTAATGATCATAGATTATTTTTTTGTGTGTGTGTTGAAAAATTAGATAGAACCTATGTCTCACGTTTTTGCCGAAACTAAATGTCAAAACCAATTTCGTTTCAATTCTCTCCTCTCATGATTGTATGCGTTCTGCATCAGTCCGAAATATGTGACGTTTTCCAGGTTTTTTCTTGATTTTGATATTTTAAAATGCACCAGGAGTGGCGTCTCCATATGAGTGAAAAATTCTCGAGAGGGACGTTAAACAACACACAATTAATCAATCAATCAGTTCAAGACCTGTAACAAAAGCTGTCTTGTGTTTGACTCTTTCTCTACCTGCCAATGTCCTGAATAGAGAACTACAGTAGAGAACTTCGAGTTACCACGGGATCCATTGACTTCCATATGCTCGGTAGGAGAAACGAATATTTGGTGATGTTGCTATTTAACTTACGATTATCAATTCAAAAGTGGAATGTGTTGCCTTTCTTTCTCGCTAACACAATAGGTGTCGACCATGGGCTGTTCGATGGCTAGATCACACCTCTTTCGAGATATCATTCAGCTGTTCATCAACTTCCACCGAAAGATGAGGTGACATGAATTCTCCTTTGGGATATTTTGATAGGACAGAGAACTCAAGTAACAATCTATTTGTTAAACTGATAAAGCCTGTGCTCCCAAAACTTTTTAAGACTCAAATAGATTGATATATTCATATACAAAATTCCAAGCTCACCATTTCTGCTTTCGTGTTAAGTGGCTTGAAGTTTTCTTCCAGAAATCAACCAAAGCTGGCCTTAATTTTCTGGATTTGTTTGACATGTCCTCCTCTTCTGATTCAATCACTCTGACTTAACGGATTTGTCCAATTACCGTACAAGGGTAAATCATTTTGAGTCCCTCGCTCAGTACCATCTCCTGAGATGAGACCATTTTTAGCTGTGCGTGAGTCTGTGCGTGAGTCTTCCCTTGGAAAACCAGATGCAAAGATATTCCATGGAATATACATTTAATTGCAATCCTCAAGACTTGTCCTTGCCTGACGACCTCGCTTCGGGGTGGGGGTGGGGGGGGGTGTTGTTTCCGTTTCTGTTGCAGCCTATGCAAACCTTCACTAACAGTGGAATAATAATACCTTTAATGTGAAGTACTTTTGGCTCATGTTGACCGTATAAGCATTTGACAGTAAAAAAAAAGTATTCCATCTGCCTCAACCTCTGCAATGACCGCAGTTCTGGATATCCATATGCTCAATATTAAGTCTTCCATCATACCTTTGTCAAAAAGCTCACCCTTATTTGCAGCTTAAATAATTTGACAAATGTTCTACTGATGTTTCATTTTCTCAAACATTGTTAAAGACATACTCTCAGTAACTTCTACGAATTTACTTTATATACCCTGCACAATAATGTCTCAATGATGCCTGCTCATGCATGCTTTCAAAAATCCCACTCCAATGGAGTCACTAGGACAGAATTTCTCTGGCGTCTGTATGTTTTCTTCGTAATGGCATGCTTATTCCTTTTTTTTTTTTTTCATTTTTTAATCCCTAATGTTCACTTCCCAGAGGTCTTCTCTCAATTTAGGACAATTGCATTTAATGTGGCCTTCCTCGTCAGATTCTCAACAATGCAATAGATTGCCTCTCGGTGTTAGTCATAAGTTCTACTAACTAACCGATCAAGTGTCAGTTTTTGGATCTCGTAGGTTAACTTATTTAATTAGCCCTCATCAAATTCATCCATGTTTAAAGACTGGCTTAGCTAACCTCAGTTACAACTTAGTCTAGATAACCGTTATGTTGTCGAAACTCGCAAATGTCCCCTTTTTATACGGTTTTATGCATCGAATTCAACAGCTAAACAATTCAGGTTGTGAAGACGATATTTTTAGATGTGGATTCTCATCTCTGAATCTAGCAAGGCATCAATAAAAACATTTAAGGATACAGTTTTTCGCATATCATCAAGTGCTAATGTATAGATCAAATTTGTTAGTCGTCTTATAGCCTGACAACTTTGCAATCGACGCAGATGCTTCTGTTTTCGTTCTTTTAATAAGGTTGACACGCAACAATATAGTTGCAAAAAAGCCTATCTTCGGGTTGAAATTTGTTCCAAACAAATTATTAGGCCATTATCTCATGGCGGATGTGACCTGTCGATATGAGATGCCTGCTCCTCCTGAGCACCTTATCCAAACTCTAGTGGCTCCAGGGGTCTGAATTTTTTATTTCCTATTCATAAATTGTATTTTAAGGATGTACGAGATCAATATCTGTTCATTATTTCCACCCTTCATCCTTTGTTGCCTCATTTAAGATAAGTAAAGTTTTGTATCATATCATAGATTTTACAAGGTTCCTTGTTTTATCACAGAAGCAAATATTGGAACTACAGTAAACACCCTGGTGCTTATCTTAGAAATTATAGAAGGAAGAATTTTATGAAGAACCTCAATTTATAGAGCGTAAATCGGCTTATAGAATGTCAGTTGAATGATCCTTACGAGTTGGAAATTATGGCGGTAAGATTTGCCTTTCTTGCACATTTTGATTTAGATATCAATTTCTTTTTCTACATCAGAAATATTAATTATTATAATTCTATTTTAATATAAAGGGTTATTTTTATTTGTGTCCTTCCTAATATACTAGTACTTTATTTATCAAGTGAAATATATGACATGACTATCTTGTTGTATATTTTATTTCATGAATTTTAAAAAGGTTGTCTTTGCATGTATACAATAATTAGAACAAAAACTATGAACGTTCAAGATTTCTTCCTTACAATTTTAGGTGCATATGTTAAAGGCATCTTTTCTGTGTGCCTTACTTTACATGAAACATCACGAATGCAGCTCATTTCCTCAAGACGTTCCATGGAAGAAGTGTTCGGAAAACCATCCCTGTCAGTGTTACTCGAAGTCAGCGATGTGCAGCAACCTAAATCTGACGTACATTCCAAGATTTCCAATCAAAATAACACATCTCTGCATGTACAATAACAAATTGAACCATATTAATAGAACTACTTTCATGAACTTAACAAATCCTCTAACAAAATCTTCAAAACTACAAAACCTTGTTCTCCTCAAAAACAGAATTAGAACATTGGCTAATGATTCTTTTACCGATTTAAATGACCTCACCCATCTTCATATAGAGGGCGAACGGAAATTAGGAAAAGGGGATCTTGCAGGAAGTTTTCATTCACTTAGTCGCGGTTTAGATACCCTGGTATTGAATAAAATCAATCTCTCTAACCTACCTTCGACATTCTTCCAAGGATTAGCGGGAACAGTGGTAATCAACATCACACTGGAGAGCAGTTACGTAAAAGGTCTTGAAGGAGGCCTTTTCTTTCCTGTTCCGAACCTACAGAATTTGTCACTGCACGATAATTTGTTAAATTATGGGAAAGCTAACTTTTCCTCTCTGAACAATCTTGTGTTCTTGAATCTTTCCAAAAATGAGTTTGTTCGTATGACAGATTTCTGTGGTTTTAACCTAAGTAAGTTGAAGGTTCTTGACATGAACAGTAATAAACTTTCAACGTTGAAATATCAATTTAAATGTTTAGATAAATTGGAGTATTTGAATTTAGACAACCATGCAATACGGTTACTTTACTCCAACACGTTCTCCATGCTTCCAAGTCTTAAAATCCTGCATTTAAGTACACTGGCGGAACAACTCCATTTCATAAGAAAATACGCATTTAATAGCTCAAGTCTACAGCAGCTATATTTTAGCGATAATGCATTTCACTTTTCCATTGACCCTCCTAACTTTTATCCAGGTTCCTTATTTAAACACAGCCCTAGTCTTCAAATATTGGATTTGTCGGGAAACCTTTTCAAACATAACGGAACAGTCTTGAAACAGATGCTGGAACCTCTTACAAATCTAGAGTCATTGTCCCTGGTGGACTGCAATCTGCATTATCTTCCGAATTATATATTCGGAGTTTTGCCAAACCTCCGCCAGCTTCTTTTACACACTAATATCATAGTCGAATGGAATGGACATGATGTTTTTGGAAATACAACGACTCTACGGCATATTGACCTTTCTAAAAACCACATCGTTGTTGTGAACAAAACATTATTCCCAGAACATCTGCTACAAAATATTGAATTCATAAACCTAAAAAATAATCCATTCTCTTGTAATTGCAAGGAGGTCAAATGGTTTCATTACTGGATGGTAAAGAACTAGTGCTAATTGTAACGGAACCGTTACAGATGTTCCCCAAACGCTCCCCAACTTCATTTTGGTGCATCATTCCCTCTAAGCTTCATCAAATAAACTAAACTCTATGCATCTTAAACTTAAACAACGTTTTTTCTAAAATATACCAAGTATATAATTAGCAAATTTTTGCATTGTACGTGCGCACACTTGCATGCATATGCGGAATGACCATATTATTGTATCTAGACTATTAATTCATTTAAATGTACTTAATATCAAGGCATTTAATAAAAAAGTATTCGAAAATACGCTAAATCAAGTGCGTTTGTAATTATACGTATTGCACGTGCACGCACGTGCATGCATATGCATGATGACCATACTCTCTTGTAGGGGTCTATTAAGACTATCTATGTTTTAAATCCCATCCTGTTTGGCTGAAAACCAAGGGAGTTACAGCCATTTAAAGTTTAAGCCAATCAGATTGCAGCGCACGTGCATGCGCGTGATTTCAGGAAAATTATTTTATATCATATAGTAGGATATCTTAATGCATGACTATGTTTTAAATTTCAAAGTATTTCGTCGAAAAACGAATAAGATATTGAGATTTTTGTTTCAGCCAATCAGAGCGAAGCGCACGTGCATGCGCGTGAGTTCTTGATAATTTGACCATGTCCTCTTGTCTATAATACTAATTTATTCTTATATTCTGAGTTTCAACACATTTCATCAGAAAATAGAAAAGTTACGGCTATATCAATTATATTGGTCATTTTACATGTTGCACGTGCGCGCTCTTGCAAGCACGTGCGCGCAAAATGACCTTGATTCCGCAAATCTACATAACATGTCTACTTACCCTAAAAAGGTTTTACCTACATCAGATGAACAGTTTACAAGATCATTCGCGGACAAATAAGTACCCAGGAAGAAGAAAAATAATAATAAGAAACAGAGTAAAAACAATATGTTCCCCAACTTCGTTTGGGGAACATAATAAAGAGAAACTTTGCCCGATGCGGACAGCCTGTAAAAAATTGATATGCGCTTCTCCGTCTCATCTGAAGAATAAAGCTTTAATGGATTTAACAGAATCAGAAATGTGCCCTGTTCCGAAATACTCTAAAGTTTTAGTCATTGCCATAACTTCGTGTTTTATTTGTGTATTATTGGTGACCCTGATCATATACAAGGCTCGATGGCACATTCGGTATTTGTTATATATGTACAGATTACGAAGAAATGGGTATGAATCCATCGCAGGGGAGGAAGGGTTTGATTACGATGCTTTTGTTATTTATGCGGAGGAAGATCAAGCGTTTGTACATGAAATTCTTGTCCCAACATTAGAAGATCGAGAGGGCTATCATCTCTGTATTCATTACCGAGATTTTCAAGTAGGAAAGCTCATCGCAGATAATATTGTGAACAGCATTCAAAAAAGCCGAAAAGTCATTGTTATTCTATCGAACAGTTTTGCAAAAAGTAAATGGTGCGACTTTGAGCTCATCATTGCCCAAAATCGACTAATCCTGGAGCAGAATAACCTTCTCGTTGTCATTTTGATCGAAAAAATCGAACCGAAGAACATTACAAATTCACTACGATTAATTCTCTCAACAATGACGTATGCAAATTGGAATGCACACGGTACAAAAGGAGAGAAGGCGTCGTTTTGGAATCAGGTACGCCACTCCTTCAGAAGGTAGTGAATGCAACAAAAAGTTTGCAGGATTGGAACGGTATTGTCCTCTGAAAAAGATGTATCTGTCAGCCTTTTCTTTATCAGATCTATTTTCATAAGAATTTGGTCTATATATTTTATCAATTGTGACAGCATCTTTTATTTCCAAATTATAGATTGACACATAGTCTCGAATAAATGACAGTGAAGAAACCTTTTTTATTTATTATTTAAAGATCATTAAGATGTAATATTTTGATTGAACGATTTTATTTGGGATGCATTTTATTTGGGATTCATTGACCAGGTAGTTTTCCTTCTTATGTATTTTTATCTACAATATGGAAGTTTTACTTAAAAAAATCTTTGTAACAAACAATGCCATTATCGAAGATTGTACTACAATACTGTCATCGTTTCTCGTAAATTAGTTGGATTTAAAAGAGACGATGTTAAGCTTGATACCTAAACTGTAATTGCAGGATGAGGAATAAGCATTCTTTAATTGGTAATTAGAGGGTACCAGTTTACAATGATAACGTCGTTGTAAGCCCCTCCTTTCTTCCGACGCCAATACATTGCAAAAATGGAGCATGGATTAATCCAGACTGGGTATTCGTTATTGAAAATGGGAAATTCCAGTGGGTACATTTTTCCCTCTTTGATATTGCTTGCAAAAGTGATGATTGCAAGCAATAACTTTATTATTTATCAGAATACTAGTTTGTCATTCTTACAAAGTCAAGGGTCTTGAATCTAGACTTTGTCAAACGCCAACTAACATGTTAAGTCGGGTCCCCTGACGTTGCAAGGATGAACAAGAGTTTTCTAAAATTAAAATTAATGAACTAATAAATTTCGGGATACCAGTTTATTTGGGATTATAATTTTATAAACATTCTGCATAAAGTGTTTTAGAGCTCCAATACTTCCGAAAAGGTTATCCAACGTTCAATGTTCTATCGCATCTTCATTATTTCTTATTAAAGACCTCTAAATGAACTGAGAAATGATGTTTACGATGACAGTTTTTACTGACTGGTCCTTTTAAATATGGCGTTCTATTGTTTAGGGAAGATTGTCAGCAATCAATGTTCTAAAGTGATGCTCCTAGATCGCGTTCGTTATTATTTTTCTGGCTGTATATATATATTTAGCTTCTATTATAAACAGCAGGTTAACGTCCGTATAGATGTGACCCCTCATTCAGTAATTTCAAAAATATTTCATTCAGTAATTTCAAAAATATCACCAGAAAGATTATCTAATAATTTATTCAATTCTTCTTTCTTTATTTACTCTTTTTTTATTTATTCATTTATTTTGTTTATTTGTTTTTTATTCGTTCATTTATTCATTTAGGAATGTTGTAGCCAGAAAATGGGCTTATTTGCCCAATTTGCTTTCTAGTAATTCATGTTCCAGTCGCATGATTTCATTACTTTTATATATATATATATATATATATATATATATATATATATATATATATATATATATATATATATATATATATATATATATATCATAATATATATATAAATTTAAATATATATATCTAAATATCATAATATATATATAAATTTAAATATTATATTTAAATATAATATTTTAGGGATCATTATATTTGATTTTGTTTGGTTTTGGATTTTATTCTTTGCAATATTATATGACAGTTTAAGATTATATTTTCAGTTTAAGAAGGGAAATTTGTAAAGAATACAATCCTAGACTTTCGAGAAAAAAATAATACAACAGGTTCATTATTTTGTAAAGTAAATATTCATTTTTAATTTAAAATGTGTGTTTTTTTTAATTATCCCTTTTAACAATTATTGTATATATTCATTAATTTTACCAAAAAAGTTACTTTAAAAATTCTTTATACAGCATTTCTACATCGCCAGCGCTTCGCTAACTAGCACCCTTTGGAATCAAACTGTTCTACACCTCAAGCAATGTATACTAGTCAAATAGTCAGTAGTTGTATTCATTGATTTCGTACTAAATATCATTTTTCTGAACTTCATTTGAGCTAAGAATATATATATATATATATATATATATATATATATATATATATATATATATATATATATATATATATATATATATAAGCACTAAAAAACCAACAACACTGTATATCCTAAATGTCGGATCTACCAAGTAGATACAAGGTCACGGATGGAAATTTATATAGAGCACTAAAAATGACCAACGACACGAACAATAAAAATTGTTAAATTTTCGGGACGCCCTGTCCCTTCCTCAGGACAAAGAAAAAAGTTAAGAAGTCATTAGAACAAAGGAAAAAGAGAAACAAAAACAACTAGCACTACTACTAAACTACTAAACACTATATATTTATATACTTAGTTACATGTTGAATTGGAAATTTTTAAGAACACTATTAAAGAAAGAAATCCGGAGCGCTATGAAATACGTCCGGTCTATCGGGTATACTCATGTGAAATGCGATTTACATAACTGAACGAATTAATTATGCTAATTAACTACGACAATCAGTAAATCGTACATTGTTTCATTCTCTCAAAATGGCGTAACTATACTTAATACAGAATAATTAAAGAAAAACTAGAGCAAAGCTCGTTGCAAAGCAATGAGTAGGTCTTTCGTCCTGTTTGACCGGAAGTAACTTTTATTTAAAAAAAAAGGAGAAATGACATCTCTAATGATTTAAATCTTCCATATCTATGTTTAAAATTGCAAAAGTAAGCCATTTTTTGCTACTTCCTGTTTGACCGGAAGTAACGTCGACGGACGGAAAATTAAGTTTTATGCTTCCAGTGACAAATATTTCCCCAAAACATGTCAAAAACGGCAAAAATATGCAGTTTTGGACTACTTCCGGTTTGGTCGGAAGTGACGTCACAGGACGTATTTTGATGACATCAGTAGATTTTACCAGAGATTTTCAACAATGTTGCTTCTTTGATGTATAACAAATTATCAATACTTTTTGAGATATCTGGAAAAAAATTTTGGCCCCTCTAGATCCCTTAATTTAGGGGTCAGCCCTTTTTCCGAGATATCATTTGAAAGATCTTCTAATTCTGCACAAATTATGTTCTATATATAATAACAAAATACTATTAGTTTAGAAGATAAAAAGCAAAATATGAGTAATTTTTGGCTCTTTTAAGCGTTCTAATTTTTGACCCCTACATAGCGCCATTTTGAATAGAGAAATCGAAAAACAAAAACCGATGTGCACAACTTCAATCCTTCTATTATCTAAAATCAGTAGAATTTCTGCTCCAGCTTTAGCCGTCTCTGAGCCTTTGTCTGGAAACGAAAGCCTATAAATTTTCATTTAAAGGGAGATAACTCAAAACCGGAAGTGAATTTTTGAAATTTTAGACAGCATTCTGAAAGAGTTTAGTAACTTCTAAGTACCTCTGAAAAATTGAGCGAAATCAATTGAGAAATGAGTGAGATATGAGGCTTCAAAGTTGGTGTCTAGGAAGTAGAAGAAAAAAAAAGAATAATAATCTTTACCAACAGAATCAGTAGAAGGTCTTCCGTTGGAAACGCAAGACCTTAATAATATAGCATATTTTAACATATGAATTATGATCTATTATAAATTTTGAAATGTTTTAGGACTAATTATCGGGAAAAATAATTTATTCTCTCTCTCTCTCTCTCTTTCTCTCTCTCTATATATACTCCGTACCAGTATTCTATCGCACTACTTCTTATTGTGTATTTGCACTAAATGTTCTTTTCCGAAGCATTTTAAAAAACCAAAACATTCAAACTGGAAAGCGTAATAAAGAACAAGAGTCATGAAGCATTACAATGGCCCTATCTCAAAATTTTGTCACCTGCGTGTCGCAGTGGTTAAAACGTCTGCTTTACAGTTGATCCTTACCTTGCGGGTTCGAATCCCACTGCATGTGGGACGTGGAGACCGATCCTTCGGATGAGACGGTATAAACCGAGGTACCGTGTCACAGTAGGTGCTGGCACGAAAAAGTTCCCTCCCAGCTCAATGGCCCTGAGTGCCGAGTATAGGACAAAATTTGCAGCTCTCCACCGGCAAATGGCAGTGTCTCCATATCAGTGAAAAATTCTTGAGAGGGACGTTAAACAACATAGAATCAATCAAAACTTGAGCTATTTTTGTTAATTGATATTGTATATTGTATTCTGTTTAAGAAATTATGATGTGTAATTTGAATTCGCACCGTTTTAAATTCGCCCAATCAAGGAGAGGGCGAAAGGGGCGAAAATAAAACGGGGGCGAAAATTTCCCTGTACACAGTATATAATGTATGAAAATATGAAATACATGTCCAAATATGATAATTAGAGGTTATAGCTCTTTTTGGTTTTCCTTGTATAATTTAGTTTTGATGAGGGTGTGATTGTGTGTGTGAGCGAATGCATGATTATAAAGTAGGAAGTCTGGCTCGAGATTTCCTTCCTAATCTAAAAAATAAAATATCAATTCGATTCAAACTTCGATCGATTTGATTTCTTCCTTATTTAACATTTGTGTTTTCTGTAAAATGGCTCAGGGATGATGTCACTTCCTCTCTTAGTAAGGCGTACGCTATCATCTACAGGTTCTTGGTGGAATCCTCACATGCATGAAACGGAGATCAGTCTCTAACTGGAGTACTAAAGTAGTAAAGTAGCTGCTAATAACAAATGTATGGTATTAAAGTAATAAGAAAAGTAGTAAAGTAACAAATGTACAGTAATAAGAATTATATAAATGTATGAAAGTAAAACCGAATTCATTTAATTGATGTAAAAATGTCGTATAAGTTGTCAATATTCATTTAAAATTGTTCGTTATCGCACGTGTTGCAAATCTACAACTACAAAGCATTTTTACAAATACATATGTACGTATGTATATGTGTACATATGTACACATGTATTTATTTATATTGATCCTAATAATTGTCAGAAATATAATACCACCGTATCCAAGGCGATTTCGTTCTGTTTCCAAGGTAGGATATCTGTATTAAATGTTCATGGCATGTTTCTAATTCACCACTATTAGTTCAAGTTTTTTCAGGAGTACTTAGAACACGTGGCTCAGGTGAACTGTAAACGAAGTATTAATATAAAATCTATTGTTCCTGGTTTAGGATTTTAAACATTGTGAGGGCTAATTTGTATGAGGGTTAGTACACAAGAACTCAACAGGAACTTGGCAGAAATTATTGATTGTCCTTATAACTTCCACCTAGCAGAAATCATCAATTCCAGCGATGTCTGCTTTCGTTTAAAGGTAAGCATAATCTAAATGTATCCCGAATTCAAAATAAATGCAAAATCAAAGCAACGTTGCTTGTGCATGAACGTATAATATAATTCAACATTAAGTAACAGAGATTGACTTTATCTGTCGTTTGTGTAGACAGTATTAATAAAGTTCTGAACGCATCCATCCGCTTACGTAAGTAAAGAATGAAAGTCGATAAGTTTAATAATCTTTATTTTTTACATAGAAGGTCTGTGTAATCAAGGTGATTCGAAGCTTCTTGAATAGCCTTGGATTCTGAACAATATTAAACCGGTATCAAAGTACTGAAAGTACTGTTAGACGGAGGCTTCATGTATGAGAGAACACAAAAGAAATATATATATCATACATAGCTGTAAAGAATATTTTGAGAAATAATGTGTAGTTTTTTTTTTTTAATTCAACATTTTTTTCAAAGGATACTCCAATATTCATGAGGTTTTTGGGATATTATAATTTCATCTTTGTAATGTAAACTTCGCCATGATTAAAGTTCACTATTATTTAGATGAGATACTTTCAATATTAAACCTTTCAACGTAAGAAACAGTAATTCTCTAGGCCTGGTTGACATAAAACTTAGACGGGTTAACTTTTTATCCCAGTCTCACTTAAGGAATATATAGTGGAAAAGCGAGACTGAGATCAAAAGTGAGCTTGTCTAATATAAGTTGTATGCCCCCAGGCCCGGTTTGATGAATGTAGGTCTAGTATGTTCTAGTCATGAGCCCACTGGCGGAATTGAAAGGGGCCCCTGGCCCCCTCCCTTTTGAGTCCAAAAAATACGCAATATTTGATAAATTAGTGTTTTAATTGTGGCAGTGGGCCCCTTCCCTGACCTCAAACTGGTCCCCCTTTTTCAGAATTTCTGGATTCAGCACTAGGCCTCAGCCAGTCAGGAGTTTCCATATTTCAAGATATCTTATTTATAGGTCACAGAGACCTTCTGTTAACATAATTATGACATGTAACAGCTACCAAAATCAAAATTTCTCGGCCTTATTGTAATAATGTTATGATATGAGCTAACATGGAAAAAGAAGCAGCCAGGTAATGGTTTTTGGTAATTGGTAATGGTTTTTGGTAATTGGACATGAACAACATAATATAGTACAGTTTGTCTTAAACCTTTGTGATACAAAATGGAGTGACCTAGCTTGATGCAACACAGAATTTTCTTTAAGTAATATAAAGTCATTAACATGCAATAAATGTTCGTGCCAGAACACAATTTTTTGAGTGGAATAAAATATACTTTCTTACTTAAAGTAAACAGAACAATAAAGTTCATAATACTTGCTAGAACTGGGTAATTGCTTACAATAACAAAGATATATCTTAAATGACAAATTTGACAACCAATATTTCTGGAATTATTAAATGTAGTATTTTATCATATGACAGATTTAACCCGAAAAATGTCTTTCTTTACTCGTATACCAGTGGAAATGGTTGTCCTTTTCAGTTTATCTGTTTAAAACAATCATTAACAATGAGACATGATTGCAAATTACGTAGAGAAAAGTAATAAATATATAACTATGATTTCTGCTTTTCAGTAACTCTGTTCAAACAATCACTTCTCCAATGATGTAGGTTAAAGAAAGTTGGCATGAATACCAATGATCAGAAATACATGTAATCTTGTCTATAAAAAATAATTAAAGTTTGAGATGTGAAAGAGGTAAAACACAAGTATCAAATGCAAATAAGGATCAACGATATGACAATAAGACAACTTATTTCAGAAGATATAATTTTTAATTATTAATTAGGATATAATGTGATAAATCATGTAAATCCTATGAACCAAGATTTGGGTTGTACCCAAGGGTCAAAAGTTACAAATGCATTTTGATCTCAATATCAGGGTTGCCGTTTGTTTCTCTCATCTAATGTGAGGGTACCCCAAACACGCAAACCGCTTGTAGAAAGTGTAAATCTATTTTCACGTGTTTCCTAAAATTATACATAATTACAAATAAAGAATTCAAAACTAGACTGTTAATATTCCTACAGATAAAAATACTATGCATTTGTTTAGTCATCGATCCTTGTCAGATTAAAAAAACTCCATGAAACCTATTGATGCAAGCGTCAAAAATCGGCCGCAAACCAATTTATCGGCCCTTTCAAGAAGAAATTAGAAAAGGAGTGAAAATGAGATTACAAACAGCAATCAAGCACAAAAAATTCCATTAAAACTGAAATGCTTGAACTATTATTAAAATATCTTATATTTATACCTGCGACATAAAACATTTGCATGCGGCATTGCAGGATTTTCTTCAATACATAATACAGGTACATCTGCATCTCCACACTTAGTTTGATACAGGCGAATTCTGGTGGAAGTTTTTACAATTAAATATAAAACTAAAGTTTAAACTTATCTATAACTAGAGATAGTTTTTACTTTAATAAAAGAAGCAATTGATAAGTGGGGTTCCTCGATCACTCTCCGCGGATGTTAACCCCCCCCCCCCCCAAAACTCCCTCTAGATCCGCCACTTCATTTCTTCTCGTTCTTGTTTTGGTGTGAGAATCGGTGGGAAAAGGCTCGGCATATTGTAAAACGCGCTTTATCATCGTCTGTCGTCTGTTGGGACAAAATCTCCTAATATTCTGTCTGATAAACAATTAACAGTAAATCACATTCTTTTTTACATATTCCGTAGGAAATGTATTTATATACACGTCATTTTAAAAATATTAGACAAATCCTGTTTATTTAGAAAAAGTAGAACTGTTTGTTTATACTTGTATGTGACGCGATCTTTGTTTTAGACTATGCCTATCCTTGCGGTCGGTGTAACGCAGAGTCGCTCTAAAAATAGAATTCTCAAGGTAATGAAAACAATTTCACCGATAGATGGTGTTTGGGAAATCTTTCCTGTTTACATTCCATGGGCAAGACAATCCCTATACCCGGAGGCTGTCATACAGCCTCCGTCTAAAAATGAAATATAAATTCTTTGTCTTCACTTGATCAACTAAAAACATCAACCATCTGAAATATTCTATTGCCTCTAAAGATCCGTTTTAATAATGTATGGGCGCACCTTTCTTTTAAATTTTGACTTGTCTGGGGAATGATAAAAAAAACTTACAGCAAGATGAATCATTTTTCCAATCACTTCTTTTTTTATTTTTCATATGCAATGATGTAATCTCTATTTCTTCTTTGTACGGAAAGCGATTGGCTACGACAATTTGGAATGAATTGAAAAGAAATCAATTTGGTATTGATGATGAAATACTTTTAAAAATTCATGTCCTTCACTTTCAAAATCATTAGAATTCCGTTGATAATTGGGGTAAAAAATGAAATAAATAACAATAAAACAGACAATCTAAATGAAGTATAGTACATGCATACACTAATTTAGTCTGTTCATAGCCTTATTAATTAAATTTTTCAACTATCAGTAAATTGCTCTCTCTCTCTCTCTCTCTCTCAATAAAATTGCGCAGATATAAGAAGTATGATGAAAAATAAATGAAATTTCATTTTAATGTTTCAGAGTCATGGGCGATTGCTACCACAGACATGAGGAGAGGATAGGTCGCGTGTTTGGTTTGTATGGACGCTTTCTGGAGCGGCATCCTGTCAAAGTTCTGGCTGTTGCTATCTCTGTCAACTGTCTCCTTGGCCTTGGTATGCTTAGACTTGAGACGGAAAGTGGATCAGAGAAACTGTATACACCAGAAAACAGCCAGGCCTCCAAAGATCGAGATTATTTAAAGAATGTATTTCCAAGAAACTCTGATTTCTACTCACATAAGGAGTCGTCTGATTTCGCAGAAGTGCTCATCCTAACAAAGGACAGGGGAAACATGCTGACGTCGGCATTTTTAGATGATGTCATGTCTGTTGACAATTATGTACGCAACTCCATTTCCATCAATAATATAAAGTTTGCGAATGTGTGTGCCAAACAGAATGGCAGCTGTGTAGTTTCTGGGGACATCTTCTTGTCGAATGATTTCAAACAAATGATGCTGGTAAACAATATCACATACCCAATATTCAAGGAGACTTCTATAAGTTCCCTTCTTGCAAGTGCATCGTTTTCAAGCGGACTACTCACATATGCCATGGGACTGAAACTCACCTACTACCTCAGTGGAGCGAATTCCAAGGAATGGGAAAAGGCTTTTGTTAAATCCATTTCGGGTGCTGTTGTTAATGTCTCAGAGTTGGCTCCATCTTACTCTAGTGCCTTAGACGACGAACTAGAGAATAATATAGGGGGAGACGTTCTTTTCTTTGCTTTGACGTTGACGCTGATGATGACGTATGCTTCCATTGCCACATCGAGAATGAATTGTAATTTCATAGCAGACAGAAGTCTTTTAGGCCAAGCAGGTGTCTTGGCAGCTGCTCTGTCTATTGTGTCCTCTTTTGGTTTACTGAGTCTTATTGGAGTGAAGTATATAAGCATAGTCAGCGTTATGCCTTTCCTTATCATAGGTAAGCATCTTCTTATAAAGTACCTTATAAAGAAGAGAAGATTCAAGTATTCTCTGTTTCTTTAAAGGTTTTACAAAACCTTTTCAAAAGGTAGGAATGTAATTTTGTTGGGTGATTGTCTAGTTAATTACTTAAGTAATCCTTATGACAGGTTTTTGTCTTGACGTTTCTGTAATATCATATCTCAAAGTCATTTTAGCCCTGAAACTTAATACTTCAACTTTGTTTTTAATAACTTAACATCACAAAAAGAGAACTTAATAATTATCCTATTAATTCTTATAAATGCTTACTTTTTACTTTCCATACCATTCCATTAAAACATTACGTTTTATGATTGTTTGAATCTGCAGGCATTGGTATCGACGATGTCTTCATTTTGATGTCCGGAATTGCTGATGCTGAGACAATAGAAAATTCTAGCGTGTCGGACAGAATTTACTTCATGATGAAGACCAGTGGTATCGCCATCACTATCACCTCCATTACAGATTTCCTGGCGTTCCTGATTGGAGCAAGTTCGGTTTTCTTAAGCGTCCGTAATTTCTGCATTTATACTGGTACGTCATTGTTATGGTTTGGGACAGTTTCGTATTATCTGTAAAAAATCTTGATTTCAATAAGGTATATCGATTAAAATCCCCCCAAAAAACTACATAAATGATATTCGCTTAACAAATGCATGAAAATACATCATTGTTTGGTGATATTTTATACTTTCTTGCAGGTGTTGCAGTACTATTTTGCTACATCAATCAAATCACTGTTTTCTCTGCATGCATAGTGATCAATGAAAAAAGGATTAAAGGCAATCGCCACTGTCTAGTTTGTTGTATAAGGACAAAAGATAAGGAATCATTGAGGAAAGAGGGTAAAAAAGGATGCTCACTTTACGCATGCGCTGGATACCCACCAAAAGAACGGGACGATGTCGATAGCCCTTTGGAGAGATATCCAAAAAGACTCATCCAAAAACTTTTGAGCTACCTGGTCCTAAAGATATTCATCTTATTAATTTTTCTGATTTACTTTGGATTTTCTGTTTATGGTGCTGTCCATCTTCAACAAGGGTTATCTCTTCCAAACCTTGTCACGGAAGACTCCTTCTTTTTCAAATACAGCACATGGATTGAGAAATACTTTACTACAGAGATCGCCATGTCATTTAATGTCAAAACAACCCAGACATACTCCTCTTCCTGGACTCAAGGGGTCCTTACATCGGTTCTTACTACAGCAAAACAAGACGAGGACATAGATCATGCATTTGAATTAAACTGGTTATCTGCCTTTAAACAATCTGGTCTGTATGCAAACACTTCTGAATCTGCTTTCATTGCTGCTCTGCAGACGTTCCTGACCAATGTTCCATTGTATGCTAGTGATGTGGTGATAAATTCTGCTGGAACAAGCATTACCGCGTCTCGATTTTACTTGAAGACCAATAACTTAAAGTCATCGTATGACCAAGGGAAGATGATGCTCCGCATGCGAGAGGTGACTGCAAATTCTGCAATTCCCATGATTGTATACTCGGATCCGTTCATTTTCTTCGAACAGTATGTTGAAATCCTTCCAAGCACCTTGCAAACTGTTGGAATTGCCATCGCCGTGATAATCTTTGTCACAATCGTCTTCATGCCTCACCCAACACTGATAGTCATTGTCGGCGTAACGCTGTTTACTATCCTACTAGGGGTGTTCGGTTTTATGTACTTCTGGGACATTTCACTCAGTTCCATCACCATGATTCACCTTGTCATGACCGTGGGATTCTCCGTAGATTTTAGCGCCCATATTTGTCACGCCTATCTTGCTGTAGATGCAGACGACAGGGCCACAAAAGTTGACCTTGCCTTAGACAGATCTGGAGGACCTATATTTAACGCGGCATTCTCCACCCTCGTGGGCGTTTCTATTTTAGGATTTGCAAACAGTTACATCTTTAAAACGTTTGGACAGATGATGTTTCTTGTGATATTTTTTGGTCTCGTCCATTCGGTTCTTTTGATTCCAGTAGTGCTTTCATTTATTGGTCCATTAAAAAGGAAAAAAGACGAAAAGGATGATGGGAAGAAGTCAATAGCAAATTCACAAAGTCCTAAATCAACTTCAGTAATTCCTCTTTAATGTTAGAATAAATTGAGTGACGCCGTTTCCCATTACATGACATAAATTGAAATTGAACGTAAAACTAAAGAAAATCCAAATGAATTGTGTATGCTACTATCGCCAAGAATAACTTGTTTCTGAGTAAAACATCACGTCAGAAAATCGATGTACATTCCTTTCTGGCAAAATGTAAGCTCTTGTCTATTTTACAATGCCACAAAGGTTAACCTAGCCTAGTGACCCATGTTATTATTTAATACACTCGTTGAGGTGAAGTAACATTTGGTATAGTTCATTATAAAGAAATTTCAATTTTGTCAGAATAAATCTTTCTGTTTATATTTCCGTTAGAAAAAAAGGTTTTCTTTCTACTCGTTTTCTATTCAAAACACACGATTCCGACTGTAATATTTCTTCGAATATTTATTATAATATTTATAATGTATGAAATGTTGATTTGTTTGAACCAAATAAAAATCAATCAGATATCTCTGGACTAAGATTGTAGCACATAGTTAAAGCGGTTCCAGACTGCGTTTAAGAGCATACCAGACAGGCTAGATACCTAACTCTATTGAATATCTATCGACAAAGCTAGAAAATCATCAACGCCTTTTGAATTTTGTCCTTGCTGTATACCCACTAAGCTAGAAAATGTTCATCTATCGTATTATTATTAACGCCTTCTATTCGTATATTGCGGCCACTTAATCATAATGTATATATAACTCTTCCTGGCAGCATTAAAGCACTACGAAAATTGATTGATTGTATATTGTTTAACGTCCCTCTCGAGAATTTTTCACTCATATGGAGACGCCATCAATTGCCGGTGGAGAGCTGCAAATCCTGTCCAATACTCGGCACTTAGGGCCATTGAGCAGGGAGGGATTTTTTTCGTGCCAGCACATACTGCAAAACGGGACCTCGGTTTATACGGTTTGATCCGAAGGACCGGTCTCCAATGTCCCACAGTGAGATTCGAACCCGCGACGTAAGGATCAACTCCTTACTTCGCGACTTTAGAGCAGACTCGAACCACTGCGCCACGCGGGCGACTACGAAAATTGATGTCCGTCCAATTTTAAATAAATATGATTTGTCATATAGATCTACATGTACATAATTATCTACGTTTATTTGTTTTCAATACATGTGTTGGATTTACACTCTCACTGAATCTGTAGGTTAGTTGGGCAGCTACGCATTGGGTCAATTTCATAAAACATTTTTGGGTAAAGGGGCAAGGGTATAGAGGATTTTTTTTTTTAAAAAATCGTTTAATTGTTCAAGTGAAGGGCAAAGTCCCCTTCCAAGGCGAGATAAACAAGAAAAAGCAAAAATCAAGCGGATAATTAAAAAAAATCTTCTCAAGAACCACTGGGCCAGAAGAGATGAAACTTGTGAGGTAGCTTCCGAGGAATATTATACATCCTCTTGTCCGAATTGGAGGGCAACATGCATTTTGTCGGACCCAAGAACCAAACTGTCTGCCTGAGGCCGTTGGCAGACAGTTTGGTTCGGGGGTCGACAAAACGCATTTGCCCGAGAACATAGTCAATAAATGTTTTGTTATACCTTTCATTTTAATTTTTTTGACACGTATTTTGAATTGTCTGAATTCCGTGTTGTAATCTTAGGTCCGTCAATTTTGAACACCAACGAATAAAAATGCCACTATAGGGGATGAATATGTTCTACAAAATATACATTCATGAAAAGGCTTCAAATTTTTTTCTTTAAAATCGCTGGACCAGTTAAAGTGAAACTTATGTGGAATGTTTCTAAGGTAGTGAATATATTCTAAACTACAAACGTATCCAGTACTTGAGGCAAAACCAGAAAATCGAAGTTTTGCATGGGATTTCAAGAAGTTTTCAAAAATCTAATGAATACAAAAAAAATGCAATATAAATGAATTTGCAAACATTCTCATGTTGTGTATGTGTGTTTTTCTAATTAATGACTCTGGGTGGAGCCATAACACAGGACCACAATTTTCAATGTAAAATGTATTTTTTTTTTAACTGGTGAACAGCAGGGCTTACGGAATTCTTGTTTGAAAAAAATTCTTTTACTTTTCAGGTTTTACTCATTTTATCACGCAAGTGGAAATGTAAAGATCATTACGGTTCCAAATTATCCAGAACACGCTTGAATCAGGAATCCTTTATTCAGTATTTATTCTCCATTCTGAAAACAGTCTAGCACAGTGACTATCATATTAAACCAACGATGGTCCAATTTACAAGCCTTGATCTGTTTATGACACATATTGATTTCTCAGCTACTATAAGAAGATATATTCTTGTTATTTTGTGTAAATTGAAATGCAAGTGCAACAGTGGTAATTTAGCAGGGTTGAATTTTTAGAGATCGTAATCGTTGTCACTTATTTTAACAAAGAAGACTAAATACTTTTTCTACCCTACCTGTTTTAATAACTTTTTAACATTAAGGTGTACTATCCCTCTGATATGAGAGAAAACTTTCTTGTGACATTTCATGATGAATTTATGAAATTCAGTCATGGATTGTCTTTTTCAGAATTCACAGAGTTTATAAACGAGGACCATTTTGTAGTTAACTCAAACAAATCTGTGATAGTGTACATATATTTATTTCTAGTTTCTATTGCAAATATTTTCATTTATTATTTATACTAGTTTACCTAAAACTTTTATACTCAGTTCTTTAAAACTGTCTAATTATATAAATTGAGATATTTCTATCTCCAAACATATAAGTCTTTTAATTATCACAGAAATTGTAGGTGCTGAATTGTTCATAATCATTTAATTAATATTTTGTTTCAATAAAAATAATTTCAAAGGGCGATAATGGAAAGATAAGTCTTGTTGATGAATGCATATTATTTTACAAGAACAGAAAAAAATTTCATATCCTGATTTAAAAAGAAACTCTTAATGATGTTTTCTAATGAGAATTAGAAAGGTATGATAGTAAAAATTATTTTCATGATACCTTTTATTTTTAATTTTATTGTGAGATAAAAAAAAATTCTTGATCTTTCTATTTACCATATCAAATTTTCTCACATCATGATTAGACATAATATTCATTTCTGAAAAGGTAAGCAACGCTTCATACTTCAAACTATTTTCCATTTGAATTTGATGCTAATGCTAATGATGAAAATCAATATTTGAATTTTTTTTTAAATGGTGGAATTTGGAGCAGGGGGATATTTAAACCTTAACAAAAATTATATAGCGCTCCTAAATATGCTACTTTTTAAGGCAAAAAAATATTTTACTGTAATCACATTAATTTTCATAGGGAACAGATCATGGTTTGAGGATCAAACTAATGAACATTTTTGATGTTATGTAAATAGATTTGATTTTTGGATACATAGTTACATAATCCTATTCTATCTTAATTTTCTAGTTAATTTATCATCCTATTTTGTACTCTGGCCAAATCATGGATACAAGAAATGAATGTTTAAAACCTAATCTCTACATCTTTGGATATAACTTTCAAGAAAAACTGAATATTGTAAAAATTATTTGCCATGCTATTTTCACCTACAAAGAATAAGTGTAACTAGAACTGTCCAATAGGGACAAATACCCCCCGCTGGGTTTTTCAGAGAAGGTGCCAATTCAAAAATACTTTATGGATCTAGAGATGTTCACAATTTACTTACAAAAATTTGCAGTGAAATATTATTGCTCATCGTGTTTCTTAATGAATGAAACAAAGGTGCAACCAAATGAAACATCAATACTTATACATTGTAATTCCATTGTAACATTTTTTTTTTTATTTCTGCATTAAAAAAATATATTGCAATTATGTGTTATGTCACTCTGCAAACTGATTGTTGAAAAAAAACCATTATACAAAATCAAATTAATCTTGATATATCAATTTGAAATGCATTTTGAAAATAAAGAGCTGTTCATCCAGTAATGAAGTGCTTTGACAGACAATAAATTACAATTAAGAGAATAAGAGAAGAGAGATCTTTAATTCTTGTGCCTTATTCCCTGGAGATTAGATAACACACACGCTTGATAAGAGATATGCCTTAACAACTTCCAACACCAAACTCATTAATTTATCTTTAACTGGATGCATGTCCAGTCATTATTCCCAAGAGACAAATGAAATTACATTATCTTCTGTGCAATGTAAAAACTGTTTTTAACACTTGATGATGTTTCTTTTTTTTAAGTTTTTATGAGTAGTTTTAAGCTGTAGTATTTTTGAACAGATATTCTAGATTCTATATCTCAAACCTTATACATGAGCCCAAAATGAACAAGTCAATTAAAATAAAAAATAAAACCTGTAAAATGCAAAAAAATTAACAAAAAGAGTTGAAAATTCCAGGTGCACACCTTCATATGGTGAATAATAAGTGTACAAATTTTCAGATTAATCCTTGCAATAGTTTCTGAGAAACGGTCCAGACAAAACCACAAAATAAAAATGAAAAAACACCTGTAAAATTCAAAATAATAATCCAATCAAGATGAAAATATCAGGTGCACAACTTCATATGGTGAATAATATGTGTACAAATTTTCAGACAAATCCTTCCAATAGTTTCTGAGTAATGGTCCGGACAAAATCTCATCTACAGACAGACAGACAGACAGACAGACGGACAGACGGACATGGTGATTCCAATATACCCCCCCTAAACTTCGTTTGCGGGGGGGGGTATAAAAAATATGACTTCTATGAAAGATAACAGGGGAGTAGAAATGACTAGGGGTTCCCTGTTGTTTTTCATTTACTTCCTAATGCTTTGTGGCCTCTGATAAATTACAGGTAGTCCATTTCTATATTGCATTAGGGGCACACTATGTTTCATTATTGAATCTTTTCATACCTTTCAGACATCTCTCGATCATACTCTTGGTAAAATAACAGAAATGTAAAAGTCTTTTCATTCATGAAGAAAAACCAAATTTAAATATTATTCCAATGAGAACATATACACCAAGTATAAAAATATAATACAATGATTTGTGAAAATTTGTTGAATCGACAAAATTATAGTACAAGTGTATTGTCTATGATGACTTGATGCATAACATACTTATTTCACAAAAAGCTTAAGTTCAGAGAGATTGCATCTGCTGAAATATTCTTACATGTACAACATGTATACAATCATACATGTACATTATGAATGCCTGATTGCTATAAACTTTATGTGAGATGCATGCACTTCTAACCATCTTAAAAACAATTCATAAGTAAAATAACAAGACCATCTTCAATGACAGCATGGCATTACAATAAGTAGAAGTATGCTTTACAATTGTTCCCACTTTTTGTCACTTTTAGTCAATAATATCTTATTTATTTTACCTCATGAAATCATTTTCAGTTTTGTGTAGTTCAACAATATTTCTATTCTATTGAATTCTCATCATACAATACATAAACAAATACCTCTAAGTCAATTTATTTAGTATTTTCGGAGGGAAATGGCATGCATCTTTGAGCAACTACACTGTATTATGAAACTTGAAAAGCTTTTTTCAGACTGTGAAAGTGAATGAAGATTTAATCAATGTACAATTTTAAGAAAATTGTTGAACTTACTTACAGCAAAGTTTTGTACCCATGTTTTTATGTGCCGGGATCGATAAATCCGGAGTGTATATTGTTTTTAATCTATGTTTTTAGAGAAGTAAAAAAGATCAAAGATGGATAAAAATTCATTTAAAAAGGAAAAAAATCAGCCAATGCCTCCCAAATACATTTTTATCAAAAAAAAACTGGAAAGATCAAGTCTGAGGAGTGTCTTTTGGAGGTTTTGTATCTGCTGATGTTTTCTTGTCATTACCAATATATTTACTATAATATTTTAGTGCTGTTTCTTTAAATTTTTCAATAATTTCCTGTGTGTTGGTTCTAACACTGCCAAAGAAAACCAAGGCTTTGGTCTCCATGGGTTTCCAGTAATGTTCACAGACTTCATTCTTGTTATCTTTACATGATGCGTAAAACCCGCCAATCAAAACTGCTACCAGAAGCATGAAAATGGCAAGGATGGTGAACCATGGGATTCCAGATTTCGAATCTGTAAGATAAAGAAGAAAATCAGAACACTGCAATGTCGCATTGAATAATCATAGATATACTAAGAGAAATAATACAGTAAACAATCGATCTCAGCAGCTGCAATGTAATATTTTTTATTCATTTCAGTATCACTTTAAATTGGGAGTTTGAGTACAGTACATTCCAAGTGTTTTTATCCCTGTTTTTTCCATCAATATGTCACAACTACACATTTTTTCATCAATTCTTAGGAAGCCCAAACTTTCTTTTTTGTACATGTATAAGTTGACCTATCAATCTGTGCAATAAGGCCTAAAATTATAATTTACTCCCACTGTTAAACAAGAAATGTTTGAGAAAAATATCTCCCCCTTATGTGACAAGTCTAAAATAGAGAATGAATTTCAATTTTGAACATCTGTAATTTTTGCGATAACAACTGGCCATCTTTTAGTTGTGACAATGTAATTCTATGTTTGATCTCTATCACACCCCAAAATCATTAGAATATACTGCTATAAAGATTAAAATGCATATGGTGCATACCAATTACTGTAGATCATTAAATTTTTGTGAAACCTTATTTTTGTAAGGTAGATATTAACCTTGCATTAGACAGATGATTAGCATTATTTTCACAAATTGTAGTTACTATTCCACATAATCAAAAGAAAACTAAAGCACACTTTCTTGCGTAATTATGTGAAAAGTTCTCACCAATAAGAAGTGATTTACAGTATATGTAATAGTGTTTTTCCATTTCTTTTTTATAAATTAGAATTTCTGGGATTCAATTTAAGTTAAAACTTTTTTTTATTTTGGTGTAAAATCTCAGAATCACATAACCCTCCTTTTTTTCCTCACCTGTGCTTTTCTGTCTGTCTGTTTTGTTTCCAATGTTTCCATTCTTTCCCTCTCCTATAAATTCAATATATACTTATTAATGAAATATCTCATAACAGGGAGATAACTCTACTCAGATCTATGACTTTTCCTTATTTTAATTCATATTAACTAGTCAAGTTAAAGATAACATCTGTCAAATTTGGCCCCAAAATTTTGATTAAATCTGCATATTTTAATTTATATAAATAAAATTCATTGAAAATAGACTTTTTACAATCATACAGGACTGCTATATATAAAATCAGAAATAATACCAGAGACGTTACTCCTTATATCTTTTTAAAGAAAGTAGTTGTTACAAGAAAAAGTTATACAAAAGCCTAATTTTTGCTGAATTCTCCAGCTCATATTCTCATTGTACCATGTTTCTTATCAGGTGATGAGGACATATCCCCCTCTGCTGTAGATTCCTCCTTCCTCCTCTTGTTTTCAAGTTTCTTCTGTTTTCTTTCTTGGCGCACTCTTTCTCTTTCTTCCTCTTCCTTCTCTTTTTGTCGTTTCTTTGCCTCTGTAAGATTGATGCATGTATTTTATTATACTCATGTAGAAGTGGTGCTGAAAGGACAGTGTAGCTTGCTTTCAAAAGGGAAAGCAGACCCTGATTATTTCTGCTTTGCTATAAAGGCAATATTAAGCAGCAAAAAGCCTTAATTCAAATTAGAAAGTTTAAATAATATCATTACACCAACTTCAAAGAAATATTGCTTTTTTGAGTAAATTTTCAAGAAATGCGCAAATTAAAAATACTTAATTTATTGATATGGTGATACAATGCTTATGAAAGAATTTCAAATGTGTCCATGATAAATATATAAAATATGCTTGTTTAATATTTTGTACATTCTATGTAGTATTTCTTTATTTAAGAAGTCTATTGGATACCTCTTTCCTCTCTTAGCTTCTTTTGTTTTAGTCGCTCAAGTTCTGAATTATAATCCCTGAGGTACTTTAGAACCTATTTTTTGAAGGAAAAAAAAACAAGGATTAGATTATTCTTAATTTTTTAAAAGAAATTCATGAAATTTCGATTCATTCAAAAACCATTAACCAAAGATACATGTAATTACATGAATAACAATGAAATGCTTTTCATTTTTATAATGATTTCTTGATCAGCAATTTTGCTGGTCATTTTCTTACTTGAGTTGCACACTTCTTGCACTGGTTTTCATCTAAGCAGTCTCCAGCAATTTTCTTAAGGTCAGTCTGGAGTGGGTTATCCTTCAAGTCAAGCCATTTGAGTTTGGTCAGTTTATAAAAACTGATTGGAAGAATGGTCAGCTGGTTTCCTAGGAGATCAAGGTGCTGAAGGTTCTGAAGGTTTCCAAAGTTGTCAGGGAGTTCTGTTAACTTGTTTTTACTGAGGTCAATCTTTACTAGGTGGGTCAAAGAACTAAAATTGTCCTGCAAAATAATTTCAAGTTCCATTAAAGTATATGCAGTTACTTTGGTGTATTAAATGTGGGAAAGTTATCTACATGTGTAACTTGTGAAATTTTAAGATGAATCATCAATAATTTATCCAGACTTACTGGTAGGGATACAAGTTGATTGCAGGATAAATCAAGCCGTGTTGCTTTTGGAATGGCAGCCTATTTAATAAAAAAAAAATTCATCATTAAATAGGATGAACCCTAGTATTCTGTGGTGAGGCTTGTCCATTTTAAATAAAGTTAGATAATTATAAACAAGTTCAGATTACTCACACTAAAAGATTATTTATGAGTTGTATTATGGTTATTGTTTATGATTACTATTGTTTACGAGTGCTGTAGAAAACCCTTCTTATCATGTTTTTATAAGACTCTGAATGTGTTGGTGACAAAGATTCCACAATGGCAATTATAAGGCAGGCAAACCATCAGACTACCAACATCCCTACAGCAGGAGTCTTCAGACTGCTTAAAAACCTCAATGTGCATAAAGCTAGAGCCCTGACAACATCAAACCCACTGTCCTTTATATGAAACTAGCCAGTGAGATAGCTCTGACACAGATTTTCAGGAAATCTTTGACTGAATGAAAGTACCAGCTGATGGAAGAGATGCAAAATAACACCCACATTTAAGATGGAAAAAAAGAATAAAACAGTAACCATAAACTACAAATCTATATATATTATATGTATCAAACAATGTGATGTAAAATCATGGAGCACATTGTAACCAGCCTTATCATAAATCATGCAAAAGTGAGTAAAATCAAGTATCCACTCCTGGATTCAGAAGAAAAAGATCAGGTGAAACACAGTTATTACAATGCGTGGACAACCTTAGTGAACCTAACCAAAAGCCAAGAACAAGGAAGCTGTACTGTTAGTCACAGATTCGTTTTAAGCCTTTGATGAAGTTTCCCATAGTCAAACTTCTTCAACAATATGGAATCAGAAGAAGCATATAGTAGAACTGAGCTTTTCTATCAACATAAGGCAGGTTGTGGTGGTTGATGCTGCTGAGACTACAAGCATCTTAGACAGAATGTTATATCACTAAAATAATAAATGTCCTCAGGACCTGGTTTAATGATAGAATTCGTTCTGTGTATTCACAATGTAGCAAAATAAACATAGGCGATAACTCGAACTCTGTGCATTTACTACAGACAATCTAGAGAGTTCCGAATGCAAATGTAATGGTTTTGGCCGTGGATATCGGCCTGGATAGCTCAGTTGGTAGGGCACCGGATTGGAGATGCAGGGGTCCCGGGTTTGATTTCTGGTCCAGCCATACATTTTCTCCTTTCCTGTTACACAAACATGGCATGTAAATTTGAAGCGAAATAAAAAGGTTGAGAATATTAGTTGAATTTTCGTCTTTCTCTGGATTACATTTTTGGTTTAAAGGCATACACAACCTCAAAAAAGGTTCTTCAAATTCGTTTTGGAGTGAATCTGAAATTTTTTGCTACATTGCAAGTATATGGGTGGTATTCTAACTGTGGTGAGGGCTTGTCCCGAGACACAGGTAGATTATTCTAACTACAACATGCTACAAGAATCTTTACAACATTGGTTAATAAAAAAAACACACACACAAAGGCTTGTGACAGCTTTGACCTCTTTTACGGTCGCACATTTTGACTGATCAACAATGAAACAAGAGACAGCTTTTCACGGGATATTTCTCTTAACCCTCTCAGTGCGCTGACATATGTTATTTGAATTTTTCAAAGAAAAAAATCTACCGCTCTTACTTTCTAAGAATTATTTTTTTTAAATCCATACCAGTTCTTTAACAGGAACTGTATCTAAATTGTTGAGACTTAAGTCCAACTCATTTCCCTCCAGTTTATCCTTCAGATTATCTTTCGGCATTTTGCACGTTTAAAGTGAAAGTTGTAATTGCACAAACCGGAAGCTGCTGTCATTGTGTCCATAGTGTTCATCTTGGTTAACCCAGAGGGTAATTACCGAAATTCTTTTTTTGATTGGCTGAAAAGAACACACCTAGACGATTTAAATAAATATACATGATAAATCAGCAGAAAAATAACTTGAAGTGTAAAAGTATTAATTTGTTTACAATGCCTACCAGTTATAGGTAAGTGTGTTTTATTATGTCTTGCAAATATTCTGTACAAAGCAAAAGTGAAAGTAGTGTAGCCCTTTTCCTTCGATTGATATTGTAATTTCTCGTTTCGTGTCCCATTAAAGATTAGATTATTAATATAAAGTCACAATCCAGGAGAAGAAACACATATAACATATGTATTCAAAAAGGATCGTCAAAATGAAAACAAGATAGCGCCCTCTGACGGTTACAAACGCTAACGTGATTCTTTACCAGACCCTCTGGGTGGTCGGAGATTTACGTCTTTGTGTCCATTGTTCATCTTGGTTAACTTAATGTTTGATCGAAATAAGAAGTAAATATTAATTTCACCGACGACAAATTGTTTTAATTTCATTTTTATTATTTATTAGATAATAATTTATTAAATGCATGGTGTTAGAGTGCGACAGTTGTCATGTTTTGAATGATAATGATATTTTGGAGTTTTTTTCTGATCGGGTTCGGAATCTAAATTTTGAATTCAAGCTACAAAGTGACATTGATTTTTAGCATGTTCCCCGTCCTTCCAGAGAGAGACTTTTATAACATTGAATATACGTAACTCAAAATAATAATAAATATGGTGAGTATGTTACCTGTACTGTTGGTAAGGTAAAGGACAGCAAAGCTGTTGCTGATATATAAAGAAAAAAAGCAAATTGATATGAATGACTGAAAGCTTTATTTGATAAGTAATGAACATGATGAAATACTTCAAATAGGTTATAGAAGCATAAATCAAGTTATTTAATTAGCAGGACTTGATATATCTTTTTTAATTCAGTTTTTCTAAAAGCCCTTTTTTAATAGTGTCTCATACTAAGTTTTATAATGAATATAATTGGATTAAATTCTTATTCCCCATTCACATCTTATGAGTCATGAAAATGTCATTTTTCAAATGAATCTACATAACTTGGAAGATTCCAAGCTTCCTTGATAGCCCTCAAATAAATCAGGGAAAATTGGAAAACCTTTTAATGGTTTTATGGTTGCCTAAACTTAAAGACAGTAAATCTGATGATTTTAGATTTCATTGTTCTTGGGTGCGACCTAATCTCAGCGAGATTCGAAGGGACTAAAATTTGGTCTGATGTCCACTATACACCTCAGCCCAGTCCCATACAAATTGACTTGCCCAGACTTTGACTGCTTGTTTCAATCAATACGGGCTGAAATGAATTACCTGCCTGCTTCAACTTTTTCCTTTGGACATCCTTTCAAGTCTCTATTACTATTCATGTCTTACCTTTAAAGGGTTTAAATCCAGCAAAATATAAAGTTGTTTATTTTTCATGGCCGTTTGCTATTCATCTAAACCTCCGATGCTGAAGAGTTCCAGCAATCGGCAATCATGGCAATCCTTGGCTGACTCCGCTATGCTCCATTCAAATCTCGGATGTGATAGGTGGAGTAATACGCATCAAGTCGATACATTTCTCCGCCGGAAACTGCCTTGTCACTCATTTCATATTTGGCTCTGCCTAAAGTTCTTCAAAAAGGTTTCTTTATTTGTGTAATTCCCCATGTTAATTACAAAGATATGTAAGTAGTCTTTGAAAACAAGAACACAGTGTTGGGCGTGCAACAAAGTAACTCGGATTTCAAAAGTATAACATTTGAATGAAATTCAAATAATATCACATGAATAATCAGCAAAATGGTTGATCACTGTTGACGTCTGAGGTTATGTGCGAGGTACGAGCCATCCAAGGAACTCCGAGTGCCGCAATAGTGTGCTTGAAATACTTCATACTTTAGATCATTCCTATAGGAGATAGTTGTAGAACCAAGTATTCGAAGCAGACTATTGCAGAACTTTTCAGATGCTCCACTGCTCTTTCCAAATATTGAAATAATTAAACACAAAATACGGTTAAACTAAATTCTATGAAAGTTCCTTTAAATTTGCTGCATTTTTTTTTCATATGTGAAAAATTAGATTCGGTTAAGTATAAAAAAGTTTTCTTTCGTATTTCGTATTTTTTGGTCATTTTGTTAATTCTTAAAATGGCCCTTCAGATTATATTGATGGCCCATGATTTCATTTTCAAAATGGTTGATTAAAAATGGTAACATTTGCGCCATAGTCCCATTTACCATTCTGGCCTTTCCAATCACTGCCTGTTGTACAGTTTAAGACCTACCACAAACTATAAAAAGGCATGTTATAAATGTGTATGGTGGTTAGTAGGGCTGTATCAATATATCGATATGTATCGGTATTCAAGAAAAATATCGAATGGAAAAATAACTTCCAATACGTATCGGACAGACAGTTTTTCTTCTAATTCTGTTAAAAAGATGGGAATTTCAACCACCAAAGATTATATTTTGAATTAAAACTGATCAATAATTATATAATTTTTAAGGAAATAACAGTTTTTATAATTATTACAAAATACAAAGATAATTTTATTTGAACACATTGATTTTACTGTCATTAAAAGTTTTAATTTGAAGCATTATTTGTAATGACAATGAGACAAGAACTTTAAAATGGGTAATAAAACACTTAACTGTTATGAAATTCATGCATTAAAATGATTAGAAGCCTTTCCTGATGGACTTGTTTTAGAATCCAATATATCGCATATCGCTTTAAAAAATATTGTATTGTATCGTATCGAAATTTTTGGCTCAATACACAGCCCTAGTGGTTTGTTGGGTTCAATCGCCAATGACCAGATAGCTCAGTTGGTAGAGCACCTGACCGGAGATTCAGGCCATTTCAGGGGGCCCGGGTTCACAGCCCGGTCTGGTCTACTGCATTTTTCTCCTCTCCTGTTACATGTGCATGCACATACCATTTTTTTGGCAGAGAATTTCATTAAATTCATTTTTGAACATCTTTTGCAAGAAATTCATGCTACCCCTTTCCTACCATGTTTCTATCCTTGCTGAGATGATTGAGAACTTTTTTTTCCATGTGGACTCATCAAAATTTTCCTGCACAATGCGTTAATTTTTCTTCTAATGAACTTGAATTTCCTCTTATTATGTTTTCAAAAATACATGCCCCAAAACTTATTTACTTTGCAAACTGTTTAGACCAAACAGTTTGCAATGTAAATAAAGTTTTCAGAAGTAATAATTTTCTATCCAGCTATGTCATAATGTAAATAATATGATTGTCAACTGTCAGTGAAATTCAAAAGATAGTCTGGCCATTTGTTTGTGCATTCACACACCTCAAAATGTATGTATGTCTCTTAATTGACACTGTAATGTTCATTTACTTTGGTGAGTGATCCAAATGTTTTTGTTATTTCAGAAACCATTAATAGAACTTATTATTGGTTGTGCTCAAGTGGTAGCTCGTGCATTCACTAGGGCAGTCCAGGAGGAATTTAAAGCCAGTCAGCAGGCAGCTCAGAGAGCAGGGGGAGGGAGACAGGGGGCTAGAAGAGCCGCTAATGATACCGTATCAGGAATTAGTTTACAGGTGATGCATTCTGTGTTATGTAACATTTTCTGTCAACCTAAAAGACCTTTATGAAATTTACAAGTGTCACTGGAATACCCGGTATATTTAATAGCATGTTTTTTTCATCGTCAATCTTCCATTAAAAAAACTGTTAAATACAACATGGTCAGTGTCACTCAAGTTAGTCTTGTCCCATTCGCAACTACCATTTGTATTCTCTCTGTGATATGTGTACTGGTATGTAAGTTTTTATGCATCTCACAGAAATTTTGTTTCATGCTCAAAATATGTATTTTTTGGTCAAATCATTTAGAAATTTTAACAATTTTGCATTTATTGCTTTAAGAAAGGCATTATAAAAATAATTTATTTTTCCTTAGAATACACCTCAAAAGGTACATGTACTAATGCAAATTTAGAAAAACAAATTTAAGTTAACAGTCAGATAGATGGAAAAAAACTTTTCATTTGTGCAAATAACTTGCTTATTTATTATATTGTGTTCTTTATTTAGGAGGCCAAACAGATTTTGAATGTAAACAATTTAGAAGATGTAGAAACTGTTGAGAAAAACTACAAACATTTATTTGAAGTCAATGATAAAGCTAAAGGAGGTTCTCTATACTTACAGTCCAAGGTAAGTTAAAAAAACAAAGAAAGAAAAGAATTAAATCACTTATAATAAAATAATGGGGTGTAAAGGATTTTTTTTCCTGGGAAGGGGATGAACATGATTGAATTTAAAATTGAAATTGAACTTTTTTCTAAAGTTCAGTTGTGTAAATGTACTAAAAAATAATCGTACTGTAAGTTATTACTTTTACAATGTCTATGCATTTAAAAAAAATAATGTCAATATTTTCAGGTATATCGAGCAAAGGAAAGAATTGACATGGAGTTTAAGAAATCTGACCAGGAATCAGGGACTAGTGATGCTAAAGAGGAATCTAAAACTTAACAAAAGTGTTTCCTTAAAGTTACTTCAGTGTTAAACATCAGTCTGTGATCAAATGTAAACTTCATAGAAGAAAGAAGGGAGGAAGAAATGTGGGCTTTCACGTTCATACAGCTGTAAGAGATAGAGCAAGTGTAACATTTATCTGGCTGTTTGTAGACCATATTGGAGTGATCATCTTCACTAATTATTACATGTGAGAGACGCATCTGAGGAGAAATTTGATTTTTGTGAACTAGTATGTGATCATTGTTTTATTATTATTATTCATTTTTGAATGATTTTAATCCATTAGAATTGTTAGTCAGCAAGACTCCTATAACTCAGGAAGGCAATGGTTATTAATTAAGTTAGAGTATAATGTGATAATGAAGGAAAGCATGATCACTAAGCTATGAGGAATTCATTCGTATAAAGTTCTTAATAGTATGTAAAACGAGTCATAATATTCACCTTTTTATTTTCAGGATGATTTTTTTATCACAATTGATTAAAAAATGAGTCATAAAAATTCAATTCAGAAATGTCACATGTGTATTGTACAAAAATATATGTATGAACAATAAAAAAAATTAGGCTGATATTCTAAAACATGCATTTACAGTAAATATGAATAAACTCAAAAAACACCATTTTCAGTATTGCATTTCATATGAGGCAGAAGGTGAGAAAAAAAAATGTCAATTCACATTGTTGTACAGGAGAAACATCCAACAATCATGCAGTTTTATCCTTATAGAAAATGAACAGTTCCACAACATGCATTTTATTGATTTTAATATGGTGATAAGCACAAAAGTGAATGATAGTGATTACACAAGTTACAATAAAATTCACAAATAAATGATCTGATTGAGAATATGGTTTAAAGACCTTGAGGGACTAATTGCTCTTGAGTATCATAACACATTTTTTTTCGGTAAAATTCATAAGTATTCGAATTTTTGGAAGCTAATTGCTTGCACAAAATTCGTATAGAGTTTTGTAGAGTATATAATGGACATATTGCTCTGTAATTATTCAGCGAATGTACACAAATATATCGAAAATTAAGATACGACAATGAAGGTTGTTATTATAAGATTACAGCAGAAAATCAAACCGTGTTGAGTAGACTGCATCTGGATTCTGGGGGTCTGTTGCGTGAACCTCGAACTCTGTTCCTCCAAACTTCATAGAGACCTTTATTTGCGCGCCCTTTTTCCATCCGCCCTCTGGCGGTTTGATGATAATTTTCCCGAGCATCTCGCAGTTCTCGTCCGTCGTAAACAATGGATTTTTATCGGGGGTTGCATATATTTGTAGGGACATTGGAGCGTGTGGTTTTGGTACGTCGTATGTTTCATCTACACTTTTGTTGACATCAACACTTTGGCCAGCCTCGATGAACTTGCTGAAGAGATCCTTACAAAGAACCTCGTTGTCGTGTTCCAATCTTTTTTCCGGTGGATGTCGCTTTTCATCGAAATTGTCGTAGACAGCAACTCCATACGTATATTTGCAAACACGTGAAGAGATGGTTAATGGGGCATGTCCACATAAGACGGCTCCTTTCACTATGGCTAAACCAGCATCCGGGGGAACTACAACGCGAAGTTCGGGAAACGCCTGTTTCACCGCATCCACTATAATATTGGATGTGGAAAATCCACCAACCATCAATATGGCAGATATTCTGTTTTCATTATCTTGATTTTCCAGGATGTTTCGAACATGTGCTACGATTTGTTTCTTAGGATCATCAAATAGCGTTTCCATTAATTCTCTATCAATTGCAAGTTTGTTCCCTGGTTTTATTTTTATTTTGTCAGCAAACTCTGAGTTTGCTACGATATCTTTCAAGCTCATGCCTTTCATTTCTTTTACATAATCAGAAAGCACGGCTGGAACGGAGATAATAACTGGTCGAGTGTTTTGTCCCAATTTATCTCGAATATATCTCTTTTTCATTTCAAAATCCCTCTGAAACTCAAGCATGTCCGTTCGTCTTTCTGTTTTAAACTTCAATAGAACGTCCTCCCCAAAAATAGATTTAAGCATGTTGTAGTATGCCTTATCCACGTTTGTCCCTCCCCATGCACCTCCACTGGCTACATTGATTTCTCGTAGGGAATTTTCATCTACAACTTCATGGACTGTAACGTCGCCAGTTCCACCTGATAATGTATATTGAACATAAGTATAAGAAATCATTTGAGCCTAAGCCTATCAAATACATTCGTGTCTGTCTGTTTTTCTCTGAAGTAACACATTTTTACATACCACCGAGATCTAGTATCATATACCGAGTCCCGATACTAAATGGAACTATTTTCATGTTCTGTCCATCTTCATCCGCCTGCTTCTCGGCTGGCACATATTTGCAGAACAACGAGGCTGCTTCAGGTTCAAGGGCCAACTGCAGGTTATCTGACGGTATTCCCGCCTGAATCATAAAAGCAAAAAAAAAAAAAACTTAGCTTTCTCTCCTCTCTCTTTCTCTCTCGAATTCAAAAAATTGGTAAATAAAGTTAAGATTAGTCATTCACTTGCCTCCACTGCGGCTTCTCTCATGAATTGTTTCGCAGGTTCATTCCATATTGCAGGAACTGTGAGGACCCACTGTATGTCTTCGGGTTTTAGATTCAATGCACGTTCTTCTATAGTTTTGAAGAAATGCTTTTTCAGGTATTCAATGGAATGTCTGAACACTGTACGAGCTGGAAATCCACGCCCACCCGAATCTTCAATAATGACGTCACGGTTCATTATCTTCAAACAGAGAGATTGATGACATATCAGACTTGTATCAAGAACGGTGAATAGTATTTTTTGTCTCACAAAGTTATTAATTTGGTAAGTTTAGAAATAAAAAAGTTTTTCATTTATCATGCTTTGGTATATTAATGGATATATTACAAATACGGATGAATCGAGTGGAAAAAGTACCATTTTGTTGTGGAGCATCATTTTAAATCGGCGGAAATAGTGGTAGTCATGGTGTTCTTCGTTTTCTATCAAGTCCTGGTACACCTCCTCAGCCTCGTACCCAAAAGAGTTGAAACTGTCGTCTGCATTTAGAAGCAAGGTGGTAGGTGTTTTCCAAGACATTAGACCATTCCCGCCCTCTGCAACCCATGACGTGTTAGTAAAAATACTTCCAATCCTGTCAGCTTCATAGTCATGTCTAAACTGAAAGGCGTATCCAGAATAGGTCGTCCCGAAGTCAATGGCCATCACCAACAGGGAGTCGGTCTTCGACACTCGACCTTCGACAGAAAACAAGAAACGATAAATGTGGTCAAAATACCTTAATTTGATGTTTCCCTTGATATTTGTTAGCCCATGAATTTGAAAGACATCTGAAGCACATTAATTAAGAGTAGAAGGCGCTAAACCATAAGAAAAAAATGTTTCGAGGCTAAGCTTCAATTTTCAATGCTTATTGTTCATATATCTTTGCAAAAAAGTAAGACTCTAATGCTAAATCTGTCTGTCTTTCCGCAAAAACTTTAACCTTGTCCATAACTTTTGAGAGGGTAGGGGTATGACTTTAATATTTCACAGGTGTATTCCTTGTGACAAGACCTTTCTTTTGGGTTCCAACAAATTTGACTGTTTGGCCTTGGAGTTTGACCCACTTTTGCAAAAAATTGCCAATTTGGTTTGACTCACTTCAAATAAAAAACAGCTTTGCCTTATGCCATACCTTTTGAACAATGCGTACCAGGGCTTTCTATTTCTTATGACCTTCCTTTGGATACCAACAACTTTTGACTTTGACGTTGGGGTTTTATTTTAAGACCTACATCTGAAAAACTTTAATCTTCGCCAAGATGTTTGAACAATTGGTTTGGGGCTTCTATACAGTATTTCATTTGTATATTTCATATAACAAGACCTTCCCATGGGTACTATTAATTTTTACACTTTGACCTTAGAGTTTTACCCACTTAAAAAACCACAAGCTTTCATATTTCAAATACATTTTTCACGATTATCCTTTGTTTGGTAACAACATTTTTGATTCCTTGACCTTGGAGATAGACATGCATTTGAGACACTTCAATCCTCACCACAAGAAACCGTGCAGGGAAATCAGTGATTCACTAAACATCTTGTTATAAATGTACGTAGCTATCAAGTACTGTACGTACCAGCTTTTAATGACTGGGGGTCTCGCTTTCTGTTGACAGAATAGTATTAACTATTAATATGGACATCCACAGGTTATATTACATGTATTATTATTATTTTTCTATATTCTAAACATTAGATAAAGTCTATACGTATTTTTCGATTTAAAAAAAAAATTATGTCAGAAAATTACGAAATATCAATCAATATTCATATAGACTTTGTGTAAAAGGTCGTAAAACTTGATTACGAACTTGTTCGTACTGTATATCGGGAAACGTGGCAAAATTAAACAATACTTCCTCGGTTACCACTCAACTAAATAGTGTTTTACAGGGATGTTAATTTTTTTAAAACGAAAGTACTAGACACTATTAAATGGTTATACATGCAGTGATAAGCTAACAAATAAGTAGATATGACTCAAATGCCTATGTTGTTACTCTAACCTTGAAACATATTGCAATGGAATTGGTGATGCAAGGAAAGATTCAACACACAGCACTTTGATGCAATAAGCCACGGTTTCCTTTTCATAGAACAGAGGACATGGCAGTATGAATTCCAGGTCAGGCGATTTGATTCACCTGTTAAGTGCTAAATATTTAAATGTAAATATAGCATTCTTGTTGCCAAACCGAAAGCAGATATTGAAGAATCCGATGACATGAACTATAGGTGTCCAGGGATATAATGGTATAGGTGGTACATTTCAGATTCACCAGGTATATGATTATTACGTTTATATGTGTCTCTGTTGCATGGTAGATTTTATTGATATATTTATTTACATGCAGCTACTTTCGAATGGATAAAATGGGGACTGGTGTCAGTCAACAGGGAAATACCCCCGCTTCCAGTCAACCTAAAGACTCTTCTGAAACGTTCCGCCCACCCAAAGGCTCTTCTGGTCGGCCCCGCCCACCCGGAGACCCTTACCAACATCTCTACACCGTGCTGTGTGAGTATAAGAACGGCAAGAAATCGTTATCCGTGGACGATGTCAAAGCCTTACAGGGATTTATTCAACAGCACCATAAGGTATACTAAAATCGTTACATTATTCAAAAAGATATCGGAGAAAAAAATTTCAGTCATGTTGGAACTATATATAGTAAATGTCCCTACTATTTACTCTGCAGGATGAAAATTCACCCTCATACCTGAGTCTGACAGCAAATAAAGAGAAGCTTGCTAATCTTGAAAAACAACGTCAAGATATTTTGAATAAGTGAGATTCATAGTTACACGTATTTATATAGCAATTTTTGGACAATGCATTGCCGTAATAAGCTTTTTTGTATAGAATGTGGCAAGGTCTAACGGCACTCAAGTTCCCCAAGGATTGATTCATGATTGTGATCTCTACACAACATACCAAAACTATAAATTTATAATTCTTACATGTAATCATATACTTTCTAAAGATCTAGCATCTTAATGAATATCTTTTAATCATATAAGAAAAAAATAAAATGTAAAAGCTCTTCGATTACAAAGTCTCGGGATAAATAAATGGTTACATATGAACAAAGCATTTGAAATGTGTCGTGTGACCTTAGGAATCGAGAGTGAAAGGAATCCACGTACATTTGAAAGCAAACGTCGCTTTTCTTAAAGTAAACTCTGAATTACATGAACTGTAAGAAGTCTACATTTTAAGATACTAGGAGAAAAAGTTTTTTAAAAATACATTTCGTCATTCAAAAATCAAATTTTGGTGTATACTTACCTTTTAATATCTAACATCTTACTTTTTTCAGGATATCGGAAGTCGCAGGTGCCCGTTTGAAATCAAACAATCCTGCCATAGCTGATCTAAGCGACCAGAATCGACCCAGTAAGTTGGCAGAGAAGTTCTCAGAACTGTACGACAACGAATGGACGGACGCGGCAGAGGAGCTGAAGCAGGCGGGCGAGTTCCCGGAGGAAACACCAGAAGAGGATATAGACATCGCTGTCATCAAGTTCCTATTTAATTTTGCCAAGGTGAAGATGCCATCAACATATTCAGATTCTACTGTAGTAATGTGGTATTTCTTACGCTGAATTAATTGTCTGAGAATTCGAAATAATGAGTTAATTCAATTTGTTTGTAAATGGTATAATCCATAGTGAGACCATATACGTGTAAATGCTACCTAAAGCAATGTGTTTTATATGTTCTTCATTCCCTTTTAAGGTAACGTATAAAGAATGCGAAAAGAAAGCAGCGGAACAATTACAACAGGTCAGGGATGCGGTCTCATTTCACAATAAAAATGTAGAAGTAAGTATATAAATAAAAAGTTAGTTCAATAAATGTAAAATATTTTGAGAAAAAGTGGGATAATTTTTAATCAAACCGGAACAATTAATATTGGAGATAATAATGTTCCTTTTTTTAAGGAAATGGCAGTCGAATTAGACAGAAAATGTAGAGATTTTATCAGAAAACATTGTGAAATCACCCTAAGTGAAGCTTTAAAGGTAAATATTATTTTTATTGACAATTTAATATTAGTATTCCTATTTGATATTGAGTGGATGTGTTAGTTTTAAAGAGCAAAAAACTATTATCTTTCTACATATTATCTTCAGATCCTTCCATATAATGTCATAAAAGATCAGAAATTGTGTAAAGAATTGGGAATTACTGTGGACCAGCTGCAGAACTGTAAACACACCAATGACTTTTTAAAACTTTGCGCACGCCTCTGTTGGATGATGGCACTCCAGGATCCGCCCGTATATATGGTTACCAGCACAGATTCCGTGGAAATGTACAGGGCGTACACAAGGTCTGGTGACATCATTGAATATGTTGTTTGGCCAAGCCTTTTGTTGCATAAAGATGGGCCTCTTCTTTACAAGGGCGTTGCTCAATTTAAGAAAAAGGATGGCAAAAAAGAAAATAGTCCCGATGTCAAGAGTCAGATCAAGTCTGAGGCAGACAACAGTAAAACTGTGCATACAGAACAGCCAATTTATGAAAATTTTAATGGGTCAGAAAACAACTCTAACAATTACCAGGACAGCATGAAGAATGGTACAGTAAACCCTCCAGCAACAAAGGCAGGGGATGGTTCTGCTAGAGAAAAACACATAACCACAATTAATGTTAAATGAAATGATTTACTATTGACTTTTGCTATGATTATATGTGATAATTCAATGTATATAGTCATGCTAAAAATGGATATATCTTTTGTATCTCTAGTGATACTACATGCATTACATATAGTGACAATTTATTGTAACCCTCATAATGGCAATTTTTATATTGTCTCTTCAACAATTTTTAAATTGGTAAAGTTATTTTTATAACAAATGTTTTTGATATACTGTATTTTATTTTCAATAAACAGTTACATGTATATACATGTAGGATAATTTAAATTGTTTGACTTGTAAACTAGTGTAAATAAGTTTAATAAACTTATAAAAGAAACACACTGCAAAGTTGTTGGATGGTGTTGACATTTCTGATTTCAATTTCTCAATCATGATATTTATTTTTGGACTTTCTTTTTTATCAAACATGAAAAATACGAGCTCGTGGAGAAGATATTTATAGTACAGTGTTTAAAGGAATATCAATTTCTGATACCTCTCTCTCTCTCTCTCTCTCTCTCTCTCTCTCTCTCTCTCTTCCTAGTGACACACATTAACAACCTAATATGGAGGAGGAAATCTATAGCCCCCTCCGGTAGCGAATTAATCTCTTTGGAGGTGTCATATTTTATTAGCAATGTTTTCAATAAATACATGTAAATGTACATTTATAAATACATTATATACACTGATATGAAAAGTGTTAATATAAAGGTTGGATAGGCAATTACATATGCTAAATAAAGAGAACTGAAATTTAAGTCAACAATCATATAATTTGTAAAATTGGGGAACACAACTGGAAATGAACTTTGTTTAATGTATATATCCTGTAATAAAGTCCCCCCCCCCTGGTCTTGGATATGTGATAAGATACATTTACATGTTAGTGGTTTAACTATTAACTGATTTGTGATTAAAATTTAGTACATTTGCCATTTTATAATTAACAAATCCTTTACATTGGGCAAATGATTCGCATTCTGCATAATTATGTTAATTTGCAACAATAAGATTGTACATCCACTGTTTAAAAGACGAAAGAAAAAACTTTAGGCGTCATGAAATTAAGTCACAAGTCACCTTTCTTAATTTAATAAAATTAAGATCTAAATTATGTGAAGAGAAGACTTTAGGTTGATAATACTAAAAGTACGTGTATTTAATTTCCTTGAAAGAACCCAAAACTTTCTACGTATACATTTGGTGTCTTATAACGGTCGTAAATTGTTGCCAAATTAACATAAAAGTAAGAGATTTCACGTGAGGTTAGATCGATAACAAAATATCTGTAAACACAGTTAAAAAAATCTTTGCTTCCAGTGATAAAATTGGCCATGGACATCCCCATCAGATAAGAAAGGGGGAAATCCTTCGAAGAAATCGTGGTCTTTACTATATTTAAGTTATCGACATCTTAAAAATATAATTAATATAACTACTATATAATACATTATTAATCAAAAGCAACTCATTTGCATTAGATGCTATATATCATATGTGACTGTGGTAAAGGAGTTCTGGGGATAAAAAAGAAAGTTAATGTTTCATCACAATAACAATACTGGTATATCATAAAGCAAAATGATTTTATGACCCACCCACCCACCACCTTTACTTTGCCATGTAAAGTATGGCTACTATATATAATTGTGTAGATGTACCCCTTAATAATTATTTTATTAATCTATAATTGAAAATGTTTGGTAGCGGACCAGCCCCCCTCCCTATAAATGAAATGGATCTGTCCTATCCAAGATGTCTAAGTATAAATCATTCAGACAAATAAATAAACAAGCTAAAATTCTTCAAGTTTTTATCTATTTGTTAACTGGTTAGATCTCGATTAAAATTCAGGCAGGGTAAATCCTGAGAAATAAGGACGTACATATCGCCATGTGCATGCTTGCATCAACCATCTTTCGCCATGTATGCAAGCAACCATATCAACACAGCCGAAGTTATTTGTCTGACATAAATAATCATGTACATGTCATACTTAGCTTATGTTTCAACTGATGACACTGACATATCTAAAATTCTGAAGATTATAATATTACTAGATGTGATAAAGGACAGCCCCCTCCCCCTACGATATAGAACCCTGGCCCTTTTTCGACTTTTTTTCTCGTAAATAATCTTTCATTGACATACATGTATTTGTGATAAGATCTATACCAACAAATCGAAAAATTACATAAATCAAACGTTTTAGAAAATCTACCTGGTGCATTTTATATATAAAAATACAGTGGAGTGGAAATTTTTTATAAAATTTAGTTTACGGAAATTTTATGATTTGATCTGATAAGATAAATTATACCACAAGTGTGTCATCCATATATAATTTATGTGAAAAAAGTCTAAAAGGCCTGGGGTCTATGTGGGGGTGTTCCTGTCCTCAAGCACCTGTGGGAGTAACTGCAAAATTTGAAGGTTCTTTCATTTTTCAACTCGCATGGAGACTTACAAAACACACCTTTTTAATAAAAAGCAAATTTTATGTTACTTTTTTGTCTTAAGAAGATGAGAGCCATTTTTTTCGTAAAGGACTAATACTATTTACTAGAAATGAAACTATTTTACCGACATTCAAAATGCAAAGTTTCAATACTCTCAAATAATGCATTGTTTCTATTGTTAATTAATATATCTTAATAGCTTTTTTCAGTTTTTTTTTCTTATGATTTTAAAATGCCCTTCATTTAAAAAATTATCGATGATATCCTTGAAAATTTTTACTTTAGGATGATGAAAATTTTCAAATTTTGTACAGTTCAGTATTGCCGTCGGGATCGACAAATACGAGTTTCTTTGGCGGAAAATTCAAAATATCGGGAAAATAAAGTCGCGCAAAAAAAGATGTAAAAACCATTTAACATGAAATTTTATTACATAATTATGCAAATTATATGCAAATAGAGTTCATGACGTCATGCATAATTTATGCAAATTAGGGTCAATTTAAGGTCAGTCACGTGACCACATACGTCATTTCAGCCATCCGCCATAGTGTGTGGAATATAATGGATAGAGGGAAATAGCGTATTGGCGGATCTTGGACATTAACATCAGCTGTAAGTTTTCCCCCCTGTTTTTCGTGATAATCCATTTAAATCTCGATCAAAATTTTTTCAACACCTCCGCTAAAGATTTGTTTTGTGCTGGTATCATGCGAAATCCCGTATTTAGCGCCATTTTGTGAATCTGTACAAGTGATCCCCCGTTTAAACCCGAAATAAATGATGCATGTCCGAAAAGATGTGTTGATTTATGCAATTATGATTTATTTGTATTTTTCATTCATCTTTGTTTCATACTTTTCAAAGTTTTAACATACTGCTGGTGTTGTCAAAAACCGGCGAATAGAGTGACGTCCCTTGTGTGTTATTTACAAGATAAAATGTGAAACCTTGTCACGATGAAATGTTTTTATCATTTACTTAACCATATAATTGGAGGATTATAAATGTAGATTTTTTTATTTTTGCTAATAAAACACGCTTATATTCTCAATGTAATCACAATTAGATATAAATGAGGTCTAAAATGACAGCTTGCTCGTGTTGCATGCTGGCAGGTAACTGTTAAGTTGTTTAAGCATTGGATTCATATTTTTGGATGTCTTCCATCCTATAACACACCTGGCCCTGCCGACAAATTGAATACCATGTGTTGGTGTGGAATGATAATATGTGGGCTCGGCCAGGTGTGTTATAGGACTGAAGACATCCAAAAATATGAATTCAATGCTTATATTTACATTCTCTAATTTTCTTTCTTCATAATTGCTTATTTTGTTAATCTTTTATGTGAATTTAGTGCCCCTCAAAACTGGTGTGGTTAATAAAGACGTAAGAGCCATTTGTGATTTGTGCCGCTAAATGACATTGCAAAGTTAAATATTAACGCAAACAAACATTGCGAGGAAAAAAGTGACAAATTAATTTTAAATGCATATTTGTAGTATACTTATGATAATTGAGAAGGATTATAATTTTTAATTAAATTGAGTCAAAACATTGTACGTTTCGGTGTTCATAGATTATAGAAAATGCATATAGTTCCAACTGTATATTCTACCATAGTTAAATTGAAAAGGTTTCCCAGTGTGTTTAAGAGCTAGATTTGAATGTCGTGGATTTCTAATGGATTTTATACAGGAAATTACACTGAATGTAAATATGGGTTTTAACATGCATTGACTGGTACCTTATCTTATATTATAACATTGTCTCTTTCAGATGTCTTCTAGAAGGTAACATAAATTTATGTCAAATTTTTGTTAATTTCCCTGTAAAGATATTCAGATTATTTTATCTTTATTATAAACCAAAAAAAAACAAAAAAAAAACAACAACAACCTTAAGGTTCAAATTGACATCAATCTGATTGTAAAGAAAAAAAATTCAACTGTCATTTATCAATTGATGAAATGTTTGCTAAATGTGAGTTGGTAGAATATTTGTTTGTTTTTTTTTTATTTGAGGAAACCATCAAATGCAAAACGAGCGGACTCAGAGGAAAAGACTGACACAAATGGCACTGCAGATTCCGATGGCGAGCTGGATTACTTGCCAGAAGGTCAGAGGTCATGACTGTGGTTTTGAATGTTTACCTTATTATAATTCCACTGAATTGACCAGTTTTATTAAGATTTAGACCTCGATGTCCATGTATACTCATAAATGATGCAAACAGTACATGCAAAATAATGTCTATCAATGATCCCAATGCCTCTCTTGATAAATGGCTTTGGGATAGGGCTATATTCCTTGATCTGAATGCTAACAGATTTTTTCTATTCCAATTTTGGCCAGGGATAAAATGAAATGGAATGAGAAGGAACATGTTATATTAGCAGCATGTTAATATTGATAAAATTATCATTGAAAATAATGTACGTGTTAACTCTATCGCTTATGTTAAAGTATACTTCTTTTTGGCTCCATCTCTTACCCACTGCTTTTGTTAAATTATCTACTGTTTTTCGACAAAATCCATATTTGGTTTGCTTTGGTAGCAATTCTTTCATTTGTTTGCTATATGTTGATAAAGTGTACATTTGTACCATTTGGCAAATCTCGGATGATTCCGTCACCTTCATCAAACCTCGGCTGTACCAGGAAACTTGATATGGTTATTATCTCAACCTTTTTGATACGGCTGCCTATTTACTGCCTAGGGAAAACGTAATGCTTTGAAAAACGGTAATAAGCATCTGACGCAATAAAAATCTTCAGAAGCAGTATAAAGGCAACACTTATAAATAACCCTTACCAAGAAACATGCATTTAGTATTTTTTAAATAATCAAGTGTTTGTGAATAGATTGAATTCAGTCCACTGTGACTGTACACATATTAGATAGGGTGCAGCCATATTGTCTATAAAGTAGCTCTGGTTCAATGGTACTTTACATGATACAGCCAAGGTTAAATGCTGTACAAATCGGCCGAGGTGTGCTGAGTTCATTTGTACATCTTTCTGTATGCCTTTAACACTTAAAAATACCCATCTCTTTTCTGTAACTCCTATACCAATTTAGTAAAATTTAATGATACTTTTCAAGAATCTTTATTACATTGTGAATATCAAATGCACTGATGAGTGGATTTGTTTGCAATCTGTGTTTGAAAAATAAAGAAAAGTATACAATACATGGTCCATTAATTTGCACTCACAAATCTGTGCAATAGCCAATCATATTGCCTGCACATATTAATTAAATACTACAATATCTCGGCCAGTTTGCCCATGAGTAAAACACTAGAGTACCTCTGGGTATTTGATAGAAAACTTAAAAAAACATACATTTTTATTAGGAACTGTTGTTGTCAAACCTGAACCTGTTGGAAAGAGAGGAACATTTTCTGGACCTGAATTCCGTTCAAAGAAGAAAGAAAAGAAAGAGCCAAGTACAGGTTGTTATTATAGTCAAATTTGCCATGGTATTCTCTGAGTTCTGAAAGATATTTACTTTTACCTTCATCAAATAATATTAAGTTTAAAACTTGTCTGCTGCTATGAAATCCATCACCAGTTTTTATCTTGAAAGAATCATTATGACTTTCTATACACATATAAATCTTAGGAATACACTGTATATGCATTGAAATGCATCGTGTTCGAATAACTGAATATGATGTACTTTCCACAGATTTCAATTCTGCAAGTGCCAACCTAGGTAGAGTATCTTGTACCGCATGTGGAGAACAGGTCAACACCAATAAGTCTGGTAGTGTCAGGAAGCATCCGCAGCTTAAGGTCTTAGTTTGTAAGGTACAGCTGACAAAATTACTTGTCATTACTTGTCTTTATGCTGCTTTTGTTGCTTAATGGCCAAGTAAAATATACAGGTGTCATCACTTTTAAACAATCAAAGTTTATGCCCATATTCTGATTAGTGTTGTTACGATAGTCGCCGAAAAATCGTCGCTGAGGACAGACAGAATGTTGTCGACAATCAATAGAAAATTTTAAGATCGATATTCACTTCTTTTTTTTCCAAAATGTATTATTTTAAACAAAATGGTTTACCTTTGAACTTTATCAAAAGACATTACTCTATTTCTCAGAATGGGACCCGTAGCTGGGTGTTTTTTTCCCCTGCCAAATCTGTATTTGATCAATCGGCTGATTCAAATTTTACCGAGAACTTTAATTGTAACTTTATTTGAGATATAGGTTTGAAATGAAAATATGTATTGGGCAAGATAAAGCTGAATCCCAATATGAATTTCCATTTCACACTGTGGGTGATTATGTATTGGGTCCCAAATAACTTTATTAGAAAAATTATAGGGTTTCATGTGGTCTACCGGGTATTTCATGCCAGTCAATATTCTTTGAATTTGAAGCAGAGTAAATTTTGTTTTTTAAGCTAATGTAAGGTATATTTTACATATAATTTTATTAAAAGTTATCAAATAATAAAACATCATAAAAAGATAAAAGTGTTTAGACATTATTTGGTAGATTGGTATTTTAATATATACTGGTAGTTCAATTTATGTATTGAGAAAGAAATAAAGAGTATGTACACATTGTACTAATATTTCTCTGTATTTGCAGAGTTGCTACAAGTACCACACGAGTGGTCCGATCTCCCGGGATGAGGATGGACTGGATGAACAGTGTAGGTGGTGCAGTGAGGGAGGGAATCTGTTTGGCTGCGATTTCTGTCACAACGCTTTCTGCAAGGCTTGCATCATTAGGAACTTGGGAAGATCTGAAATCAGCAATGTTACAGAAGGAGGTAGTATTAGAATGTGTCACTATAAAGGAAATCAAGCACATGTATGCCCACAAGTGGATAATATATTTTAATTAGGATTGTCACGGGTACCCGAAATGATCTAGAACTGTAGAACAATTAATTCGGATTGGGTTCGGTTCTGTTTTTCTGGAATTCGGTTTGGTTCCGATTTGTACAATAGAGTAGGTTTTACCTAATAATGGCGTCTAAAACGAGATTTGTTTGTACATTGCCATTATAATGTGTTTTAAATAATTTGGTACAATTGTTTTCTAGTCAGGAAACTATTTTAAACTAATCATTATGTTGCTATTTCTTAGATTAAATGAAAAATCTTTTTTTTTTGTTGAATATAATTCAAATCATGAGCTTTTATTAGCTCACCTGAGCTGAAAGCTCAAGTGAGCTTTTCTGATTGTAAACTTTTCACATTTTCGACTTCTTCTCAAGAACCGCTACCCAAACTTGCCAAAAGTATCCTTGGGTGAAGGGGATTCCCAAATGAACCACGCCCTGTACATATTTTAAAAATCTTCTTCTCAAGAACCACTGTGCCAGGAAAGATTTATGGGAAAACATCCTCAGGTAGTGTAGATTCAAGTTTGTTCAAATCATGACCCCGGGGGGTAGGGCGGGGCCAAAATGGCCGACCAAAGTTTTACATTGAAATATATAGGAAAATTCTTTAAAAATCTTCTTCTCAAGAATGACAAAGCCATAATTCATCATATTTATATGGAAGCATGCTCAGGTAGTGTAGATTCAAGTTTGTTCAAATCATGACCCCCGGGGGTAGGGCGGGGCCAAAATGGCCGACCAAAGTTTTACATAGAAATATATAGGAAAATTCTTTTAAAATCTTCTTCTCAAGAATGACAAAGCCATAATTCATCGTATTTATATGGAATCATTCTCAGATAGCGAAGATTCAAATTTGTTCAAGTCGTGACCCCCGGGGGTAGGGCGGGGCCAAAATGGCCGACCAAAGTTTTACATAGAAATATATAGGAAAATTCTTTAAAAATCTTCTTCTCAAGAATGACAAAGCCATAATTCATCATATTTATATGGAAGCATGCTCAGGTAGTGTAGATTCAAGTTTGTTCAAATCATGACCCCGGGGGGTATGGCCGATTTTACATTGAAATATATAGGAAAATTCTTTAAAAATCTTCTTCTCAAGAATTAATTCATCATATTTATATGGAAGCATGCTCAGGTAGTGTAGATTCAAGTTTGTTCAAATCATGACCCCCGGGGGTAGGGCGGGGCCAAAATGGCCGACCAAAGTTTTACATAGAAATATATAGGAAAATTCAATCTTCTTCTCAAGTATGACAAAGCCATAATTCATCGTATTTATATGGAATCATTTTAGCGAATTCAATTTGTTCAAGTACATATATATAGTTCTTTAAAAATCTTCTTCTCAAGAATGACAAAGCCATAATTCATCATATTTATATGGAAACTAGGTAGTGTAGATTTTTGTTCAAATCATGAATCATTTTATAGAAATATATAGGAAAATTCTAAAATTTCTTCTCAAGATTCAAAACCATGAAAAGTCAAACTTTTTTTTTGTTCTTTAAAAATCATTTTCTAAAAAATAGCAAATATAATTCAAAACTTACATAAAAAACCATTTTCTACTTTTCCTACTTTTAGCTTTTATTGTTACTTTGTATACCCGAACCCAAAAAACCCGAAACCGAACCTAAAAAAATTGGAACCGACCTGACCCGAAAAATTTTGGAACCGACAGCCCTAATTTCAATATAATTTTACTCTACGTACATGTATTTGAGCTTATTTGCTGCTAGATGTAATTGATTTAATGCTGTTAGTCAAAACAGAAAACATCATTATTTAAAGCGCTGTTTTATTCAAAGGTAAAGACTGGAAATGTTATGTATGTGATAACACTAAACTAAAACCTTTGCTGGCGGAATGTCAAAAAGTCTTGAACTACATGGAGGCAGAGGACAAAAAAGCGAAGGAGAAAATGAAACAGGCGACCACCCCAAAGTCGAATGATGCCAAAAAGTCGAGCGATTCCACCAAATCAAATGATGCTAAGAAGTCCTCTGATTCTAAGAAGGAGGCTACAGAATCCAAGTCAGAAAATAAAGCCAGTAAGTCCACAGATAGCAAGCAGCTTCTGAAGGTATTAAGTACTGGGAACGCCTCTAATCGATCCTCATCGCCTAGTGAATTCCAGAAAGCTATTCTTACCAAGCCACATGCTGGCACTACAATCAACACAGAGAAAATTGTGGTAGATCCTATGACTGGTAGGTCAACCAAATTTGAGATGGTGTATCCCAATGCTAATATTGTACAGACTCAGTATAAGTCTTATGCTCGTCCAGTGCAACCCAAGCCGGCCAGCCTTCCCACTGATGGCGTGTCTTTGCCATTCACTGGACTTCTGCCAGGAAATGTGCATAGTGTCATATCCAATATACTTTCAATGACAGAAAATCTTCAACAGCTTTTGAGAAACATACAGGAGAATGTTATAGAAGAGTCAAATCTAGACAAGTTGCCCTTTGAAATTTCTCTCAGAACATTGAGTCAACAGCAGATAGAAGCTAGACTTTCAGCTGGAACTTGTGTAAAAAAAGCTGTGAACTTGTTCTTGCAAGAAATGGCAATGAAGACTTCTGCTGCAGGAGTAAAAGCGATGACTCTAAGTCAGAAAGCATCTCAATCTTCACTTGCCCCTGCCTTGTTAGCGGGTAGTCCTCTGGACAGAAATGGTGGTGCTATGAATATAGATACTCCTCACAAATTTGATAAACCAGGGGGAGAGAACTCACCCTTAGTCACTAGTACGCCTAAACCCAAATCTTCAGATGATGATTCAGATGTCATTGTGCTCAGTCCTTCTCCCAAGAAAACAGTTAATCTCACAACTGACAAATCAGAAGCTTGTTCTAGTGTGCAGGATGATAATGATGTAACTGTAGTGAGTGAAAATGATAAAGCTGCAAAAGAACTGTTGAAAGACGCTGCTGAGGAGATAGGGGATGAGGATAATGACTCGGATAATGATAAAGATGAATCCAGTGTAAAGGAAAGGGGAAAAGATGACAAAGAGAATGAGAGTATAATTTCAGAAAATGAAGAATCTAGTGAAAAGAAAGGGAAGAAAAAAGCAAAAAGCTTAGTGGTAAAATTAGGAAATCTGTCGAAATCTAAAGACAAAAAGGACAACTCTGGTCAAGATAAAGATGAGAAAGAAAAAGTATCCTCTACCACAAAGGACGACGAAGAGGAAGAAAGTTCAAATTCATCCAGGAAAACCAGAAGTAAGAAAAATGATGAAACGGACTCGGAGGAAAAAGAGTGCAAGCCGGTCAGAAAAACAAGAAGTAGGTCACAGAATTCAGAGAGTGATTCAAACTCCAGTCAGTCTAGAGGGAAAACTTCACCTAAAAAGAAGGAAAGTAATGATAAATCCAAAACTAGCGAAGATAAGAAGAATAAGAAGGAGGACTCGAGCTCTAAAAAGACAAAATCAGACAAAGACAAAAAGAGTGATAGTAAAGTAAAATCGGAGGATGATGATGTAGATAAGGAAGAAAAAGTTAAGAGCATGAAGGACTCAGATGAGGAAGATAGTGACAGCAGTGATACTGAGGAGGAAAGTGATTCCAGTGAAGATGAAGATTTTGTCACCTCCAAATCCCGACGTTCTTCTAGAAGGCTGAAGAAATCAGGTAAACATATTTCTGCTTTGATCATAAAAATATGGTCTTTATGAAAATACAATATATTTTAATGTATCAACATTTTAATATACTTGTATCTTAATGTTAACAGGGCTATGACAATTTTAATTAATCTGCCTCATAGCATGTTGCATTTATTCAAAATTCACGTTAATTAAAATGAAATTAATATCCTTATTAAAAGGATTTAATGAATCAGTTGAGAAAAAAGATGAATACATTTAAATATTAGTCAGCTAGAAAGTAATAAAAGTATTAAAGTAAATGTAAAATAATTCTAGTGTGTCTTTAGGGACCTATTTGTATGCCTTCATGTATGTGTTCACATAAAGACCTTAAAGAATAGAGATAAAAATTAAACAGAGAAAGCCTCTTTCTCTAATAAAAAAAAGGTTAATAAAATACATGCATATTGATACTTGATTGCTTAACAGGTCCTTTGTCTGATTTTAAAGTGTAAATACTGATGTTACTTAACGTTTATGTATTTTCTTTTCTCAGCTAAAAAGCTTGACAAAAAGAAAAAGACTGAAGATGATTCCTCAGATTTTGATTCAGACTTGGAAAAAGATATTGAAAAATTATCCAAGAATCCTACTAAATCATCAAAATCTCGCACAACAAAGAGCAGTTCAAAATCAGAGAAGTCAACCAAAAAAGCAAAAGAATCTGGTAAAATTGAGATGAATTTTATTGATAGAGTTTTTAAAAAAGTATTAAAATTTGTATGTTTAAAATAAAATCTTTATTGTAGAGAAGGAGAAGAAAACTGATAAAAAGAAAGAAAAGAAGAAAGGGGCTGTCAGCTCTAGTGATGATGATGATGATAAAACAGAGGAAGATGACGACAACACCGAAATTGATGAGCCAGAGGGAGAAATTGACATGGTAAATCAATATTAAATTATTAGTGAAGTGGAAGAAAATACATGGTTGCATCTGGTCTGCAATGTTGTGAATAATAGTGCTGAAACAATTTGAAAAAGACATTTTCGACGGGGAAATTTTCTTATAAATGTTTTTATTAATTTGATAGTATTAATGCCTCTTTTAAGGATTGCTCTGCTAATGCACAAGCAAAAGAAGACTTGTTAAAAGAAATGGAAGAGGAGGAGGCGGACGAGGATAACAATCAGGACAGCAGTGATTCAGGTATCACCAGTACTCCTGACTCACTGGGGGAAACTGTTATTGCTATCTGTATTTTTTTCAGTAATACAAGTCACATTCAAAATGTATAAAGTTTGAAACATAATCAACCAAGTATTTTTGAAGGAGAATGAGATACATATTTCTTTTGTTTTCTGTTTGTAATTCAGTATATGGCACATTAATTGTCTTTTTGTTGATAAGCCTTTGTATATACAGTGATTGATACAATGAGCCTTATTTGCAGAGGTCATAATCACACCAAGAAAGAAGAGGAGTGTAGTGAAGAAAGCTAAGTACACTATTGACTCAGACAGTGGCACAGAGGAAGACATGCCCAAGAAAAAGAAGAAACGAGATGAGCTGCTTGATGCAAAGCTGTCAAGTAGTGACTCTGATGTTGTCTCCAAAAAGAAAAGGTATTTCAGTTGAATAAATACATGTACCTTGTCATTACGTAGGAGGATACAAGTAAAAACATGTATAATAAGGGTTATCAACAAGTAAGTGGGTCTCAACGAAAGATACAATTATCAAATACATGTACTAAATGCAGTATTAGAGGATTTGAGAAAAGTGTAAAACTATTCATAATTTATTCACTCTTGTCTATTTACTAAAGCACATTCTGCTTGGTCACTCAGATGTTCATTTATCATGATTAACATGTTGGGATTATCATTATGTCTGTAGCTACAAAATTGAAATAGATCAAGTTATAAAACACATCTTGTGAATAAAAGGACTTAAATATTATTAATTAATTGTACATGTAGTAAGAAGAGGAAAGCCAAGTCCTCCAGCGATGACACAACGGAGACGGATAGTGAGGAGGAATTTATTGCACTGGGAAAGAAGAAGAAGGGGAAGGATGTTAAGAAGAAAGCTGGGACAGGAAAGGCCAGGAAGAGGAGGAGGATCAAGGCTCCCAGCAGTTCTGATGATGACGAGGAGGCCATCAGTGAAGACGAAGATGAGGAGGTTAGTTTACAGCGAGGACTGTGACAAAGAACTGGTGCTGTTTCTTTATTACATGAATAAATACTAGTAAATACTTTGTGATCATTAGTGGTGTTAAATCATAATCCACCTTCGGTATCATGAAAAAGTTCAATGATTGAGCTGTATGCAAGTTAAATTATGATGTTTGTTTACAATTTATGTTATATTGAGAACAATTTTATGGATTTACTTGAAATACAATGTCTTTTTAGGGTGCAAGCAAATCTGAAGATGAAGGGGATCCAAATACACCAAAAAGGCTAAAGAGGAAAAAAATCAGAAAAATAAAATCAGAGAAGAAATTGACCTCTGAGACTAAGTCTGCTGCTAAAGCTGAGGAGGAAAGAAGGAAAAGGATAGCAGAGAAACAGAAAATAGTAAGTCTACCTGTGGATTGAGCAGATATTTTGATTCTGCACAATTATAAAAGTACTGTAGAGTATAAAATAAATATGCATTATTTCTTTTGAATATTTTTCCCTCTGCAGTTGAATATTATGCAAAAAAACTGCATTGATGAATAAGGTTATCACTATCAAAATTTTGAAAGTCCTTGCTCTCTTTAAAAATCTCTTGAATCTCTTCTCAGGTGTTCTCAAGTGAACGTTTAGGTCCTTGGGCCTCATATTACTTATTAAAGATAAAGGCATTGGAATAGTATAAATAGCTTTGAATGTGCCCAATATTCAGTTTTTGGTTATCTTTGTAAATGAAACATAATTGTTATATTTAGTTCAATGGAATTGTTCAAGAAGTGGATGAGTCTTCTCCAACCAAGTGCCCTATAACTAGGCAGCTTGTCCTGGACTTTGAAGAAGAGACCAAGAAACCACTCATAGAAGTGGATAAAGGACTAGTTGTTAAACTGAAACCTCATCAGGTTGAAGGTAACACTTCAAAATATATTTATTATACGCCCGTCTTAAGACGGGACGTATTATGTTATAGGCTTCATGTCCGTCCGTCCGTCCGTCTGTCCAGCTGTCCGTCTGTCCGTCTGTCCATTCCTGTCCGGCTCATAACTTGAATACTATTAGGCCTAAGATTATGAAACTTTGTCAACTTATACTTCTTGGGTAGACGGTGTGTCGCGCACAAAAAGTAGGTCGCTGTGACCTTTGATAAAGATGCTATAGCCAAATATGGAAAAATCCTGTCCGGCTCATAACTAGAAAACTATTAGACCTAGAGCTTTCAAACTTGGCAAACGTATACATCTAAAGTAGAAGGTGTGTCGCGGCCTATTTCAAGGTCACTGTGACCTTTAATTAAAGTGAATTTTTTTAAAAAACTAAGTCTTTTAAATTCTAAATTTCATAATCCTAAAAAATGTAAAAATATAGTTGTATGCTTATTAAAAAATGTTAAATTAAGTAAAAACTTATTTTTTCATTATATACTTTACAGCAATCTGTAACAGTGCCCATGGGACATGCCCATAAGCCCATGGGACAAACTGAATTCCTCTCAAAGCATAAACATTTGTGGTCAAGAAGAATTTTGATAGCAGAAATTTGCATGTCAAATTAGAGAGAAATTAATGAGTTTATTGTCAGGAGCTAAGAGCATCTCTAGATTTGATGCAGATGTTATCTTAATTTATCTCTTGGGAGTTGGGCAAAAAGAAATGGCCTCATAGTTGCTTGTGCTAATTAAGAGTTCTTGATGGGTAGTCCAGATAAAGATTTTCAATTGATGTAATGTAATTAAAACAAATTGATGTTTTAGAGTATGATTAAAACTAAATTAGTATTGTATAATATGATTAAAACTAATTATATATGTGTTCACTGAAAAAAAAAATTATATTTCAATTTTTATATATTTTGCAACAAAGATGCTATAGCAAAATATGGAAAAATCCTGTCTGGCTCATAACTAGAAAACTATTAGACCTAGAGCTTTCAAACTTGGCAAAAGTATACATCTAAAGTAGAAGGTGTGTCACGGCCTATTTCAAGGTCACTGTGACCTTTAATTAAAGTGAATTTAAAAAAAAAACTGTGTCTTTAAAATTCTAAATTTTATAATCCTAAAAAATGTAAAAATATAGTTGTATCCTTATTAAAAACGTTAAATTAAGTAAAAACTTATTTTTTCATTATATACTTTACAGCAATCTGTAACAAATGTTTATGCTTTGAGAGGAATTCAGTTTGTCCCATGGGCTTAATTATCAAGCACTGGTTAAGAAGAATTTTGATAGCAGAAATTTGCATGTCAAATTAGAGAGAAATTAATGATTTTATTGTCAGGAGCTAAGAGCATCTCTAGATCTGATGCAGCTGTTGTCTTAATTTATCTCATGGGAGTTGGGCAGAAAGATGCTTGTGTTAATTAAGAGTTCTTGATGGCTAGTCCAGATAAAGATCTTTCAATTGATGTTCTAGTGTATGATTAAAACTAAATTAGTATTGTATAATATGATTAAAACTAATTATACATGTGTTCATTGAAAAAAAAAAAAATTATATTTCAATTTTTATATATTTGTGACAAATTGCAGTCATGTCTCACTAGTATTATTTGTTATAATCAATCCCTACACTGTAAGTCTCTTAGAGATGTATAATAAGAAATGGAAATTAGATAATTGAAATCTGTGTCAATCTGTTAATCAAGGCTACCTGATTTTCTTGCATCCTAACCAATGTATGATTATTGAACAATATTTGACGGGCGTATCATGCTGTGGCGGGGCACTTTATTGATTTTTTACTAAATGATGTCAGTGTTACATCTCAGTATCAGAAATATTACAAAATATTTTTGATTTTATACACAGCTTTGGTTGTTCACACCAATTTGTGTCTCGATTGATCCTGAAAAATAAATTTTTAGATTTGAAAATAATATTACTAAAGTGTTCTTATTAACATCAGTGATTGTTAGAAATGACCTTGTGATCTTAAAAATTTCTTAAACAATTCATTGCTATTAATTTTTTCAGCTGTACAGTTTGTCTGGGATTGTACATTTGAATCATTAAAAAGGTCCAAAACAGAGGAAGGTTCTGGCTGCATTTTAGCTCACTGCATGGGTCTAGGAAAAACATTGTCAGTAAGTAACTATTGAGAATGCATGTTTGTATTTATAAGGGGAATGATATGTTTGTTGGCATACTGTACATATTTGGCGTAGACAGTAAAAATGTGATTCCATGTAGAAATAAAGTAGAATTGCATGATAAAGTTCAATGTAAAATTCAAGACAAATACCCCTCCCCCTTCCCTTTCACCTTTGTTAAATTATTTATTCTGATTAAAAAAGACAAATATATTCTCTATGGTGAATCAAAGAAAATCACAACTCAGTACTTAAGTTTAAATGTAAGTCTTGTAAAAAGTGTCTCTATCTGATTTGTATAGGAGCTTGCTACTTATTACTATGAAAATTGTAAGAATCTGAAAATTAATTTAAAAAAAAAATGCTATAGCATCTTTAATAAGGTACAGCATTTCCTCTTATTGTCTGCTTATTTTTAAGGTATCCAGCATGTAGAACATCTTATGTCTTTACATTTACAAATTTATTTTCAGCTTATAACATACATTCATACGATGCTTACTAACAGCAAGAAGACGAATGTCCACACTTGTGTAGTAGTGGCACCCCTGAATACTGTCCTTAATTGGCAGTATGAGTTTGAAATGTGGCAGGAGTTCACCAAAAAGGAAGTAGATGTAAGAATTACATTTAGTTCAACTTATAATGATATTTAATTTATATCTAGTTTTCATATCCATGGTTGTCAAATAATAATCAAGACAAGTAATTTATAAAACATGAAAAAGCTATGAATAGAATCCCATGATTTGTAGCTAGAGATGAGTTTCTATCCTGTAGCTAAGATTTGATATCACTGATTTAACTAGAAAGCTATTTACGTGTACTAGGTTTTAAGATGTATATATGTACATGCCATGAAAGAACCAAGTAAAAAAATGTTATCCCAAAAATTAATTGGCTCATGAAACAGTCAGTGTATTTTTTCCTACAGTAAATAACATCATGCAGTAGCAAAGAGCATCTTAAGAATTTTTCAAATGTACATGTATTTTAAAGGTGTATGAGATGTCTTCAGTGAAGGTGAATGCAGATCGTGCTGCTCTGCTGAAGAATTGGCACCGAGATGGAGGAGTACTTATCCTGGGCTACGACATGCTGAGGAACCTGTCCCAGGGCAAACACTGCAGAAGCAAGAACATGAAGAAAGTCTTTCACGATACTCTGGTGGACCCAGGTATGTGGCACTGAACATAAGAAATTTTATGTATCTTTCAGGAAACGTTTTTCATGATTTCTTGATCTTAATTGATCAATCTCATTATGATTTAGATAATAAAATCTACCCATCTTGTGTATCAATTTTTCGTGAACTGTGCATATCATGTACTGTATCTTGTTTACTGTACAGTTTCCTATTTTCAAGACTGATTAATTGAATTCAGGAATTAAATGTGATGAAATTGACTGCCAGTTTCTCTCTTTCTGTTTAAAAATGTTTTTTTAGTAATTAAAAGATATAAAATAAAAAAAGTGAGTTCGTCTAAACAGTATCATATCTTGTTAGGACTGACTTGAAATTAATGAAGTATGAAATTTAAGTATATGATAGGACTTACGCAATGGCAGCTTACTAGTTTGAAAGATTTACTTCAATGACACTGCTTTAATCATTTGGACACCTCAGTGTGGTCATGTTTCACACTGGCTCAGAGATCAGGATTTCTTACGATCCTCAGCTTTTTAGCTCACCTGAGCCGAAGGCTCAAGTGAGCTTTTCTGATCACATTTTGTCCGTCGTCCATCTGTCTGTCCGTCCGTCTAGTGTCTAGCTGTCCGTCTGTAAACTTTTCACATTTTCGACTTCTTCTCAAGAACCACTGGGCCAATTTTGACCAAACTTGGTACAAAGCATCCTTGGGTGAAGGGGAATTTAAATTGTTAAAATAAAGGGCCAAGTCCCCTCACAAGGGGAGATAATCAAGAAATGACAAAAATAGGGTGGGGTCATTAAAAAATCTTCTTCTCAAGAACCACTGGGCCAGAAAAGCTGAAACTTGTGTTGAAGCATCCTGGGGTAGTGTAGATTCTAAATTGTTCAAGTCATGACCCCCGGGGGTAGGGTGGGGCCACAATGGGGAATCAAAGTTTTACATAGAAATATATAGGAAAATTCTTTGAAAATCTTCTTCTCAAGAACCACTGTGCCAGAAAAGCTGAAACTTATGTGGAAGCATCCTGGGGTAGTGTAGTTTCTAAATTGTTCAAATCATGACCCCCGGGGGTAGGGCAGGGCCACAAAGGGGAATCAAAGTTTTACATAGAAATATATAGGAAAAATCTTTGAAAATCTTCTTCTCAAGAACCACTGGGCAAGAAAAGCTGAAACTTGTGTGGAAGCATCCTGGGGTAGTGTAGATTCTAAATTGTTCAAATCATGACCCCCGGGGGTAGGGCGGGGCCACAATGGGGAATCAAAGTTTTACATAGAAATATATAGGAAAAATCTTTGAAAATCTTCTTCTCAAGAACCACTGGGCCAGAAAAGCTGAAACTTGTGTGGAAGCATCCTGGGGTAGTGTAGATTCTAAATTGTTCAAATCATGACCCCCGGGGGTAGGGCGGGGCCACAATGGGGAATTTAAGTTTTACATAGAAATATATAGGAAAATTCTTTGAAAATCTTCTTCTCAAGAACCCCTGGGCCAGAAAAGCTGAAACTTATGTGGAAGCATCCTAGGGTAGTGTAGATTCTAAATTGTTCAAATCTTGACCCCCGGGGGTAGGGCGGGGCAACAATGGGGAATTTAAGTTTTACCAAAATCAATGGGGAATCAAAGTTTTACATAGAAATATATAGGAAAAATCTTTGAAAATCTTCTTCTCAAGAACCACTGGGCCAGAAAAGCTGAAATTTATGTGCACATCGAAGCATCCTGGGGTATTGTAGATTTTAAAATGTCTAAGTCATGATCAGTGGGGTAGGTATGTATTAATATGTAATAAAAGGGGGAAATCTGGTAAAGAACAGAATGGTCAAAGCTTCTCAGGTGAGCGATGTGGCCCATGGGCCTCTTGTTTCTTTTATAACTTCTGAGGTCATCTAGCGTGATATTTTAATTATTACTTATCTTAAACAGGACCTGATTTAGTGATATGTGATGAAGGCCATATTCTGAAAAATGACCAGTCTGCAATCTCTATAGCCATGAACCAGATCAAGTCCCGACGAAGAGTGGTGCTAACTGGAACGCCATTACAGAATAATCTCATGGAATGTAAGTACAAGTGACTCTACAGGTGACTGGTGTTTGATATTGCATAAACAAAAATAATAGAATTTAGATGTGATCAATAGACATGTAAATGTACTTCAGTGGTTTTAGATAAATTTTTTTAGTCAAACATAATAAATGTACAAAACTTACAAAGGGAAGATATTATAGACTTCCTTACTTACATGTAGATTGTATGATTGATGTGAGAGCTAGTGTTACACTATTGTATTACATACAACTTTACTGTTCATAATTTTGCATTGTGGATTTAAAATGTAGAAAAAGGTATGAACTTTGATTGTGAGATTAAATAAAAATAAAATCATTTTATATTTTTGTATTTTACAAGATTTATCAGCCATTCATTATCAAAACTGATTTATTTTTCTGACTTTCAGATCATTGCATGGTTGACTTTGTGAAGCCGAATCTGCTGGGAACAAGTAAAGAATTTCGTAACAGATTTGTAAATCCTATCACTAACGGCCAGTGTGCCGACTCCACAGCCCACGATGTGAAGATCATGAAAAGACGAGCCCATATCCTCCATGAAAAGCTTAATGGTTGTGTACAGGTAGAGACATTGTATTTTTTAAATATTTATGGTTTTAGGGTAACATATAATTGTATGTTTAAAGTTATACCGCTAAAACATTGCTGAAGGAGGCAAAGCAAGATCAGCAATGGTTTTCAAGGGATAACAATTTCACATTACTCTAAATAAATATGTATAAAAATGATTTACTGAATTGATTTAATATTTCAAGTAATTGTTATGAATTGTTTCCTAAAGGGTTGAATCTGTGAAAAGTACACTTGTAAAACTGCATCTTTTCAACCAATACCTTTGGAAAATCCATAGGCAAAAAATTTTACTGATCTTTTTTTTGTATTTCTTCAGAAATTATCAAGAATCTTGAAATAATATTCATAAAATTTGTAGGACTGCTCCCCTTATGTAGATTTGTTCTTTATGCTTTACAGAGAAAAGACTACAGCTCACTAACGAAGTATTTACCTCCCAAACATGAGTATGTGATAGCTGTCCGTTTGTCTCCAGTCCAGATTCGTCTGTATGAGAAATATTTGGAATTAGCTGGGTTTGGTACAGACAGCGCCCCCAAAGCTAACCGTGGAGCAAGGCTCTTCTCCGATTACCAGGCTCTGATGCGAATCTGGACTCATCCTTGGGTTTTGAAAATGGATGAAATTCGCCAGGCTGATAGGGTAAATGGTTTATGATGATACATTAACATAAAAATGAAGTTAATATTTGAAACAAAGGATGAATCCCTTGTCATCTTATTCTCAAATCAGTACATACGTAGTTTATAAACTTGTTACTGTAGAACTCTTTGCAAATTTTCATACAGTCACATCCTAATAAATATATTTTAACTGGTAAAGTCAAACACCAAGTAACATTTAACTTAGATCTTTGATAAACGTTCATGTAGAATAGAAAAGGAGACAGAAAAAAAATGAAAGAGGTTTGAAAGTATTTCCCGAGATCAATTTCGTTTTATTTTGGTCAGGGTATTTCTAAAACAAAAGTTTATGTGGTGAATGCATGTGATCAGTTTGTGTTCATTTCATAGTATTTTGTTGTTTGTGTTGCACATGCAGAAAATGTATTATTGTTGAAGTTATATAGTTTTTCTGAAAATGATAAACTATTTAATTCATATGATTCTCTATGTACATCTGGAACAAAAATTTTGAATTAATTTATTTGTAGATTATTGAAAATAAATGTTAGATGATAGCAAATTCAAATTTTTCATGCATAGAATAAGACATTCAATGATTGAAAATGTATAATACTACATGGATTAGCTGCTACCTGCAAGGACATCAAATAATTACCAAAAATCATGTCTAAAAAGCCTCCCTTTTTAGAGACTGATGATTTGATCATTTTATGAGGTGAGCTTTATCTATGTTTATAGAGACTGTTTGATGATGAGTCGGATTTCGTGGATGATTCCGATGGTAATGATAGTGATGGCAGCAAATCGACAGACAGCACGGACTCGTCTACCCCCTCAGAGGTTTCTCTGAAGTCTGATATATCAGACGGGGGACGCAAAACTCGCAGTTCTAAGAAAAAGAAGAAAGATTCTGATTCTGATGACGATTCAGACTCAGATGCACAGTAAGTACAAGTAACGATTAAGTGATGATTAAGTTTTGCAAAATTATTTAGCAAAGAATTTTGATCAGTATTTGACTTGTGTATATGTGTACATGTTCTAATTATGGCACAGTAAATAAGTGTAGTTGTAGGTTTATGGTTAGTGTACATTTTAGTGATTTTTTTAGGAAGAAAGGTGAAGTTGTGAAGAAGTGGACAACAAGAAGGCAAAGAGGAGATATCAGTATGCAGATTTTTCTCTGATTCATTTTCTTGAAATTGTATGTCATATACCAATGTACACTATGTAAGATTTCCTTTAGTAGACTGCCTTAACTCACTTTTTGAAAATACATATATGAAATGAGTGAATCAAGTAAATTTTTTAATCCATTTGTATTTTTAGCAGTGTTCATCAGTTTTACAAAGCGCAACTTGATTTTTATATGGATATTTTATAATTTTTATTTTGACTAAATAAACATTTGAACTGTAGGTGATCCAGAGGAAGACACGGGACCTCAGCCTGTATCTAACGAATGGTGGGCGGAGTACGTCAATCCAGAAGACGAGGATAAACTAGAACTCAGTGGAAAACTAGTCCTACTGTTTGAGATTCTGAGGATGAGTGAAGAAATAGGAGATAAAGTGTAAGACACTCCTCAATCTTATCAACTGCTTCAGTGTTTTACCTAAGAACCGGCTTACGGCCAAATTAACGGTTTCAATTGATAAAAATGCCACTAAGAACTCAAAAATTGATATAAGTTTGACAGAGATTCTGTTCGTAAACATTAACCTTTAGCTTGTAACAATTGATCTTCAACCCTTTACTTAGAAATGAAGGGAAACCTTTTGATTAAAAGTAGACAAACAAGTTGTTAATTGGGAGAGTTGATTGAACCAAATGTTTTTATGATGTTTATGTAGGTACATTGCAATTTAAATTTCTTGTAAGTTAAGGCTCTTGCTCTTTATTTACAGGTTAGTCTTCAGTCAGAGTTTGCTCTCATTAGATTTAATAGAACACTTCCTGGAGCAAGTAGATCAGAAAACCAGAGATGATGGAAAGCCTGACAAAGACAACAAAGATAAGGACAGCAAAGATAAAGACAACAAAGATAAGGACAACAAAGATAAGGACAACAAAGGAAGTGATAAGAAGTCAGAGGAGGACAAAAAGAAGGAGAATCAGAATGAAGTAAGAATAAACCTAACAATGTTATATATTTATTGACTGGGTTCGAGGGCAACATGAGTTTTGTCTGACCCAAGAACCAACTGGGTTTTTTTAAAGTATAGATTATTATAAGAACAAGATTTGGAAAGTATAACAGCATGTTTTACTGCTAAGAACATGGCAACACTTGAACAGCATTCGTGTATGATCTTCCTTTTAATTTAACAAAATGTTGTTAAAAAATCAAGAAATGGCATTGGATGATAATTTACCCATATCTATATGTACAGTATATAAATTAGATTAAATATACTTCATATTTGTATGCTGACTACTGATAATTTTTGAAAACCCATCTAAATCTGTTATACCTTGTACACCTACTATAGGATGAAGCTTTTGGGAAGCATTGGACACTCGGTGAAGACTACTTCAGAATGGACGGCTCCCATAGTGCTCAGGCCAGGAAAAACATGGCTGAAAAGTTCAATGACCCAGAAAATTATCAGTAAGAATCTTGGCTATATTGTAACACATTCATTTATTGGATTGAGAATGCAGGAGATGTTAAAAAAGTGAACTAAAATAATGAGCATGAATGAAAAGATATAGTTTAAATTTTATTCAAATCAATGAAAAGACAATTGAAGTTGATTAATGCCTGGTGAAAATTCTACTGATTTTCCTGTATATTTCAGATGCCGGCTGTTTTTGATCTCCACTAAGGCGGGAGGCCTAGGAATTAACTTGGTAGCTGCTAACAGAGTCATTATTTTTGACGCCTCTTGGAATCCTTCCCATGATGTGCAGTCCATTTTTAGAGTGTATCGATTTGGACAAGTTAAACCAGTCTATGTTTACAGATTTCTTGCTCAGGTATAGCTGAGTTTAGTTTGGAAAATGAATTTCACGGTCAAAACAATATGTAGAGTGCATGATGAATTTTGATCAGAGATGAAATTCCTACAAAAAATGTTATGTCTAAGACACTTTTTGTATGGCACTAGCTAAATCATCTTGTTCAGTGTTTGGAATCTATACTCTGACAGTTGGGATTCTCTAGAATAAAGATTGATTTACATGTAGCAGTGATACTGATAATGAATTTACAGGGTACTATGGAAGAGAAGATCTATGAACGTCAGGTAACCAAGCAGTCCTTGTCCCAGAGAGTGGTAGATGAGCATCAGATAGACCGACATTTCAATGCCAATGAACTCGCTGAGCTATATACATTCAGACCAGACAGGCTAGATGATCCTAATAGAGTAGAAAAGACACCAATGCTGCCTAAGGTAATTGTGCTTATACATGTTCATGTAATTACTATATAAAGTGAAAGGGGTATTCCAAAACTTTGACGGCATATGATCTACCATTCCATAGATCCTTTACAGGGTTGTATTGTTCTTGGGTGTCTTAAAAGACCCATTGGCCTCTTGTTACATGTATTCCTCAGTAGAATGTTTTGGTTATGTTTTCCTTTTGTAACCAGAGGAATTATTTTGTGACTTGGATTAAAAAAAAGGTGCTAGAGAAAAAGGGTTATTTACTTTCAGGACTTTATGCTTGCTGAACTGATGAAGTCACAGAAAGACTGGTTTGTCAATTATCACGAGCATGATTCCCTGCTGGAGAACAAGATAGAGGAAATCCTGGATGAAGATGAGAGAAAGGCTGCCTGGGAGGAGTATGAGAATGAGAGGAAGGGAGTTATACAAATGAGGCAGAACTTCATGGGTAAACAGCATTAACTTCATGTTATACGGCAGTAATAATATTGTAACACTTGCATGTATTTTATGCCTTGATGATTTAATGATAGACATACATTATATTATTCTTAATTTTAATTTGTAGAAGTTACTTTTACTTTTATTTATGATTTATTACATTCACATGCTATTGGAAATCAATCTAATTTAAGTTATATCTTTCATCTTGCTCTTCGAAATTGATTTGTCGTCTTTCACGAGCAACAAATCAATTTACGAAGAATGAGATGAAAGGTCTAATTTTAATTAGATTGCATAGTAATAAGGTTAAAATATGGGTAAAAATGTTAACAAGTTTTATTTCACTTGGTCTTGAGTTCATTTTATAAATATATACACACGTTTAAATTTATAGCAAACATGCCAAATATTGGTTTCAACAACATGCTACATCAAATGCAGCAGCAGTCCCAGTATGGAATGACTCCTATGTATAACCAGGGATTCAACATGCAGGCCTTTACACAACAGAACCTTCTACAGCTCGTACAGGACATGAAACAAAGGGTAAATAGTGATAGCGCATCAACCGTGTACATTTTATAGCTCACTTGAGCTGAGGGCCATAGTGAGCTAAAAGTTTTCTGATTAAAAGGACTTTATTGCACATTGATCATTGATAATTTGCCTGGAAAATATTAAATGCAGGTCTTGTTATATCCTATACTTTGATAGAATATGAAAAATGATAATTCATTAAAATATAAGTTACTAGGCAACTAGCAAGTTTGCACTTCATAAAAAAAAACTGAGTAAAATCTGCGTATTTTTGTCTATTTAAAATTTTTTATGGAAAATCTTTTCAGTTTTTGACAGTGACAAAACTTTTCCAAATCAATGTGCATTTTAGCGCACCTGAGAATTGTGGTACATCCTGATGATTTCTGTTTCCTGTTTTGTTTGTAGTACCCACACCTACCACAGGAGCAGCTGACACAACAAGTACAAACAGTCATCAGACAAATGGTTTCACGACAAATTGCAGCTCAACAAGAGGTCCAGAAAAGACAGGTATGAATCTTATAGTGTGTTACTCTACTAGACTTAATACATGTGAATGTTTAGAATTGTAAAGCATACCTGTCATATTACTGTGATGAATAAGAGGGAGATTCGGATCTCAAAAGAGTTAGCATTGCCTGTGGCATTTTACCTTTTGAATTTGAAAAGATATCAATATTTTGGCTGGTGCAGTTGTTAATATCAATCAGGGCAAAGTACATGTACCAGGTATTGACAGAATTTGAAATGACTGGCTATAGTTAGTGTGGTTTAGGTGTAACTTTTGTTGATGTAGAATTTTTAAGAGAACTGAACAAAAATAATACAGCTTTTAAAGAAAATTACAAGCAAAAATACATGATACCCAGGGTATCTGTTTAATACATGTCATGTTGCTATTACAGATGGAACAAAAAGAGATGCAGCATCAGCGGGAGTTACAGAGAATTCAGGACCAGATTCGACAGCAACAGATGCAGCTGATGCAGGCTACTATGGCAGGGGCCAGACAGGGAATGGGACCAGGAACATCGGGGCCTCAAGCGGGGACTTCTACAATGCAGTCCTTGTTAAGTCAGCCTGCCAATGCTAATCGACTTCAGCAGATGAGGGAGGCTAGGAAATAACAGCCTCTCATTCTCTACTGAAGTCTGATGGGATTTTTATTTCTTTGTTTTCATACTGGACATGGTACATGTATAATAATACATTGATGTGCATGGAAGGCATCTTTGTGTTGGAACTGTGACTTAATTAGTCTTAGTAAACATTTAAATCATCTTTTGTTAAAACTTTACATGAGGGTGCAATCTTCGAGATAAATTTTAATGGATGTATACATGTATATCTTTATTGTTGGGAAAGTTTCCAAGGTGAAATTTACACAATGTGTACATGTATAGTTACTGAACTGAATGACCTTTTCATGAGAGACATACAGGTGAGCTTATTTGGCAAATGCCAAACTGTATTTTAATTCACTGTTGTGATGTTACTCATAATATTAATTATGAATGTGAGCAAGTTGTATTTATATTTTGAAAAAGAGGTGTGTATTTTGTAGAAAGTTTCTTCATAGGCCCATTAATTTGCAGTATGTAGTTTCTAAGATTTGCACATTCCTTTTTTTTGGAAATTATTTTTTTATCCATTAAAGCTAAAGATTTTAACTGACTGCAACAGATGGTTTGATTTGATAAGAATTTTTAATCAGTTTTTATTGTGTAATACATGTACCATATTAACCTTTTTTTTGATAATGTAATTCTGACTTGATCTTAGTATATTAATATAAACATCTATATAGATTTCATCTCATTCATCGGAAAAATATCACTGTTTGGGTTTTAATTATAATGATTTTTTTTTGCTTAACAATCCATGCAATCATTAATTACATGTAGATGTACAATAAGCCAGATTTTACAGGATAATGACAATTATAATTAAGTGGAAGATAGCATTCTTGTTTTTATTTTAGCCTCACTTGTCAGAGACCAGTAGTAAAGTGTATGTTAACCATCTGTTCATAATCAATTCAAAATACTTCTTCAGTTCTGGTCCATTTTCAACAACACTTGGTACAAGCAAGTAGACTTCTCTAAAATACATAGTTCTTTTTATTGAGATTTGATTTAGATTAACATGATTTCAATTTTTACTGTTAATGGGATAATACACTGGAATTCATTTCAAACATTACTCCTATGTTTTTTGGTCTGAATTAAAACCAAGAAAAACTTGTTTCACAAGGAAATTATGGTAAACCAACATGTAATTCTTATTCATTGATGTTGCCATTGCTTTTTAGTTTCAAGTCCTGTATGCTTTTTCTTTCTTTATTAAAAAAAAAACAAGTCATTCAAAGTATAAATTATCATAGACGTTTTCTTTCAGATTGAAATTGTGTGTGTTAGGCTCTGGAATCGTTATTGAAAAGGAATTTCACTATAATTCAAATTGCAGTTATGTGTAAAACATTTAATTATAATGAATAAAATTTCAAGAGAAACTTGACCTTTTAGTTTGTTATCTCTAGACTTGGCTCAAGGACACTATATTTTTGTCCAGTAGAAAAAAGATGAGTAAAAACACTTTGGCTTTAAATGTGATTGTTCTGTGGATGCAGTGAAATAAATCCACACATGATTGTGATCTCTGTTGCATTGCTTATGCTGAATACATGTACCTATATCCCAGTCAATTTAAACCAATATAATTTTTTGATATGACTGAATAATTCCTATCTTGCTCATTGACATTGAAGGAAAAATACTACATTGAGACCTCACAGCGTCATACAAGGACCTTCCACTTTTTTAAAAAGTAATTTCCCCCCATATAACACTGTATAACCAGAATATTTTTTTTTGTAATATTTTAAGTGAAATAGATATTTAAAAAATCCAAATTAACAAGTAATGTTGCTTTTGTTAAACTGCGTTTAAGGACATACGCAAGGTACCTTACCTACTGATAATTTTTCAAGATACAGTCAAACCTGTTTTAAGAGGCCACTCGTGGGAGAATGACAAATTGGCCACATAAGACAGGTGGCCACTTATTCCAGGTTTTAATGCAATGAACAAAAAATTGCGACCACAGTTGTGTATATAATTTATTTTAACACGTATCCAAATCCAATTTCAAAACATTTAAAAAGTTAAAAATTTTTAATCAAATGAAATCCCTTTTACATTTAATTTAATATGAATTTCTGAAAGAAGTCTGTTATTGTTTTTTTTTTTTTTTTGTTTGCGTTGGTAATTTAATTTTTACAGCCATAGAATTTACATCACAGGAAATCATAAAATGTTCTATAATAACTTAGCATTTCCCTGATACTGTGTAAATTTTTTTTTTTTTAGTTTTTCTAGATATATATTTATTTATTTAACATAAAAGATTAAAACGTGAGACTGACCGTTTGACTTGATAACCTCAGGCGAAATTGAATTGTAATTAATGTAGTCTATTGAGTTTATGTCATGAAAATATTCAACAACTTACTTTGTATATTAAGAACATCAATAAAGATCTTTTAACAATAAATCATTTAATCATATTAATTAAATAATTAAATCCTGACAGAATTCAAATTACACCTGCAATTATTGGTCATTAACAGCTGTTCATGTTTGGCTTCGTATGAGGATGCGAGGTCACATGACAGACAGAAGTCATGTGACAAAACAGACAAAACGGTCGCTGAAAACAGGCATGTTGAGCAAACGGGACTTAAAAACACTGGCCACTGGCCGCGTTAGACAGGTGGCCGCTTAAATGAGTTAAAATATAGTGAAAAAATGAACGGGCGGGATTGAAACTGGCCGCTCATGGGAAGTGGCCGCTGATTAAAGGTGGCCGTAACAGCAGGTGCGACTGTATTCTAAATTAAAAGTTATAATACCATTACATGTTCTTAGACAAAAAATCAGCATTTGTTACCAGGGGTTTTGAAAAGATATCAAATTGAGAAAATTTTTGCATTATTCAAAGAGAAATGTACAAAAATTACAAAACATAAATTCCAGTTGTTCAAATGCATATATAGACATTAAAAGTATTGCACACAGGTCCTTCATTTAGTGGAACTCTTCAGCTTCAGGGAAGAACCCAATAAACAAGAAATTTTCTTGGTATTGCTAAATGAGTTTGAATTAATCATTCATAGAATCATATAACAAAACAATTAAAGCTTGGTGGGGGGAGGGGGTCAGTCAACACTATGAGTTAGTCACATTAGAGTAGAATATATTCATCATCAGAGAACACGGTTAATCATGTTAATATTGTATTCCTCACTGGCTAAATCATCTTATTGGCTGAAAAACAGCAATATTACTGTTGAATGGAAAGAACATTTAATAACATAAGACAACAGATACTGTCTTGACGCCCTCTATGTACAAGGTCCAAATCGGTCTATTTTGTTTCAAAATTTAAGAGAAGGTGGCCTTACTGACAAGTGGTGTATAAAACATTTATAAATGTACACGGCTCCTTTTCTTCTATTTAACAGCAAAACTTCAGAGTACTAAAGATTACTTGCTGGGTAGTTTATGAATTTAATCTTGCTTTATGATTATTTAAACAGAATAAATATAGATATTTGTGAAAGTATTTCTTTTTTCAAAAGGGGGGGGGGGGCTTCATTAGCTAAAACAAACTTTAATAGTAGTGCATCTTTTTTTTAATTGCACCATCCATTTAATTTTGGCCACAGTAGGATGTATACTCTATTTACTTGGGATATGAATTACTCGGACTAAATACTTCAATCTCGTAATATAGATCTATCTATCTAATTCACATTCGAGTTGAGATCTAACGTTAACGTTTACGGTTATATATTCAAGACAGGCGCGTAGCTGCCTATACGCAAGTACGCAGGTGCGTACACATCATTTTCCAAAAAAGAAAGAAAGAAAAAAGAGGGATAAAAGAAAAGAAGGAAAAAAAGAAAGAGAGATATTTATTCGGGGAAAAAGAGGCACTACTCGTGTTTCAAATTAATTTGCGTCTTATTGTTTCGATTCAAATTTTTTTTAGTGTTTCTGCACATTCAAATTTAGTCCTTTATAAAATCAATGCCAAAAACATCTTTCAGCATTCTTAAGGAAAAAAATATTGTACCAAAATGTTCAACTGTTAATCCGCGTAATTCTGATTATCAGGACAAATATTTGATGAAGGAAAGTGATCTAAGGGACTTTGATCGAAAGAAAAAGTTACAAAGGTCTTGGACGACTATACAAGATTTTTAATTTCCGTAGAGGTAATGAATAAATGTCGTTAAACAATTTAAATTATGATGAACAAAATGAATAATAATATAGCTTCTTTTACTGATGTTACCAATTTAAAGAATTATATCATAATTGAAGCATTCTCGAATCGTTTCAGCTATCAAATATGAAGATAATCAAAAGACAACAACACCCCCTTTATATTTTGAAATATTTAAACTCCAGTGATAATGATATTGAAATTACTACTCTGTTTTATCTTGATACACATCAATTGACTTGGAAACTTTTTTCCAATACCAATTTATGCGTAAATTAATTTGATAAATTATCGTTCTCTTCCCGAAGTATCAATGGAAGCAGTATAACTTAACTAAGTGTTTGCTCGAGAAAAGTGATATTATCGTGATTTCTTTTGCGAGAAAATGACTGAAAAATTTCGTACAATCCAGGAGCTTCCGTGGGCTTCGCCCCATGGGCCCCCACCAGGGCTTCGCCCTGGACCCACTGGGGGCCTCAGGGCGGCCCCCAGACCCCCGGCCGTTTTCTGCGTACACTTCATTTCCATGCTGGCTACGCGCCTGCAAGAACTAAATCTGGAAGTGTTTATCGATCCCAGTGCATTTGTAATTACTATGGAATCGTGTTGCTTCAAATTCTAAGAATTATTCTTTGAGTTTAAGGCCGAAAATTTAAGTCATCATCGAAGTACAAGTTGGATTTCAAATTTCTCCCGCGGGGGACCTCATTCTACGGAAGTCCAAAGGGATGTGAATTACGCATGCGTTAAAATTATCAAAATGGCCGCTTAAAAAATGTCAACAAGGGATTGAAGGGAGCGACATGCTGTGTTTCTTGCTTGTTTCAGTAACATAATTAATGAAAATGGATGCGACTGATACTATTATTGATCCTCATGCAGAAGTTAAAAAGCTTCAAGACTTAGTTAAGAAATTAGAGAAACAAAATGAGTTCTTGAGGGGTCGACAAAAAATACAGCTCGAGTCACTACAGAATGGTGAAACAGAACCAGGAAAACTGACTACAAATCATAACAATAATTTACCAGATAATAATGATAAAACGTGGAGTAAAAATACAGGTGGAGGGTCTCTTGAAGATATAGACGTACTGGACGTAGATGGCCTTTCAATACGAGATGACGAGGACTCATGGTGTGTTCACAAATATGATCAATAGATTCTTTATTGATGATCAATGGACTCTTTTCTAAAGATTTTATCAATTTTTTAAGGAGATGTGAATGAAAAGGAGAGTATCTCTTCTCTCTCCATCACCCCTATCCCTTGCCTTTGTTTTCCCACCCTATTACTACTTATTTTTTGAGCTCCTTTTTTCTGATAGACTGGATCAATTCAAAAGGACTAGATTGGTTCTTTTATCATGTTTTTATTATTTATTGATTATTTGAAAAGATGCCATTTTGTACAGTGTACCAACATATTTACATTCAATCTCTGCAGGTTATACACGTCTCCTAAACCTCCTACACCTCAGCAGAACCGAGTTAGTCCGTATAAATGGGTTAGACAAGATTTTGACCATCCTAGTCCGGAAGTTAAATCAGTGAAGAAATCTCTATTAAATAAACTTGATGAAGCAGCGAGAAGTAAGTGGGGTGATGTTGAGTATAAACTGAATTTTACACCATATACTCAACTGCAGGCATGGGATAATCATACTCGAGTAAATGTTATCAATTGTAATGATAACTTTTTTCAAGTAATCGACAGTAATCTGATTAATCTGAAAGAGATTTTCAATTACTTGTAATTGTTATTTAATCGATTACAGCTAAAATTCCCAAAGTAATTATAATAACTTTTTCAGTTACTTTCAATTACTTTATATATACATTATACATACACATCTACTTTATACATAAATGCTATTTAATAGAATCATTTCCAGTCAGTCAAACATAAATACACATGTACAAACCACCCAGTGATTTCCCAACTTTTATAATCATAACTTAAGTAATGTTCCCAATAAAATTTGCAATATAGACATACTGGTCTAGTCTTTTTCATATTTTAGATGTTGATAAACTTTGTCTTCTAACAGAAAATAATATGTAGCAAAAATAGAATTGAGAGCTTTTTATATAATTACAAATTATCTGAAATATAACCTAGCTACATCGTACTTAACTAGCAAGGACCTAACAGAAAAATAAGAGGAAAATACTTTTCATATCTAAGTTATCGATTACAGGACAAAACTGAGTTTAATGGATTATTAATTGAGTACACAAAATTCCTCTGAATAATCAATTATTAATCGATTACATTTTTCTGTAATCTTGCCAATGCCAGCTTAACAGTACAATATATTTGTGTGTTACTCATGATATATTTCTTTTTAAAAAAACACGCACATTTTCATAAATTTTACAGGAATGAAATAATTACAGAATATGATTGATCATCATTTATTCACTGCAAACTGAGCTTTAACAATTGAATAAACTGAAGTAGTACTGAAGTTGACTTTGTTCTTTGACATGTTTGAGAGAATTTTCTATTCCAAGCAATTAAATATCATTTATGGTTTATTCAGAACAAATGAATAGGAAGAAGAATTATTGTATTAGATTGATTCAATTTAATATTATATAAATTCTTAGTTTGGTGTAGTTTAGCTCCTTTTTTTGACATCATTGATTTGTTGTTGTCAGTGTCTAGGAGTAGTAGTACCCCGACTTTCGGAATGTACTCCACCCCTACATCCTCTAGACCCAGGATGAGTCAGTCTGCAGAGAGTACCCCAGTGTCTAGTCAGACATCAGCTGTCAGGAAGTCACTCTACTCTAATGCAGGTACACACGCCTTTAACAGGCTCCATATATTTTTTGTGGATCAAATGAAAATAACCTTGTTATGATTTGAAATGGAAGTGTTCTTTCCTTGTACTATTAAATATAGTAAAACTAAGATTTTCAACTAGTTGGTCAAATGCTCATCCTACACAACAGCTGCACAAAAATCAAGATAAAAATGGATTTGAAATTTCGTAATGACAATGCAGCAAGAAAACTGTACACCTCAATGTATTATAATGGTAATGGTGCATGTAAAGTATGTATTTAATGGTGCATATAAAGGCATTTGTTTGGCTTTCTAGGTGGCTCAACTGGGAAAATAAACACTGGAACCTTTACTCGACCAAAGGCAAAAGTAAAAACTGATGAAGGGGATAAGCCGTCAGAAAATTCAGAAAAACACTACGATGTTACAGATATTGAAAATCTGGCAAAACAACAGGAAGAGAGTAAGAATCCTAAGCATAAATCACAGATATAATGAATTTCATTGAGATATAAGGCCAGTCTTATAAATGTATTAAGCAAAAAAATTACCAATGTCTTTTTGTTGTTGTAGGTTTACGACAAAGTATGACACATTCTTCTCCAAGAAGAGGTATACTTTTTTTTCACCCTTTGTATTATTTAAAAATATCTTTCTTTCTGTATTGCTGTGGGTTTTCACTATGATTGAGTGGGAAGCTAATATGTATACTGTTACTGTGTGGTACTGAGTCTTTTTCAATTACATATTTATATGCAATATGGGAGACAGTCTGTTTCAATTTATCAAGAAATTCTTTTTCTTTCCTTTGAGTAAACAATATGTATTTACCAGTAGCAAAGCCAGGAAAGTTAAAATAAATGAATACTCATTTTTAGATTGATCACTACTGCTATTCATTTCAACTACATTATAAAATGTGTTTACAAAAGCATATTTAGACTCCAAATATGTTATCTGTACGTACACAAATTTCACTGCATTGCTTTAGATTAGTAGTCATATTTATTCTTTGCACATACGTACATACCATGTACATCTGTGTTTCTGTCAGTTTTATATATGAGCCTCATATCATCATCCTGATCATTTTCTGTCCTCCACAGTTATTCGCCCTAGACAAATTCCTCAACAAGGAGTGCAAGCTTTAAACAATATAAACAATAATATTGAAGTAGAAAACACGGCCTCCCCGGTAAACTCCAATCGGTCCAGTCCCTCTCGTGGTGAGGGTAAGACTCTGGCATGGTTATCAGGGATTTGTCATCGTTATTCTGCATGTTTATTAACTTTATGTTCTAAAAAATAATTCTATAAATGTATCCAAATTATTTTTTGTTTATTTTGAATTATTTTTGGTTTTGATTTATGTTGTTGAAGGTGCTTGTTGGCAAAAAGTAATTTTTTTTTTTTGGCTTTCCCAAACTGCTACATGTAGTTGGTATATCATGTACATGTATATATACCCAGTATTTGACAAATGTAGTAATTTTATTCACACAGTTACATTTTGTCAGGATGTAAAATTTCTGTCAGACAGCTAGTTTGAGACAGGATTCAGACTGGATCTTTTTCATCAGGACTGACATTTTCAGAAGAAATTTCATGTTAATTTCAGAACATATTATAATTTTCTCAAATTCGGTTGAGAGTGCTCACAAGTGCTTGTCAAATTTTGTGCATCTGATATGATATAGTTAGTTACTAAGTATTTAACAAATATCATTTATTGGTGATGGTGGATTTATGAGATTTACTAAAAAGAGAACATTTTTATATTTCAAGCCTTTTATTATTTGCACATTGCATGTTTGTGGATGCACCAACAAATGCATGAGGTTTCTTCTTTCAGATGTAAATCTGTGATCTGTCTAGATTTAAACCCATCTGATAAACCATTATCATACATTAAGTTATTAAAAAAACTCTGTGAACTAGGAGAAAAGAATGATGTAATTTTTGTGGCATTTTATAGTAGTTTTAATTTTTTTATTTTTATGTTACATCATATTTCATTGTTATTTTTTTTTGGAGAGGGTGTTAAAAACACACTTTTTTAAATAAATATTTACCAACATAATTGATGATCTGAAAGTTCATGTAGAATAATATGTGTAATCTTTTATTTCTAATGAATGATATATTTTTTCTTAAAAAGCAGCACACATATTCATAGTTTATTACAGAAAATCAAAGCATGACTTCATCTACAACAAATTTGAATTCGGAAACAATGTTTTGTTATTTCTAAAAAAAAAAAAAAGGAGTCATAATGAATTTTTATTTGTTTTGTATTATTTACTCCTAAAACAAGACTGTGATATTTATCAGGTGATAGGAGGAATAGCCAGAACAGTATTGGATCTGATGTCAGTAGTCCTCCAGACAGTCCTTATAGCAGCCAGTACCTCAACCAGCCCCAAGGTAAGCTTACATAGTACAAATAACATAATAATACAGTACCTTAACCAGCCCCAAGGTACAGTATACATAGTACAAATAACATAATAATACAGTACCTCAGCCAGCCCCAAGGTACAGTATACATAGTACAAATTACATAATAATACAGTACCTTAACCAGCCCCAAGGTACAGCTTACATTATACAAATAACAAAGTAATACAGTACCTCAACCAGCCTCAAGGTACAGCTTACATAGTGCAGATAACATAATAATACAGTACCTCAGCCAGCCCCAAGGTACAGTATACATAGTACAAATTACATAATAATACAGTACCTTAACCAGCCCCAAGGTACAGCTTACATTATACAAATAACAAAGTAATACAGTACCTCAGCCAACCCCAAGGTACAGCTTACATAGTGCAGATAACATAATAATACAGTACCTCAGCCAGCCCCAAGGTACAGTATACATAGTACAAATTACATAATAATACAGTACCTTAACCAGCCCCAAGGTACAGCTTACATAAGTGCAGATAACAATAATACAGTACCTCAACCAGCCCCAGGGTACAGCTTACATAATATAACAAAATAATACAGTGCCTCAACCAGCCCCAAGGTACAGCTTACATCATACAAATAACAAAGTAATCTCTCAACTCAGTTCATGTACTTATCCTTTATTTTCAAGATTTCTCAAGATTATACAGTCCCACTGAGCATATACATGTATTTTGTGTAAACATAATGCCCTTGAAATTGTATTTTGCATGCTATTCCAGAGAATACCAACCTCCGTAGAAGCTTACCAAATGTTTCTCAGAGACTGACACAACCCCAGGGTCACCATGCCAGCGACCCTTACCTAGACAACTACTCCTCAGGGGGCAGTGACGATTATGATGTAGGCCCTACACCAGCCCAACAAAGACAGATATCTCGACTTCAGCCTCCAATGAGGCCAACTTCCCCGAACGTGTCTGGGTTACGGCAGCCTAGCACCCCCATCCAGCGGGGGCTGTCCCCTCAGAGGACTGGTCTTCCACAACCAATGCGGCGGTCCATTCCTCGGCCGGACTCCGCCGTCAAGTCCAGCATACCCTCACCAAGAAGGTTAGTCTTGTCTGCCATCAGTTTAAAAGAAAAAAAATGTGATAATCAAGTTTCTTGAATATTGAATATGCCTTATTTAAAGTACATATGCAGGCATACAGTATGTTAAGGGGAAAAGGTGAGGGGGGAAGGGGTTAGGCTGAGAAGGTATATGTGCAGTATTTACTGACTATTCAAAAGTATGTGTTTCTGCACTGGTGAACACAATATAATTATGAAGAAATTTTTCCACTATGTATTCATTCCTTTCTTTGTAGGTCTGCCCTTCCTTCACCTCGTCGATCAAATCAGTACAGAGCTCCAGATAGTGATGACAGCTGGAAAGAGGGCTGTTTTTAATGGCAAAATACATATATATCTTTTCCTGTTTCTTGTTCTATCTGTGATTCGGAGGCTTAAGTTATTGATTTTTGTGAAGAAGACATTTTGTGACTGGTCACAGCTTTTGTGACATGCAGGAGAGTTTTAAAAGAAGAGGTGGACCGCTCATTTGTCTCAAGAAAAGTTTAGACATGGATTTTACTGATATTAAGTTGATCTCTGTCTGACAGAGCTGTTAGAAGGTTGAAATCCTTATATTGTACTTAATATAAATGTATTCTGATCTAACATGTCAATTCCATTAATCGCTTTAATCAGTTTGTGGTTGTTTGTTGCTGCTATTTTTGTCACTGGGAGGGAGAAATGTGTATCTGTGAGATCTCATTTATATGTAATATGAAGACTATCATTGTTGGTGAACTAAGATGGTTTTGGTGCCTGTTGAATATTCTGTGATAATATGAACAGTTTTTTTAAAAGCATGAACATATTTTTTTTTTTCAACAAGGCATCATATTGATTTACAGTGTATTTGAGATGCAGGTTTTATTTTTTACTGTATTTCCTTTGGTGCATTTGGTTTTAATTTTCAACCCCTCTGTTGAAGGTTATTTTCAAAACTTTGTACCAATGTAAAATGTTTTTTTTTTTTATTATATATTCAAAATCTTATTTCAATAATTGTGAAGATTCAGTGTTTTTCTCTTCATTTTTATATATTATAATAGGCTAGGGAACAAAATATTTGTGGGCCTTACTACAATTACATGTGTGCATATGAAATTTTGATTTCTATGTGGCATTTATATAAATTGAAATGGCCAATTTGGCTGGTGGTTGGACTTACGGAAAACATGGAAGATTTTGAGGTTTGTTAATTAACTGCATTAGGAAAAGTCCTAGAACTTTCAAGACCATTAATGGCTACAAGTATTTTGATGTACAATTTTTTTGTCAGAAAATAATCTGACACATGAACAATACAGTTGAAATGCATATTAAACTTGTACTTCCTGAAAGAACAAATTTCTAGGATTTTATTGAACAATTGTTCATCTTATTATAAATAGATATTTATTTTTTAATTGCTCAGACTGAATGTATTAATTTAAGGAGATCACAAACATTAGAGGAAAGTTACACATATTTATCCATAGCCTAGTCAATGTGGAGCATTTTTAAATTGTACATGTACATTAATACATGAACCTTGTGTAAACATAGAGAGACATTGAAGAGAGATGTTCACTTTTATATCAGTCACCATCACTGTGTCAGTTTACATATACATCCTTATTTATGAGTTGTCATTATTTTAACACCTTAATTTTATTTATTCTATAGTTCACCCACACAAATGTATCTACAAAAATACATTTACATCCATATCTGTTAGAGGGATTATTTGATCAAAGGTAAATACTACAGAAAAGAAATATATCAATATCAGAGCACAGTGTTTCCTTTTAAAAAAGATAATTTCAGGTGTTTTAGAGGGCTTATTTTGTATCAAAATCATTTGAATGAATTTTGCCTTTTATAAAGCTGAATGCAATCTGGTGAAGTATGGGAGTTTGGTCTTGGTTGTTTGTACTTGCAATGCAAGTTTGTCATGTTATGATTGCTTTTAATATATAATTTATTTTGTGTCATTTCAAAAAATGCAATAGCTTCATTCCAGCTGGAAAGTGAATAGAAATAAATGAAATGAGAAACTAGTTCTAATTGTAACGGGGACCGTTACAGATGTTCCCCAAACGCTCCCCAACTCCCTTTTTGTGCAAATTTCCTTTAAAACTTTTTTCAATATGCTTAGTATCGCAGGATTTCATAAAAGAATTTTAAAAACTACAATGATATTACCTTTTTGTCATCTAACGCATTGTTCGCAAACGCACGTGCATGCACATGCAACGTGATCATGACATGTTGTCTAAACCAGTAACATATCTTTATATTCCAGAAATCAATAAGAAGTCATAAAAATATAAATGTTACCGTTTTTCAAACATATTGTTCATTTTACGCATTGCGTGTGCGCATGTGCATGCAAGCACGTCCTTGCATTCAATTTTGATAGCAATATCATGTAGGAATCCATAATAGCTATTCATATTCTAAACTTCATCCTGTTTTGTTGAGAAACAAGAAAGATATTGGCATGTAAAGTTTCACCCAATCAGATTGCAGCACACGTGGATTTACGTGCTTTCATGATAATTCTTATATATCATGCTGTAGATCTTCATAATATGTGACTAAGTTCAAAATTTCAGAAGATTATGACGTAAAACAAGAAAGATATTGAGACTTTAGTTTCAGCCAATCAGAGCAAAGCGCACATGCATGCGCGTAAGATCTTGCAATTTTGACCATATCATCTTGTCCATACTACTACTTTATTCATGCATTGCGAGTTTCAAAAAATTCCAATAAGAAATATAAAAGTTACGGCTTCATCCATTATCTTGGTAATTTCACATGTTGCACGAGCGCGCTCTTGCCAGCACACGCGCATGTACGTGCTTTCATGAAAATTACTATATATCATGCTGTAGATCTTCATAATGTGTGATTAATTTCAAAATTTCAAAGGATTATGACGAAAAAAAGAAAGATATTGAGACTTTAGTTTCAGCCAATCAGAGCGAAGCGCACGTGCATGCGCGTGAGATCTTGCTATTTTGACCATGTCAACACGTTTATACTATTAATATATACTTATATTATGAGTATGAAAGCATATAATCAAAAAATAGAAAAGTTACGGCTGTATCTATTATTTTGGTCATTTCACACGTTGCACGTGCGCGCTCTTGCAAGCACGTGCGCGCAAAATGACCTTTGTTCGGCAAATCTACATAACATGCCTACTGACCCTAAAAAGGTTTTACCTAAGTCGGACGTGTAGTTTACAAGATCATTCGCGGAAAAGATTTTCCCAGGAAGAAGAAAAATAATAATAATAATAACTAGTGCTAATTGTAACGGGAACCGTTACAGATGTTCCCCAAACGCTCCCCAACTCCCTTTTGGTGCCATATTCCATGTAAGCCTTATAAAATAAGACATCTGTGCATTTTTGACTTTAAAAACGTTTTCCATGAAGGATACCAATTATATTCAAATTTTAACATTGCACGCGTGCGCATGTGAATGAACGTATGCAATGATCATATCATCTTGTCTACACTTTCTATATATTTAAATATACTATATATAAAAGCATCTAGTCCAAAAGTATTAAAAAAAAACACTCATGAAAGTATATTTTTAGTTTCACTCGTTCCAAATGCACGCATGTGCGTGCACGTGCATGACGACCATACCTTATTGTAGGAGGGCCTTATATCTATCTAGACTCTAAATCCCATCCTGTTTGGTTGAAAAACAAGGGAGTTATAGCCATTTTAAGTTTCAGCCAATCAGATTGCAGCGCACTTGCATGCGCGTAATTTCTTGAAATTTGTTGTATATCATAGTGCAGGATATCCTAATTTATGACTATGTTTTAAATTTCAAAGCATTTCGTCAAAAAGCAAAGGAGATATAGCCATTTAAAGTTTCAGCCAATCAAATTGCAGCACATGTCCACGCGCATGATTTCTTGAATTTTTTTGTATATCATATAGTAGGATATTCTAATGCATGACTATGTTTTAAATTTCAAAGCATTTCGTCAAAAAACAAAGGAGATATAGCCACTGAAAGTTTCAGCCAATCAGATCAAAGCGCACGTGCATGCGCGTGTTTTCATGAAAATTTGTATGTATCAAATTGTAGCATATCCTAAGGCATGACTATATTCAAAATTTCAAAGCATTTCGTCAAAAAACATAAGAGATATTGAGATTTTTGTTTCAGCCAATCAGAGCGAAGTGCACGTGCATGCGCGTGAGTTCTTGCTAATTTGACATTGTCATATTATCTACACTATCAATATATTCTTATATAATGAGTTTCAAGACATTTCATTAAAAAATATAAAAGTTGTGACTATTTTAAGAATATCTGTCATTTCACTCATTTCACGCGCCCGCACGTGCAGGCGTATGCGCGCAAAATGACCTTCGTTCCGCACACCTACACTACACACCTATTAACCCTAAAAAGGTTTTAGCTCAGTTGGGTGAACAGTTTCTGAGAACACTCGCGGACAAAAAAGTACCGGAGAACAAATAAGAAAAAAAATAATAATAACTAGTGCTAATTGTAACGGGAACCGTTACAGATGTTCCCCAAACGCTCCCCAACTCCCTTTTAGTGCCATATTACCTGTAATATACTATATATGAAATTATTCAGTCCAAAAGTATTAAAAATCACTCATTCAAGTGTATTTCTAATTTCATTCGTTCCAAATGCACGCACGTGCGTGCACGTGCATGATGATCATATCTTCTTGTAGGAGTCCCTCATATTTATCTATGTTCTGAATCCCATCCTGTTTGGTTGAAAAACAAGGGAGTTAAAGCCATTTCAAGTTTCAGCCAATCAGATTGCAGCACACGTGCATGTGCGTGATTTCATGAATTTTTCTATATCGCCTTGTAGGATATCCTAATGAATGACTATGTTTTAAATTTCAAAGCATTTCGTCAGAAAACAAAGGAGATATAGTCATTTAAAGTTTCAGCCAATCAGATCGCAGCACACGTGCATGCGCGTAATTTCTTGAAATTTTTTGTATATCATATTGCAGGACATCCTAATGTATGACTATGTTTTAAATTTCAAGGCATTTCGTCAAAAAACAAAGGCGATATAGTCATTTAAAGTTTCAGCCAATCAGATTGCAGCACACGTGTATGCGCGTGATTTCATGAATTTTTTTCTATATCTTCTTGTAAGATATTCTCATTCATGACTATATTTTAAATTTCAAAGCATTTCGTCAAAAAACAGAGAAGATACTGAGATTTTAGTTTTAGCCAATCAGAGCGAAGCGCACGCGCATGCGCGTGAGTTTGTGCTAATTTGACAGTGTCACATTATCTACACTATTAATATATCTTTATATAATGAGTTTCAAATCATTTCATTGAAAAATGTAAAAGTTATAGCTATATTACGTATATAAGTCATTTCACGAGTTGCACGCGCACGCACGTGCATGCGTATGCGCGCAAAATGACCTTCGTTCCGCACACCTACACTACACACCCATTAACCCTAAAAAGGTTTTAGGTCAGTTGAGTGAACAGTTTCTGAGAACACTTCCGGACAAAAAAGTACCGGAGAACAAATAAGAAAAAAAATAATAATAATAATAATAATAAGAAACCGAGTAAAAACAATATGTTCCCAAACTCCGTTTGGGGAACATAATAAGAAACCGAGTAAAAACAATATGTTCCCAAACTCCGTTTGGGGACCATAATAAGAAACAGAGTAAAAACAATATGTTCCCCAACTTCGTTTGGGGAACATAATTATTCATGGGTGTTGTTTTGTTGCAAAAAAATTAGTTAATGAATAAGTTAATGAATTTCACCATGCATCATTGAAAACTTTGCTACCAAGATGTTTGGTCAAGCAATAGATGCAATATAAGACAAATGATGCTCTCTAATATAGAGTAGCCCGGGGGGGGGGGGGGGCTTCAATCGATCCATTAGTAAATTAAATGAATGCATTTCTGGCCATAGGTTGGGGAGGGGGGTATTTTGCGAGTATATAATATACAGATGGGAAGTGGCTTGTCCCCCTTTAGAAATAAATTTTTTAAGGTTGAGGCCAGTGCAAGTATACCGGTATTTTTTGTTTCCGATTCTGTGTGGACCCCTCCTTGAAAAAAAAAAAACTTGGATGTACGCAATTTGCATGGCGCATGCCCCCCCCCTTCCATAATTTTTTTTGAAGATGCCAGTTTATCAAATCGTATCCCTTCTTAGCTTCCTCATATTCACATTGGTCTGTTTTTACCTTTATAATGAAGAATACGCAAATACATGTACGTATACTGCTAGTTTATCTCATACGTGAGACAGGTCAAATTTCTAGTAAAACATCTGCGCTATGTGATAAACCTTCACTATCTGGTCACTTAGAGAGTTTGTGTTTTTAGAGTTTTAAGTTTACCTATATAAGGTCACTGTCATAACCCGGTCTCCAGACACTTAGGAACGCATCTCTTAATTAAAGATGGCGCGGGTGGCACCTCACTTCCTCTGTTTCCTGTGGCTTGTGGCCGTATTTTGGTCATGGACTGCCCAGGGAGCAGCTGAGGACCCCAATCATGCTCTGATAACCCTGATCCAGTCCCTCCAACTCCAGATCACAGAGTTACAAAGAAAGGTGGACCAAGGCTTCTCTGGATCTTGCAAAGGTACATATATATTGATGCCGATTGTTGAATGGTTTTCATAAATTCTTTACTTTTGGACGCAATATCTTAAATTGGTGGAAACGGCATGTAGCATGTAAAACCATCTAGAAAATCAGGTTGAAATGTCTTCTCTTTTTTTTTTTTTACCAAAAGCAAAGCCCAGAGACTGTGCTGATGTATTGTCAAGCGGGAAAAACGTGTCCAAGGTCTACAAGATTTACCCTGGGGACGGCCCTGTCACCCAAGTCTACTGCGACATGGACGACGACGGGGGCGGCTGGACAGTAAGATTTTATCGTGTTTTAAAGGATGTTATTTTTTGTGGTTGAATATGATTTCGCGGAGGACTTGAATTCAAGGATGATTTCTCGATACCAGAAAACAATGAAAATTTACCACATTGATTATCAGTTATTTCATATAATAGTTAAAGGTGCATGTACACAGATTTGAAGTTAAAATTTTCTGTATAATATTACGACTTATATATTTTAATAGCATTTCACACAAAAATATATTAAATTTTTTATTTCATCTAAAGTTATTGAAACTTCTTTTTGGATGGATTTGATTGACACATCCTTGCACTCTCACAAATTTTACTTTTATTCTTAAAACTTAGGAAAAGTGGCAATCTTTTTGTGTATTAATGAAAAAAATATTAAAACTTTAATCCAGAAAAATAATTATATTCAGAAAAAAATGTTAGAAAGCAAAGCCCCTTCAGTATCGTCATTCCGCGCTAAGTGTTGTGTACAGAGTTTAGCAAATTGATCACACCCGTGAAACGTACACAGTTTTTGTAAACAGGACACGAGCTCTGTTATTTTTGATTTTTACGATTCACCGGGTGGGTTCAATAAGTCTGCTCACTACAACTGCACAGACTGACAATATAATGTGTGTATGTTTTGCTTTCGAACATTTCTACTCTGAATTTTCTGGATTATAGTTTTAATATTTTTCATTTATACACAACAAGATTGCCACTTTTCCTAAGTATTAAGAATGAAATTAAAATTTGTGAAAGTGCAAGGATGTGTCAATCAAACCCGTCTAAAAATTTGAAGTTTTAATAACTTTTTGATGAAATAAGATTTTTAGTATATTTTTGTGTGAATTAATTGCTATTAAAATATGTAAGTCGTAATATTACACAGAAAATATTAACTTCAAATCTGTGTCCATGCACCTTTAAAGTCTAAAATTGTAACTTGTGTCGGAATCAAAAAGATGGAAAGGAGGTGGGTTAAAATACCTACATTGGAACAAGCTGTGTTTGTGAAACATTGAATCCCCCACCCCACCCCTCCCTGGTAAGGGAGCTTATGGCAAGGGTTGAAGTTTATAAATGGAAGTCTAACTCTATAAGGTGAAGAGATCCAAAATCTTGTTACCTTCACAATTGAAGGGTCTTGAGTCAATGAATATATATCTGAAATACGAAAGCTCAAATACTTTCAATTTAATCAAATATTTCTTTCTTCTTAGTATTAGTTGATTGATTGAATTTGTTGTTTTACGCCCCATTCAAGAATTTTCCACTCTGGGGCATTCAACAGTTGGGGTTCTTTATATATGTATTTAATGCATTTTATTACAATAAAATTGACCAGTGTTTCTTTTAAGGCACCTAAAACATTTGTGTCATTATGATCAATGCATTACGTTTTGTAGGTTATCCAGCGGAGATTCAATGGTTCGGAGAACTTTTTCAGGAGTTTCGCTGATTACGCTGCGGGGTTTGGTAACAAGACTGGCGAGTACTGGGAAGGTAATGCACATATAGCCTAGAAAAGAAAGTGCAGAGAATCCTTAAAACAATTTGAAGAAAAATTGGTAATATATAGTTATTAATAGAACAGAAGACAATTTACCCCTATACTACTAGTATATAGCTTAAACCCCTGCTTTGTACAGTAGCTAGAATTCTAGCGTTTAATTACGCCTTGTGCACATTCTTGTAGGAAACGAGAACATCCACGCCATTACCTCTCAGTGCAAATACGAGCTCAAAATCATTTTGACGGACTATCAACAGCATACCAAAGTGGCCAAGTATTCTTCATTTTCTGTTGGAGACAAGTCAACAAAGTATGCTTTATCCATAGCTGGTTATTCCGGGGATGCAGGTTAGAACTCAAAATGGAAGATAACACAGAGTTTGACGTCTGATTTCTGATCTGATGAAAATTTTATATTTTGATATTTTTTGAGAGAAAAAGAAGAGCATGCTAGCTCTACTATCAAATAAGGAAAGATACTGACAAATAAGTTGATGGAATATGATGTCAACAGTCTCGTCAACATTTTAGTCTATAGTCGATACAATGATCTTATTAACAAAATAAAATCTTTCAATTAGTCGAATATTGACTGACCTTTTCAATACAAATCGTTGAACCAATATTTTCACAATGAGTTGTCTACCAATGTTCCCGTTTACTCAGTCATGACATTGGGAACACGGCAGGTATGACCGGTCAACAGTCGATGCTCACTCATCTATGGCACCTGAACCCACAGCTTATGTTTATAGAGGTTCTTGTTTACCCTGTTTCAAATTTTTGAATTGTTTTAATGGATTTTTTTTTTTTACATTTATATTTAAGGTGACGGGTTGGTCTTTGACCACAATGGTCACGCCTTTTCAACAGCTGACGCTGACTCGGATAGTGCGCAGTCGCTCAACTGCGCACAGAAGCACAAAGGTGGTTGGTGGTACTCAAATTGCTTCAAGTCCAACTTAAATGGAGTATGGGGAAAAGCAGATGAAACAGGAATTGTGTGGGGACCATTCAAAGATTGGCGGATGTATGCCTTAAAAGAGACCACCATGATGGTTAGGCCTGTGGACTGCGATTAATAATGATACCAAAATAAACCAGTCTTCAAATTATTGATTCTCATATTTGAAGTAATGAAGAAAATCATTGTTTCTTTGATATTGAAGTTTTTATTTAATAAAGGAATTCTTGCTCTGCTAAAAAATTATGAAGTTTTGAGCTTTTTATTATCTATAACTATATAATTATAGTGATGGATATACTACAGTACTATATCATATTATATTATACCATACCATACCTTTGACACGCCAAATTCACAAAAAATGAGTTAAACATAGTTTTACAGTTGATAAACTAGAACCAAATCATTTTGACAGGTCAAGATTGAAAGAAGTAAAAATTAATCTTGAATCTTGTAAATAATATAAAATGTGGACAAGCGGATCTGAAAACACCAGAGGTGGGATCGTCAGACGTCCTGGGGGAGTAAAACATCCCCTGAATTACTCCAGCAGTGAGCCTTCTGTTCTGATCAGGTAATTATATAAACGATGTAAGCTATATTCAAAATCAGTACATGTATAAAATACTGGCCTTAAAACTGGTATGGAACAGGGTTGTATTTACAAAATCATAGAATTTAATAAATGTTAATTTGATTGAGATTACAGAAAGCATCGCAACATCAACTTATTTGTCAGCAAGTTTGCCATGGATTAAATTGATCGTATTTAGAACATACCTGTGTGTACCGAATTAGATACAAACGACATATTCTGGTGAAAGTAAAATCTTTTTCTACAAAAAGGGAGACGCCTGGACTGAAAAAGTTGAAAATATAATTGGTATTTTCTCACAAATTAATAAAATCCAGATACCATGCATATTTCTTATATATATAAATACAAGTTGTTCTGCAATAAAAAACAATCCTATCCCGAAAATTATACGGGAATAATCCAGAAAAATGATAGATCTATACCCTAAATGCAAAATTTGCATAAAAATAAACTATATTCAACAGCTGGTATTTTTTTCGTATATTTTCAAAAATAAAAACCAACATACTATGCACATCTCTGACACACATGTATCTACAATTAATCTGGGAAAAACTTCTTCACTTGAAAACTGTTGGAATTATGTAGCCCTTTTTGAGTGTTCTTCTTACAAAAAAGATTTGCATAAATTCTGCTTTATATATGAATATAACAGCAGGTCGGTTAATTAGTGCCTATCGGAATCCAATCATAGATATACATGTACTTGTTCGTAGGGATAAGAATGATTTTTGTTGGTGATCGAGCACAAGATAAGGATGAGATTTATTTTTACTGAAGAAGCAGTTGTCTTTGAAGTCAAGTGTTAAATTCTGAAGTTATTTGTCAACGTTTTGTACAACTGGTTTCACGCTCGTTGGGCAAGTCTTTAATGAACACACTTGTTAAAATATTTTTTTGTTTTCAAATGCTATCAAGCATGTATTTTAAGGAACAATGAATAATAAGAAAAAAAGATCATTTAAATAAGTTAATTACATTAGCTTCTTCTTGTAAATGAATGTACGTAACATTAAAGCTAGAGTTGTTCTGAAAAGAAATTTACTTCTTTGATTGATTATCACATTACAGAACAGAGATGCTGTCACCAGATGATGCAAGAACGTTTACCAATAAGCTACACAGATTAAAAGGGGATCTTGATTACTTCATTGGAAGAATTGAAGCGCCATACAATGACCCCTCGGAGACAGATAAAAGACGATATTGTTCCGTGATAATCGAGATGATGGAATTTGTTGTCAGGAGGATAGAACATGTAGGTAATACCCGAAATTGGAATACAGTGTATTGGGTCAATATTATGGATAAGATTTAGTAATTAGGATTATAAATTTAATTTAGCTTCCACCAGAAATCAGTCTTCCTGAAACAAAATACAAAACGTGGGATTCCACCATTCAGAATCTCAGAAGAGAGAATGCTAATCTTAAAGAACAACTAAATGAGGAAAAAGAAAAACTCAAGGTATTACTCTTCTATTGTAAAGTGATTTCATACAATAAAACCAATTTGTGTTCTACAATATTCTATTACATTTGTAATTACTGTGCCTAAAGGTAGAAAAATATTATTTTTTTTATGTACATTGTACTTAGTTTTGTAATTTAAACTAGGAGGCTAATTGGCCCCAGTGTTAACTTGGTATACTAAATTGTACCTAGTATTTATCCTCATAAAAATTGAAATATTGAAACTTTAAATAAGTAATAATATGTATGTTTTCAATACTTCTAAACTACAATAGAGTTACGTAATCGGAGACCTATTGCTAATTTGGAAGTCCATTTTTTTCATACAAACTGGTGCTGTCCGTTGTGGTTCGGACTTGCAACACAACACGAGGATGACTGTAAATACACACGAGACTAAAAATTATTCTTTCGCTAAAAGCAGTTCATTTTTTAATGAAAAAATAAATTTACCATACTTACTGATATCGGAAATTAGGTGTACTGTATAATAAGTAATGGATCCCTACTGCATTTGAAAGATCTGAAGACTTTATTCCTAAAATCAAAACCCTTCTACCAATCCATTCTAGTCCCGGGACAAGTACCTTTCAAAACTTAAATCATGCTGTACAAGAAATAGTACATTTTCTAGCATTTTAAGGAAGATTTGAAAGTTATTTACCATTTCAATATCTTTTTGAAAAGAATCAAATTCAACTTTATCTAAAATGTTTTGTTCCAAGTTTGGTCGAAAGGATCCACTGCTTCTAAATAAAAGGGAAAAAATGTTGAAAGACCACTAAAACACACCACCAACAGCCGAACGTTGGGTTTGAATAGCTCACATGCCCCCTTCGCAAATGTGGCAAAATTAAATGCAAATTTCTATATTTTCGCAGAAACTGCGGCATAGTCGATTGGCTGAAGAACATTCCTCAAAAATTGAAGAATTAAAATCGAAAATAAACAGACTGCAAAAAGATCTAGACAAAGAAAAGTCTAACTCTAGAAGAACCATTACACCATTTGGAAACCACAGGAACATGAAGAGAGTGGGCACGTCTCGCGAGGTTTTGGAGGTAGAAAACATACAAGGATATGACGCCAAGGAGCGCGAAGTGGAACTCGAAGCAGAAAATGGAATACTGAAAAGTCAAATTCAAGAATTGAAACATTTCTCTCAAAATCTGGAAACTGAGAGAAAAGCGCTTCTCGATAGGTACATGTCAAATGCAAGGAAATATACAGACAATAGACAAATACAGTGCATAAAAAAACGTCTAGATCAGATCTTAAAAGAGACTAAAGCAATTGCTGAAAAGTTTTTCATCACTTTCACTGATCGCACTACGAGTATTCATGTACCTCTAATGTCCTCTATGAATATAATTTATGTAAGTTTTTTTTCAGGTTGAGTGAGCTCTCTACTACTAAACCTGTAATTAAAAATTCAGCCAAAGAACCTCGTCAAGTGGAGTCTAAAACGTCCTCTTCAGTATCGAGGCGTTACAGCGACCTTTTCTCGAAAGACTGGTCGTCAGCCTACAGAGTTCTGATGACCGTATTGAAAACTGATCGCAAAGTAGCATTTCTACTGCTACAGTGCCTTATAGTAAGAAGCATTTTTTCATCAATAAATTTATTTTTAAATGAATATTTAAACTTGAAGATACTGATATATTATAACGTATACTGTATATATACCTGGCACTGCTATATATAATTACAATCAGAGGGTATGTGATCCAGGCCAGGGCCATAAAACAGGATTAGACGTCGCTTAATTCCCTTCTTGCTTTATGCAAGCCTATATAATAAACACTAGAAGTAGACTGGCATAAAAGGCTTATTCTAATGACATGTATTTGAAAATGCCCAAGGTCATAAGAATTGGAGGTTCAAAATTTATGCCTTGGCCAGAAATTTACAGAAAAGAAATTGTTAAAGTTGCAAAGGGTATCCATGATTTACGATTGCACCCCGTTAAAGTTTTTCTTCGCAAAATAACACCATTTTTGGGGCAAACTTCTTTTTAGAATGCATTTAACATATGCAAAAGCAAAGCAGACCAGCAGCGTCGAAAGCTCCATGAGGAGAATCTCACAGAAGGACTTCTGGACCCCAACCTTATCAAGGACACACCAAGACAGATCATAGAAATGCAGGTGAAAAGCGCACCAGAAACGCTCCCAGAAATTACTCAGGTTCGATTCCATAAAAAACGTTTGTGATGTATGCGAATTGCACTAAAATTTCAAGGGTATTGAACTGATTACATTTTTCTAACTATAGATATGTCGAGACAGAATTTCAAAACTCAGCTCATATCCACCGGAAGTGACTCAGTATGTTGACAGCTGTGCAGAAATCTGTTGGTTTATGGTTATTCAAAATCCACCATTTTCTCTGTCTTGGGAAGCGCCCCCTGGTGAGATGGTTGACACATCTAAGTTTAATTTCTACAGGACGAGCGGAAGATACGTGGATTTTGTCGTGTGGCCAGTTCTTTATGACCAAAACGGAAGCACTGTGATCGCTAAAGGAGTGGTGCAGGGACGAAACTGATGCCTATATAAACATATTCTTTTCTCAATGTTTTGATAGCTATATACATGTATCTATTTCAGTCAGACAATTCTGTGTGACTAGAAGGTCTTTCTTGTAAACAATACTAATTTTCAATCATAAAATACAAAACAAACAATACTTATTTTCAATCATAAAATACAAAACAAACAATACTAATTTTCAATCATAAAATACAAAACAAACAATACTTATTTTCAATCATAAAATACAAAACAAACAATACTAATTTTCAATCATAAAATACAAAACAAACAATACTTATTTTCAATCAGAAAATACAAAACAAACAATACTTATTTTCAATCAGAAAATACAATCATTACTGATATGAAGTAATGCACATATGCATATCAAGTAATGATTTGATTCATCAGGACACGAATAGACCTTTTGTGAATATCCTATACGGAAGTACGGAAGATATTTCCAATTGATTTCTTACTTATCCCAAAGATATAGATACATGTACCATATTTGTCGGTTGTCTCTCTGCTAATTCAAGACTAACTATTTTGCACAGAAGGTGGTAATTTATAATATTATACTTTTATGTAAATTAGTTCAATCTGATTGGTCGAGAAACATTTGTTAAAAAACACTATTACCCGCTGAATAATGAAGCCACGCCCTCCAGCGTAGCAACAGTCAACATTGCTTGACGACGGGTGATATTCAAAAAAAAAAAAAAAGCGACTGCGCAGAATTTATGCGCGCACGGTTCACTGTTATTTGCATTTGTATAAAACATTTAGTATTAATATAATAAATATTGCATGTATTTGAGTGTTACATAGAAAATTTTCACCCCTCGAAAACCATTGTCAACCTTGGCTGCGCCTCGGTTTACAATGGTTTTCTTGGGGTGAAAATTTTCAATGTTACACTCAACTACATGCAATATTTATATATTTATACAAATAACTTGGAAGTCATATTTGTTTCATTAGCATTAAAAGAGAATATACCTGAATATTTACATTCCCAATGTCTTAGTTCAGGAAAAAATTACAAATAGTCAATGTATTTTATTTCTCCATCAATGTACTGGTTCATCGATAGGCGCTGTTAAAAAAATCACGAGCAGGGCGGGACAAATATATTAGAGAAAAGAAGCAGGGCTCTTAGCACGTGGATTGGCGGAATCAATACCATGTAAATAAAAAGAATAACTGTCTTATTTTTCGATTTCATCACGATGATCAATCGATTGGCTTGCGTGATAATTTTATGCATAAACACCTTCGGCGTTTATGCAAATGATCACGCAAGCCAATCGACTGATCACATCATGAAATCGAAAAATAAGAGTTATTCCTTGAATAAACACCATATACTTACATATACAATATACACGTATTACTTTTGGACATCTAATTAATATACCCAGATAGAAGTATTTTTTGACCCCATTTTGCATTAATTCATTTTAAAAGACCCTCGTATATATATCTTATCTCTAACACGTGAATAAAGCAGGGGTGTCGACCTCTTGGAATATGAACAATTGTGAAAACAAAAGTCTGAATGAGCATTAAAGAAAATATCAAAAAACGAGCATTTAATCACTTTCAGAGTACAAATGTATGGCAAGCCCTTTTACTATTTATTCGGAAAATAAATTTCATCTGAAAATTACAGAGATATCTCTCATTTTAGAGAGATATCTCTTAAAAATAAGAGATATCTCTCAACTTAAATAGATATCTCTTATTCTAAAGAGATATCTCCATAAGAAAGAGATATCTCTTAAAGTTAGAGAGATATCTCTTATACTTAGAGAGATATCTCTTTTTCTTTGAGAGATATCTCTTTCTCCTTGAGAGATATCTCTTTCGTGATAAGAGATATCTCTAAACGTTAAAGAGATATCTCTGATCGTTAGAGAGATATCTCTTTCAACTAGAGAGATATCTCTTTCACCTAGAGAGATATCTCTATCACTTAGAGAGATATCTTTCCAAGTTAAAGAGATATCTCTTTAAGTAAAAGAGATATCTCTCTAGGTTTATCTTAAGAGATATCTCTCAAAGTGAAAGAGATATCTTTCAAAAGGGTCTAAAAGAGATATCTCTGAAGCAAAAAGAGATATATCTCTTTATTGCAAAGAGATATCTCTCTTCATTATGTTTATTTAAATTCCATTTGAAATGACTTCTCCCTTTACCGGAAGTGAACTTTTTATTTATTATTTCAAAAGCTGAGAAAATTCGGTCCAGAGTCTGTAAGTCTCGTCACGTGACTCGCGAGATTTTACGATAATTTTCACTTCCTCGCACATGGTCATCATCATGGTGAATGTGTATTGAGTTCAGCATGTTTCTGGTTTAAACACAGCTTTCAGGGGGAAATTAAATAGTTTTACAAAGCCGAAGGGTTGTCCGACTTACGATGTATGAATTTCATGTCATAAGAAATTGGGTGCGAGCGTCCACCAGGAATATTTCGATCGAAATACAGGTAAACAAATCAGAGAGTGTCATCCGTTTCTTGTTTATTTTGAGGGAAAATGAAGTGTTTTATTCTTAACCGAATGAAATAGTTTCAAAATTATCTTTTGCCTTAATTTGTTAACTGATTAGCTGATGAATAACATCTCGGATTCAAGAGAAATGATTTCTCTTGAATCCGAGATGTTATTCATCAGCTGATTATAGAGGAGGAGTTTTGTCATTGATGGGAACCAACGTCATATTTATGATATTGTGGCTGCATCACTTTTGTTTGGGTACTTTTTTAATATACTTTTTATGCCCCCGTAAACGAAGTTTCGGGGGTAATTAGTTTTTGTCGTGTCCGTCTGTCTGTCTGTCTGTCTCAGTGTTTGTCTGCAAAAACTTTCACCTTGCCCATAACTTTTGATTTAGTGGAGCTATGACTTTCATATTTCATATGAATATTCCTTGTGTAAAGACCTTTATATGGGTACCACCAAATTTGACTTTTTGACCTTGGAGTTTGACCCACTTTAAAAATACAACATTGACAGAAATTTTTTAAGGGTTATGACTAAGGCATTCATACTTCACAAATTTAATCCTTGTGACAAGACCTTTCATTTGATTTCAAGAACCTTGACCATCTGACCTTGACCTTGGTGTTTGACCTACTTTTTACAAACTTTAACCTTGACCATAACTTCTGAATAGTTGGGGCTAGCTTTCATATTTCACATGTGTAATCCTTGTGACAATACCTTTCATTGGATATCAAGAATCTTGACCCTTTGACCTTGACCTTAAAGTTTGACCTACTTTTTACAAACTTTAACCTTGGCCATAACTTTTGAACGGTAAGGGCCAGTGCTTTCATACTTCCCATACGTAATCTTTGAGACAAGGCCTTTGTTTAGAACACAACAACCTTGACCCTTTGACCTTGACCCGGAATTTGTCTTTTAAGGTAAGTCACTCGTCAGCTTTTTAGAAAAGTTCACGCAGAACCTCTAACTTCAAAAATATTTATTAAAATTCAATTTTTATAAAATAGTTATATTCAACAATGTATATTTTTTAACAATCAAAGAAAAAACTGCTCAAAAATCTTCAAAGAAGCAAGATTTATTAGGGACTATTTTTCGTGGTGGAAGGATATTTAGCAGAAATTTCTGCAAATCTGCACATTTATTAAATTTAACGTCTTGAAACTTTAGCCTCACATACTTTTACTCGGAGAATATTTTCGGTTATGCTATTGATAGGAATATTTAATATAGGTCTTAATTTAAATTTTTAGAATAAGTTTTAGATCTTCCTTCAACAAACTTTGCCAAAAACTGGAGATATATCAAAGAAGTCAAGATAAATTTTACACTATTTTTTGCCTGAAAATCACATATTTTGTCCAATATTTCAAAATTAACATCACTGACCCCAACTTTTTCTTTCATTATTTCAAACTTCTCGATACTTATGACTGATCAGCACTTAAGTCATACAAAGCTTGATATAAGAAAATATTGTATTGCCTATTTATTTTTCTAATACCCAAAATATGTTATATTTTAGTGCAAAAAGGTCACATAATTATTTACGCGCATTAATTTGAAAGATTTGATCAATGATAAATATTATTCAAACTATTTTACGTAAATTAAGAATAAATTTGTTGCCATGGTTACAGCTGAAAAAATATAATAAGAGATAATTGTATAAAAGTAATAAACTAAGGGGTTAAAATTTAAGTGCAAATAGGTCAACTTAAATGTACCATACATCAGTGCGATGCACACTGACCACCTATTTTCTCTGCCATTTTGAGTCACACTTTATGTGTACTTATCAAAAATATACTTCTCAAAAAATCCTTGATATAAGAAATTTGAGGAGTGACTTACCTTAAGATGTTAACATTGGTCATAACCCTGGAGCAGGTGTAGTTAGTGTTTACATTTCTCATTTCTTGTGAAAAGACCTTACTTTGGTACCAATTAACATATTTGATTTGCATTTGAGAAAGCTTAACTGTGGGTAAATTGCCGTACGGGGGCATCAGTGTTTCACAATCACATCTTGTTTTTCAGTAAATTTTAACCTGCTTTGTATTAGTGGATTATTTTTTTGAGCATTAAATGTTTGTAGCAATTTAGATCTATTTCACAAGGATAAGATGTTCATATATTTTGCCATCTCTCTGCATAAAATAAAATTTAGATGACCATATTTCTCACTTTAGAGAGTATGTTAGAAAAATTGGTTTATGGATTTTGGTAAATTTTTCTGTCTGTTCAAATTCGCCTGCATGGCACAGTGGTTAGAGTGTCTGCTCTAGTAGAGTCGCGAAATAAGGTGTTGATCCTTACATCATGAGTTTGAATCCCACTGTGGGATGTGGAGACCTGTCCTTGGGATGATACAGTATAACTGTGGCCCCTTGTTGCAGTAGGTCAGGTGTTGGCACAAAAAAGATCCCTTCCTGCTCAATCAGTCAATGGCCCTGAGTGCTGAGTATAGGTCATTAGGACAAAATTTGCAGCTCTCCACTGTCGTTTCCATATGAGTGAAAAATACTTGAGAGGAACGATAAACAATAAACAATCAATCTGTCTGTTCAATTTATTCACTGATATTACACAACTGTATACACTAAAACTTATTTATAGCAGAGGTACAAGAGAACCAGTAACACAGATAAAAGATGCAATTCCTAAGAGATCCAAAGTCAGCAGCACCTAAGGCTATACTGATCATGACTTTGAATTATCAGCATCCAAAACAATGCAAATACAGGTATGAAATTGATGCAACAAATAAGTTCTAAGACAAATATAAAATTTATTTTTTATAAGACATAGCATATCAAAATGACTAATATACTAGTCAACAACTGGCCAGCTTTAAAAATATATTTGTTTGATGTACTCCTACCCACTTTTATCAAGGTTGGCAGGTAGGTTGGTAGGTACCGGTAGTTTTTTTATGCCCCACCATGATTATGGCCTGGGCATATAGTGTTTGTCATGTCTGTCTTCTGTCTTTCTGTCCATGCGTCACACTTTGCGTTTAGCTCAGTTCAAAGCCCAGTTTCAAAGAAACTATACAGGATATTTCATCAAACTTTGCTGATAGATATTGATAAGAGCTATGCAACTGCATCAACATTTTCTGTCCTTGACCTTTCCTTTGACCTTGACCTCACTTTTCTTAAATTAGTGTTTAACTTAGTTTTAAACATGCCATTCAAGATGGTGTTACAGCAAAACTCGGTTATAACAAAGTTGCTGGGACCTATGAAATTACTTCGCTATATCCATAATTCATTATAATCGTATAAGAAATTCATTGAAATTTTATAACTGGGAATCCAAGATGACTTCGCTATACCCATGAATTTGCAATATTCGTGTTCGTACGAAACGAGATTTACTGTATCAAATTTACCATACTGATGAGAACTTTTCAACTGAAACAAACATTTTTTGTCCTTGGCCTTTCTTTTGACTTTGACCTCAATTTTCCTAAGTTAGTGTCAAACTTCATATGGTGATACATTCTGATGTAAGCAATTCAACTGCATCAACATGAAGTTGACCTTTTATTTGACCTTGACCTCACATCTCTGAAATTAGTGTCAAACTTCATATGCTGATACATACTGATGTAAGCAATTCAACTGTAACATTTTTCAAGATATTCTGATCCAATTTCATACAAATTTTCATTTTGGATGACTAATATACCCTTGGCGGGCATTCCTGTCCTGTGGACATATTTCTAGTTTTTTTTTCTTATGTCTTACAGCATTGAATAAATTGATAACTGTCATATTTAAAACCACAGACTCAGAAATCTGTTAATGTTTTCATTTAGTTACAAAGACTTTGTATTTATAAATTAAAAAGCATCCTAAAAAAATATGATACCTTATCTTTAACATCTATGGAAATTAAGGGGGGTGTTAAAAAATTTTAAGTGCCCCCAAGAAATGAATGCAAATGGGTAGGGGCTATTTTAACAGGTCTGTCAGAGTACATCAAACAAATCATTTTTTTTATTGTTGGCCTAGGAAGGGTACCCTAAATATGAAAATGCAACAAATATTTTTAAATAAAAAGATTTTAAATGAAAATATTTTTTATGTATAAAAAGGACAATTTTTATTCTGATTTTCTTGTAAAATCATTGATAAAATTTAATGAAGAAAGTTAAGATTTGTATCATATAAATGGATATTTATAAGATTTATAACTCATTATTTGTCAGGCACCTTAGTCCTACTTCATTATCAGTTGCACATACAACTATGGCCTATGTAATAATTCAATTGGCATATTACAGAAGCTTGCTAAATTACAGGTTTTGTCTGTACATCTGGCAATCTTGGGGCAATACTGGATGGTTTTAAATAAGAACTGATCCAGCATGAAGACCAGCCATGTGCCTCACCTGTCATGACATTATTAAAGGTAAGTGTCCCTATAAGCAAAGAATCTGACAAAGCAAAACCTTCGTCTTAAAAGATTTACATTTAATACTTATTTGATTGGTAGTTTTAATTTTTTTTTTCTTCTACGCAGCCTTTTATTTAGCATTTCTGAGTACTGCATGGTATATGATTGCCATACTTTCCAAAACTTTTTTTTAAATGCTTTATTTTGAAGCATTTTCCATATCCATATATACACTGTACAAACACAAGACAATTTTCACCCACTCACCACCACAATTGCACACACTCACACAGTGCACTTTCTAAAATTAAAAATAATGAGATGTTTGTAAAATACTTATGCCCCCCTCCCCCCACATTGGAATTTTTTATCTAAGTCGAAAAAGGCATTACTCTGTCAAAAATGGTGCAAGCATACCCAAAAGAGAACTTGACCTAGATATTCATGATCATCTGATAAATCTGTATACTAAATTGCATTTCACTATGTGCAACCTCTGCAAAGGAAATGAACAGAAACTGCAAGTAATTGGAATTTTTCTAAAGCCAAGGGGTATAACTCTGTCAAAAATGGTGCGATGATCATACCCAAAACAGAACTTGACCTAGATATTCATCTGATATACCTGTAAGGCTGTATACCAAATTTCATTTCAGTGCAATGGTTGTGAAGAAAATGAATGGAAACTAAATGGACTGACAGACAGCAGCAAAGCAATATGCCCTCCTTTCTTCAAAGAGGGGGGGGCATAATAAATGTACATATATGTAAACATATGACAGTTAAACATACAATTTATCCAAAAACAAAACAGATGTACCCAAATGTGTAGATATAAATTAACAAAAAATTACAATTTTGATTTTTTCATCACTTGTTGTACACATTATCACACAGGACCCATTTACTGAGTATTTTGTCCTTACATTGAAAAACTTTTTCACAACAATTTTCTATGTTTCTGTAATACTTGAATAACTTTACTGCATCAATAAATAATGGCTTACTATCTTGTGATCTTGAATAGTAAATAAAATTTTTTGCAACTAATAAAAGAAAATTTTCTAAACAACTTCCTTCTATATTAACAAGTAAAACAGTTCTTTTGGATATTTTGTAATCTTTTTCAATGACACTAAACCTTTGTACAAAATGAGTCCAAAATTCAGTCACATTAATATACACAATCATAAAATAAGTGAATTATTGTCTATTGTTTATATCCTGTTTCTATGTCTTTTTGTCTTTTGTCAACTTTAACCTCCACAATAACTTTTGAACCATGAGAGATACAGACTTCATATTTAATATGCCTACTCCACTAATTAAATTCTTTCAAAAGACACCAAGGTCAATGACCTTGTGACCTTGACTGTGACATATATGCTAAAAATAGCTTTTTTTTTAACTTTCGCCTTAACTTTTGATACACTAAAGATAGAGAAATCATATTTGGAATGCCTTCTTCATTAATTATGCTCTTTCAAATGACACCAAGGCCAGTGAACTTTTGACCTTTAATGTGACTTTAATGCTATAAATACCATTTTGAACTTTCACCATACCTTTTGTACCGTTAAAGATAGAGACTTCATATTTGATTTGCATACTCCAATAATTAAGCTCTTTCAAATGACACCAAGGCCAATGACCTTGTGACCTTGACTATGACCTATATGCTTAAAAAAACTTGTTTGAATTTGTTGCCGCCTGGTGCATAGTGTTTCACAAACACATCTTGTTTTGAAGTAGTTTTAATATTTGAATTTCTGTAGAATTTTATGTTACATATAAAAACCAAAAATTTTTAAAATCAAAATCAATTTTATTTCAGTACTTTGTGACAGTGGGATGATGGAATATTAAAGAATGGACATGGCTCTATATTACTACATCAGAGATCAATCCAGGTTTACTTATAAATCAAAGAAAAACACTTAAACAGTCAAGCATCATTTGAAGCTACATGTGTCACCGCTTTAACAATATGCCTGCTTATATAACCAAGAAAGCACAGTGACCAGTTGTACCTATGATGTCGGACAAGATCCCGAAAAAACTTCCATTACACTCATCACTACCTGCAAAGAATTGAAAATTCTAAATGACTTGTATCAACACTTTTGTACTTCATCTGGCTTGTATTTTCAGTACTCATTAGCTTTTAGCTTCCTGCAAACAAAATTTCATAAGTACTAACTTGCAGGTGTAAAATATTTGAAACAATTTGCTTGTCCCAAAGGAAATTCTGCCAATTAGCAGTGGCATGAGCAGTTGAATGTCACAGTTCCACCGGCAAAGTATTTGTAGCTGAATGGTGCCATGTAAAACACTTTTCACAAGAACATGGAAAACATCCTAGAAGTGAGGATCTACAAGAAATTAAGAGAATACTTTCTTGAATATTTTCAATTTTATAAAATGCTTGTGTACATCCTTTATATATAAAACTAATTACGCATGTAACTACCATATATACAAATTAAACTTCAATCCTTAAATTTGTTCTTAAGTTTATTTATATTGTATTAAAATAAGCATGCAATATTTGTCTTGTGATACTGAAGGATTCAATGTTAAGAAAATGTCGTTCATTGAAAAAATGTGCAACCATTCTGCACAGTTAGCAATTTTCATGGAGAACCTACATGTATCAATGTGCATTTGCAATTGTTGGGATGACAGGCACACAGTAGAAGAATTGTACTTGTTAATAAATGTTTTTTACCAATCAAATTTCAAATTGATAATTTAATAAGAAAGCATATGACAAATTTAACTATCATTATGGTCCATTGATTCACCATGGTGTTTGAGCTTTTGTGGACTTGATACTTAAGAAATATTGAAGTAAAGAAAAGTGCAGCCCAAAAAATTATCCTGTACCTGATTTAAAATGAGTGCCATCCTTAACTACTTGGGAGTTGCCGCACTCTTCATGAGTATAAGAATTATTGGATATGCCTCATTAACAATTTAACAGGTCTATACTGGTACATGGATGACACATTCAGTCGAAGCATTGTCCCTTTTTCAGTACCTCCTGGATCTCTGTAAAATATGACAAATGTAGATAAAATGTTCTACCATTGAATGATGAATGTCTTATGGACCCAGTGCAGACCTGTTTGGTGACAACATTGGATAAATTGGGGATTGTTCTAGCTAAGACAAATAAGAAAATTCCTATTTCTAATGCCTATATTAAGAAAATAAAATGTCTTTCTCATAATTGTAAGAGTATTTGGGAACACGGGCACCTGAAGTATGGATAATACCCCCCCTTTTTTTTTGTTAAATTTAAAAAAAATATAAAAAAAAAAGGGGGGTATTATCCATACTTCAGGTGCCTGTGTTTGGGAAGGGGGTCATAAGGCTTTACAGTTAATATATTGATCGTACATGTATGTCGTTTAACGTCCTACAGTTAATATTGAAGTTGAATATATACATCCCTGTTTACATGAAAGAAGTAATGTTGGACGTTTTTATTTTTGGAGTATTAATTAATTAAAAAAGAACATTAATTCTATCAGGATTATGTTTAATCGACGTAGTAATCAATCCTGTATTCCTGTGATCGATGAAATTGGGTGCATGTAGGCCTATTTCGAATTTGTTTTTATTGACTTCGCATTCTATATCCCCGGCTCAGCTGTCCTGTGAGTTAAATAAATGAAATAAATATAATATGGAACCAATCTTTGGGGGACGTTTTGGTTTGAAATCCTGTTACTTTCGCTTAAAACAATAAAGCAATTAAACGTTGTTTACCTGTATCAATCGGTCCATTTTATCCTCTTCTTTTCAATAACCAGAAAACGAACGACTTAACAGACATTACTTCCTGTTTCGCTTTCGTTTTTAACGGGAGAATTAGTTATTTTATTTTAAGGGTGATTGGAAAAGAGATATCTCTTTCATTAAAAGAGATATCTCTTTAGCTTAGAAAGATATCTCTTTTTGAAAATCTAAAGAGATATCTCTCTAATTAAGAGAGATATCTCTTTTAAACTTGTTAAAGAGATATCTCTCTAACTTTAAGAGATATCTCTCTCGTTTAAAGAGATATCTCTCTAGCTTATAAAGATATCTCTCTTACTAAAAGAGATATCTCTCTTTCAAAAAGAGATATCTCTTTTGTTGAAAGAGATATCTCTCTAAAGTATTAAGATATCTCTATTAGTCAAAGAGATATCTCTATAAGCTAAAGAGATATCTCCTTAAGCTAAAGAGATATCTCTCTATGCTAGAGAGATATCTCTCATTTTGAAAGAAAAATTTATTTTACGAATAAATAGTAAAAGGGCTTGCCATACAAATGCTTTTCATTATGAAATGATCTAAATGAAAATAATTACCTGCGCGATGAAATCGATACTTAACGTTTTTTACAAAATCTTCAAGGGTTGACATTTTAAATTCTCTGTAGATTTTGCAAAATGATCTTTTCGTGTTGAAACAAAAGTTCTGTTAAATATCGGATTTTTGTTTCTGTGTATTCATGATTCCTTTCGCAATAAATGAAGCGCATCACCAGGTCCTTTACTTTAATTTGCAACGAAGAACTGTGTCAAATTAGTAACCACTTTGAAATACAGAAGATTGGGCATAATGAAGAATGTGGTTCCAATGTAAAGGAATAGGATGAGGACTTTCTTTTTATCAGTTGCTTTAGTCGTTTTATTCATCGATAATGGTATTTTTTTTCATTTAAAAAAAAAATCAAAGAAAAAAATATTTTTTTTCATTTTTTAATATTTATACTAGACATGTAATTGAATTCAGTTTTGTCTAGAAATTAAGAAAATTTTATCTTCCAGGAGGCAGTGCATGTACTTTTCCAGTCAGTGGAACATGGCATAGCAGTAACTATGGCAGCATGGTATTTTCCGGTTCATCTCTTTACCTTTCCGGTTTTACGTTTGATCGGACGTCAATCGTTGGGAGCGGCTGGGAGTGCTTCTCCAATACTGGGACCCAATATGTTGCCAAGTAACTTAGATGACTATATACAACTTATGTGTCAAAATCAACAATACATAGGGGATTTGCCATTCTACTATAATATGCTTTTTTTTTAAATTTCAGAACTAATATGACGATTACTCTGAATACTGGCGGGACAGCACACTATGCATACACCTGTTTTGTATTTACCTCGGTGAATACATATTCCTATTACTATTATCAAAATACTCGTAAGTAGCTTCTAGAAAACTACTTGAGCTGTTATGCCGTACATGTAAAGAACTATGATTAATTTTCCAAGTATCAATTTTAGCTGTAGAGAGTTTGCTAAAGAATGAGAGAATAGTGGCGTACCCAACAGGAACAACCGTCACTTCCAGTAACGTCTGCAGCAGTGCGCCGTCAGCAGCCGAGTTTAATGTAATGGTCCAGAATGGTATGTCAAGAATGATACAGAAATAGAATATTAACGACTTCAAAGAAACATGCATTTATCTGGCATCCAAAATTGAAATGCCTGAAAGTTCGACCGATTTAAAACACTTTTGGCAATGGTTTCAGGACAAGAGGCAAACGCCAAAACCAATATTGGAGAGGTGATGTTCGCTAACTTCCACTATAAGTACAACGACGGTGTATCGGATAAGTGTGGGACGGGGGCCACAGAGAGCTTGCTGACCATCTGCACGGACAGACAGACGCTTACCTTTGACTACACCGTCTGTAGCGACAACATGATGTATTCCAGTAATTTTGGATTTTCAACATTTATCTCCTCTTACTTGATTCGGTTACATACAATTTCAACCGAGGCGACATTTCTAACTTTACATCTGTACTTGAACTTGACTATTTAACACCTTTTTCAATTCAGCTTCGATTGTTGAAATAAAAATAAGTGCCTGTACATCATTTAGTATATAAATCTGTAAGAAATAACTTTTCTCCTATGTTGAAATAAAAATAAGTGTCTGTACATCATTTAGTATATAAATCTGTAAGAAATAACTTTTCTCCTGTCTTAGGTGGAGGTGTATTAGGATCAGTAGCCACTGTCGAATCAGGTTCCACATACTATACCACTGTGTACAACTATGACAGTACAGTGGATGATGTCAACACGTTCAGATTCACCTGCATTGTAAGCCAATTCAAGCATGTCTATCATCCTTGTTTGAACACAATTATTTTGTGGTCTTTTACTGGTTTTTCTCCACTTCTTTCCAAATGTGATTTCTTTACTGTGGGATTTCTTTTAATTGAAATAAAGAACTCGAAACCCTTCGCTTATCCACTTAGTATATTCATGCTGTCTTTCTATTATTTAACAGCTTTATATTTTGGTATCTGGAAATTTTAAGATGTTTTTTATGATTTAGGCAGCAGCCATTTCTGGGACTCAGGTGAGCGCCACTATAAATCCTAAATCCTGTATAGCCAATCAGAGCCCAACATCTCGACCAACCAGCGGAGGGATATTTACCCTTGTGGCAAACAGTAAGAATATTTTTTAAAGTTTCTGAAAAAGTGAAATACTTATTTTGTTGTGTTTTGAAGATTAATTCGACTTTTGGTAATCATTGTACAGCTACTTGTGGTAAGTATTTAGCAGATATACAAATATAATAATCACACAAACATTGATTTGTATGCAATGTATAGTCTTCGGATGTAGTTATCATTATGACACCAGTCTGGAGAAGGGAATGCTTTTTACCAATGCAACAAATATTTATGTTTTTAGTTGATAGTTATTTTTAAAACAAACTTTGGTAGAAAAAATCCTTTACTTTTATTTTTTTCCAAAAGATTTTACTGAACTTTAATTTCTCAGTATGTTCTGCAGATTTTTCTGGCACTAAAGCACAAACATTGATCTGTACGTGTATGTGACACTTTTATTTCACTGTGTGTGTAAGTGTGGGTGTGTGTGTTTTGGTTTTGGTGTTTTTGCAAAATGGTAGCTTTTTGAAGTCAAGTAGGAGGTCGCTTAACACCAGAAAAAAATTTACATTCATTTTTCCTTGCTAACATTCTGTAAGGCAACATCTTGAATTTTTAAAACACTGTGCTTCGAGCTTTACTGAATTTTGAAATAGAATACCCCTTATTTTGAAGAATTTTGACCTTCTACAAAAGTCTTCAAAAATGACTGCATTGTAATTTTAATCATACAACTTTTGTCAGAACAAAAACGTGAGTTAAAAGCAGTTAGAAAAAATGTATATTTGAATTTTCAAAGGTTGGACTTGGAACAAATACTTGCTCTTTAAAATCAAATTTAAAAAAAGAGGTAAAAATTTCAAGATGGTTGCGCGCCCTTTTCCGGACCTCCTATTTTGATTTCAGAGATTACAACTACTACCACTACAACAACCACTACCACCACCACCACCACTACCACTCCTACCACCACCACCACCATAACTACCACCACCACCCAAACCACCACCACTAACCTGACATCCACGCTTTCCAACATTCCAGCTCTCACCGCCACTGTCGATAATGTCGATGTCGCAGGAATTATCGGAGGAATCGTCGGAGGTGTTCTCTTCATTGTCATCGTCGTTATCGTCATCCTCTTGTGTATTCGTCATCACAAAATAAAGCGAGCCAAGAAAGAGGTGATAGATCGACGAATGAGGGTGTGGAAAATCAAAAGCAATGAAGACGGTAAGGGACATTTTATTACAGATGATTTCGAACTATGTATAACTGTATTTAATTTTGCAAATACATTTGATGTTTTTTTTCCAGATTTCTATGCAGACGATGTTCCTTTAAATGAAACTTCAATGAATCTGGATTGTACCAAATCAAGTTATCCAGAACAGTCACCGTCAAAAACAACAAAAGTGTTTCAGAAGAAACAGAAAGGTCCAGATTCGAGTACGTATGAAAAATGTGTTAAATGACTTCATAGACAGGGAAGGAAAACCGGTTATTAGTGTATTAGTTTTTTTTATAATAAATTTGTTCTAGTCTGTATTCATATCAATTTCGTGAGTATATTGATTTGGCTTATCTCAATCAGACTGATTTTATTGAAGGTTCCTACATTATACAAGATGGTAATTTGGAAGATGAAATTAGGAACCCCATGGGTGAAAAATCCTTTCAAGTTGAGACCCATAGAAATAAAGACAAGATTCAAAAAGGTTTACCATTTTCAAGACCACGTACTGAACACATGCCGTGGCGGACTGGGAAACGCGCTGAAAAGAAGGGCTTTTCCTCTGAAAGAGGCTATCCATCCATGTCCAGATTTGGTTCTTTAAGCACCAGGAGCTACACAACGCTAAAAACATTGCCAGACGATTCGTCATCTGGATTTGGATCCATGTATGACAAAGACAGCATTTACACTAGATCTGGAACGAATCTCAATCGAAGTCTTACCGCTGCAGGTAACCGGTTTAAATCAGACTCGAACATTTATGCCAAAGCTAGATCACTCACGGAGAGAAGTATGGCAAGAGAATTAACGGCGATAAAAGAAACGCCCCTCAAGGAAACGCCAAATTACATGAAACCAACGAGATCTAGAACTGCAATGTCTATCTACAATGAACGTGCCAAATCTCAACACAGTACATTTCGCAACGATGAGACAAAGTCTCGTGTTTTGAAGTCTCGTGTGTCTCAAAGGAAAGACACCCAATCGCGAATCACCAAAGTAAGCCACAAGACACTTTCGCCAAAAGAGAGAGTCATGGCGCGAGCAAAGTCGAAAATGATTTTCAAAGAAAAAACTAAAACATGGAGAATCACGGAAAAGCATATGCCAAACCCCAAACCTGTGGATGAGAGATCATTTGTCGATTCGCTCAGGAGTAATCCTCCCTCTATTACAAAGAAGAAGAAAAAGCCCAAGAAGGTGATTGTGAAGAAGTTAAAAACGCCATATGGTGTTGTTCTTGTTGATTCCTCTCAAAAAAGAACGGTTTCTATGATGTCCCTAAACCAATTAGCAGGTCTGGTGAAGAAACGAAAAACACCTTCTCGTTCGCAAGTGGATATCGTATATAAAGAAAAGGCTAGAGAAACAACGGTTGTAAAGGATTCTGTGAAAGAAAACGGTAATGATTTCACTTTTTAAAACTTTACTTCAAAGAATTTTAGTTTTAAAAAATTAACCATTACCATATTAATAATTACTTAGAGTCATGTTCTTTAACATTTCCAACATCCTATAAGTCATCTAATTTTAAACAGATGTAAAAAGTGAAACTAGTTCCCAAAAAGGCGGGAGAGAATTCATGGAGTCGGAACACACGTGGATAGTCTCCGAACCAAAGACGGGGCAACCACCAGAAGTCGAACCTACGACCAACACAAAGACGGATAAAGTGGACACTAAATGTAACAGAGTAGGATCTGATGGTCAGTGAATAGAACAAAACTAATCCATTTCATTTGTAAACTTTTGTAACAGTGTCAATTCAAGTAAATGTGTGTAGTTTATCGTAATCTTCCACCTTCATATTGGAGACAGTGGTTAATGGGACATTTTTAAAAGCTCCCTCCATTTTTTACAATACAGCTTGATTGTTAATAAGTTTCCTTTTTTTTGTTTAGATTCTGGATTTTCTGACAACCACACGCCGCCAGCTGACAAACACCGCCAGTCTGAAGAACTAGAACTTATCAACATCCTTCCTCCTACCAGGCCGCCCAAGTTCTTTAAAAATATCGCAGACCGCGCGAAAACGGCAAAATCCAGAAAACCCACATGGAAATGACGAACAATGATAATTAGTACACTGTTTAATATATTTGATAGAATTAATTAATTGCTGATATGTCATTGATGGATTTTTTTGTTGGAAGAAATATGTTTTCTAACTCAACACATGATGCTGAATACCGATACATGTACCCGGTATTTCTTCTGTCTACTTGTGCGTTGACTTTGTTGAATGATTTTGTACTTTGGAATATTGATCGTTACCTGATTTGATCAAGTTTATTTTTGTTTCACTATGTTAACAGATTATTTAGCGTTGCACTGCCTTTTGATTAAGTTTGTTTAATGACTTTATTTACAGTTAACAGATTATATAACTGTTAAATTCGTTATCCAAAGGCCGAGTATGTAATGCTTCAGAGCAGTTATTAAAACAAAAGAACAGACATTTAATTTAAATCTGATATTTAATCTGTGTTTAATGCACCAATGGGCATCATTTGTTTTCACTGAACTCAAAATAAAGGACAGAAAGAAATACTACGCCTTTCAGTCACTATCAACAGACATTTACCATTTACAACAAATCGAGCAGAAAAATACTGATTTTATTGTGCAAAGATCAATACAGAAAAAAAATCAAAAACTAGCAAACAATGATATATATTAAATAGTAAAAGATATTTTAAAACATGTGTGTCTATACATATGTACACACTAAATGAATCATCAATTGAAAATGAATCCACACAAAAGTATGACGTAAAAACGGAATCTAAATTAAATATAACCATACAGGACGGATGTAAAACTGAGATACGATTGTAAATATAAAAATTTTAAGAAAAAATCAACTTTAAATAAATAAACATTTCTTTCATTTAAACTGAGTTTTTTTTTTTCGTATTAAAAGATGCAAATCAATAAACAAAATACATGAAACATACAAGTAATAATATAATTATATTTGCAAAACAGGAATTTGTAAATAACCCATGTGAAAATATGCACAAAATACTATGCAAGTGCTCAGAAGACGTTATTAAAATTGTTATCGTATCATACACAATCTGCCAAAGAAGTCCTACTTTCAACCTTGTAAAAGTCAACAATATATCACAGAAATATTGTCACGAAGCAAAAACTCTATCATTATAGTTTCAAAGCTCAATGATTTTCCTCTAATAAAATGAAGATATCTGTACTATCTTGAACTATTTTCATATCAGACCAATATACCATTCAATGACTAGATAATGCACTGTGAGTCTTCAAGTTCTTATTTATTTAGAGAGCTATATTGGTTAAACCGTCCAAGACAGCAACACCAAAATTATACATGTCGACCAAAATTATACATGACTGTATAGCTATAAACATAGTGTATACACTATACGTGTACAGCTAAGAATGAAAGCTGGTCAATAATAATCGAGACGTTTGTCAGTTTCCAATACTAAATGTAATATTTGAACATCAGAAGTTGACCATTGATTTGAATTAAAGTGAAAAGTTATACAAAAAAAAACTACCTAGTACCTATGAAAACAAACAAGTGTACATTTTTATTACGCGGTAAAACTCCCTGTGTTTGTACAAAATCATCTCCATATATATCATTAATATTTTACGAACAAAATCCCATAGATATCTGAATAAATTTCTCAGACCTGATACTAAGAATATGTTGCATTCACTCTCTAAGAATGGAGGTAGTGACACCAACATAACCAGAAATCTCTGAAAAGACTGTAGCTCTACTAGTTTTTATGTATAATAGAGCAAGAGAAACCTTGATAACACTCATTTGCTTACATTTAAGGAAATAAGTACATTGTATCTTGTTGTTTTCTTAAATTATACATTAATATGTAGAAATCAATGCCCATGTATCAAAATTGCTTTATGGAAAGCATTTCAAAAGACCATCACAACATTATGTTTCAGATTAGTAGAGCTAAAATAAATGATTTTTGAATTTTTGAAAGAAAGAAATTAATAAAGTCACATCAAATTAATTCTCTGGTTCTCAGGCCAATCTTTTATTTAAAAAAATAGGGGGAAGGAAGGCTTTCCCACCAAGACTAGCAATTGGGGGAAAGGGACAGGTGATTGAACAATGGTAAGGAATAAGAGAAAGGTGATTTAACAATGACTACTGAGAAAGAGGAAACAGGCAACTAAACAGAGTGACTACTGAGGAAGGATTACTGCAGATACAACAGTTGGTGGAGACTGACCATTGAGAAGCAGTTACTGGTAATGGGAACATGGCTGGATTAGCCACGTTGTGATTGACTGATTGTACACCAAAAGTGCATCATAAGTTTACCTTGGACACTTGCCATAGCAACCATAACCAAAAGAATGAGTATGCAACATGGTTTATATGTGCTACGAATGCATGACTTTTTGTTTGACTGAAAGTCAAAAAACCTTATCAGCAAGTTCTGAAATTCATCTGAACTTCATAAAGTTTTGGTATATAGGGATCTGGGTGCCTAAAGAGTTCAACGGGAAAAACATTAAAAGTTTAATTCACAAGAAAATAATGTGTTTGTGACTTTTGAAGAAAGAATGCAAGTTAGAAACAGTAAAAGTTGCAGTTTCTCTGTGGGTATGTGCAAGAAGCAGAGGGAATGCAGGGAGATGGACAGATAGATGACCCAGATTTAAGATCTTCAGACAGGTTTTGGGTGACATTGCCTCCACTTTGCTCCACATTACTAATATCGATTGGATTGAAACTTAAAAAAAATTGCAATGGGACTACCTCAAAACAAATACATATTGGCCCAAGAATGATAAATTTAATTTCATGTGGCCCTTATTTTTTTTTTAAATCCATTATGACAGATGGGAACAAGGCTTTATGACTAACTTATATATCTTAATAAAATCATGAACATATAATAAATATATATGGTTTGTTAAGGGGCAAGCTATTAAGATGTGTTATTTTGAGAATGAAGTTTTACTCTGATAGGGATGAAAAATATTGAACATTGGCGTGGTGGAAATAGGTATTCGTTTGGAATGTTGGCAAAGTGGACATTTTTGAAGGAAATAATGACTACAGTGTTTTATACATTAAAATTTTGTTGATCAAAAATCGCATGATGTCTGATTTACTTTCATTATTTTTGACAATATTTTAAATAAATCAATATTAAATCTGGAGAAAAAAAAATTGTACAACGTTTAAAAAAGGGGATCTACAAAAAGATTCAATACAGAATTTTCTGTAAACTATAAAAGTTTAAGCACTTAAAGCTTCTTTCATAAAATGTATACATTCACCATCACATCCTGCAGTCCTCCCTTTGTGCTGTGAATGACCCAAGTTTTCTCTTTTTAACTCGGTTTCATATCATGTCGACATATTGGACAGTTTGCATTTCTCTGTAAAAGATTTAAACATTAGTGATATTTTACAGTCCAGAAGAGTGAAAGTTAGGCTGTCTGCACAAATAAATTTGATTTCTTAACTCTCAAGTAGAAAATATATCCCTTCCCCCTTTTGGCAAAACGGTGTGTTGCTGCCAAAATTCCAGTAACTATAATTTTAAGGATAGCATCATCCTTTTCATTGACTATTGAATTCAATGTGAAATTATATTTACATTGATACTGAAATATAAATATAAATATTTCCATTTCTAATTATTTTTCTCAGTGATAACTCTTTGAAAGTTAGCGGAGTTGATTTCTTGATAACTATACCGGAATGCAAATTAGGCAGGTCGATAGGTCAGGGGCTTAGGAGGCCTAATATGAATGCAAATCTCAAGCGCATCTGTCTCTGTGTCTGACGCTAAGGAGGCCAAATATGCATGTAAATCTTGTGCGGCTGCTGTTGTGTTTGACGTCAGTGGGCGAGGACTATTGAAATTGGCATGGAAGTCCTCGTGTAATTTAAATCTATGTCTACATTTTTTAAAGTCTAAATCTACAATTTTATTTCACAGTGAAATGGAAATATAGGAATCACTGTCTAGTTAGAATAGTATGCCAGGGACATCAAGAATAGTGGGAAACATGGGATAATTTATGCATAACGGGCTTCGCCCGTTAAGCAAATTATCCAATGTTTCCCAGTATCGTTGATGCCCTGGCATACAATACAAACTAGACAGTGATATTCCTTAAATGTTTTAAATAACACTTATTTTGAGACTATAAGTACAATGAGATTGGTTAGTTGTTCATCCTGCATTTGCTTTGTATGACTGTATTATTTCCAACATCTGTTTGAATGCAGGTTCATCATAATGATTAGAGTTTCAGTTTCAACCTTTTTGATTTGGATTATGGTGGAAAAGGATAGTTCTGTCATTTCTGACTTTTATTATAGTTTTATCCATTTTGGATGTAATATCTTTGTCAGCAGTATAGTTTTTTTTTTTGTTAGGTCATAGTAAAGAAAGGACTCTTAATTCATACAATTACATTGTACAGTTGTTGGCAATTTTTGATTATGAAAACTACAGTAAAACTTGGTTAGTATGAACACGGATATTGCGAATTCACGGATATAGCGAAGTTATCATGGACCCCCAGCTGTATAAATTTAACGATTTTCATATGCGGATATAACGAATTACGGATTTAGCGAAGTAAATTCATAGGTCCCAGTGACTTCGTTATAACCGAATTTTACTGTATAATCCATTTTTTAGAAATGCTTCTCAGGATATTGAGAAAATGAGATCTTCCTACATCTACAGTAGTTTGACCTTTGACCTTGAGACCTCAAAATGTATAGGATTCATCCACTCTACAAGGGGTGCCAATGCACTAAATTCGATTTCCGTCAAGGGTTTACAGTCAACTCATACACAAACCGTCTCGTACACAAACCGAGTCGTACACAAAAAGTCAAATCGTACACAAATCAAAAGTCAACTCATACACAAATCAAAAGTCAACTCGTACACAAACTAATGTCATTTGTAATTTTTCCCTATGTGATTTAATGTATAGTTTTCCTTGTTAAAAAATTGAGGATGAAATTACACAAAGGGTTTATATATTGTACATGTTAATCTTTTTTATGCCGCTGATTTTACCTATATCTTATGCGCAGATTGGTTTTTTTTCTTATTAGGCTATAAGGTTTTTTGTTGCGTAAATCTTGGGCGTCAACTCCTTCACATTTTTCGTTTAAATATATACTTACATACATAACCCAGGTGCCCTTTTTTTTATTCTGTAAATTTAATTATAAATTAAAATATCTTGTTAAACAACATAATCAGATTGATTCAATATAATTGAATTTGATTTAAACATCACCACAAGATAATATGTGAATTTTATATGTGAATTTCACATTTTAGAATTAGTCTGCAGCTTTTATGCAAGTAATGTGTGGATATAAATATATATATCTTGAAATAATTTTTTCAAAATTTTACGGCACCATAAGTGACCGTTATTCAATGTAGATAGTAAATATGATTTAAATAAAAGGTAAGAGATGACTATGGTATATCATTGCATACAATTTAAAAAAAAAACTTATCAAATTAAAAAAATAAGGTTTTTTTTTTTTTTTACTATAGACAGTTTTACAGCAGGATAAACACTTCTCTCACACCATGGGGAAGATAAATAACATACTTCATAGCATTTTGTAATTAGCGTTTGTCGCAAATCAAACGAAACCGCCGCGCTTGTGTTAGTTTAACAATAATTGTTTATACACATGTATTCCCAATAAGAGAAGCCACGGTCGATTTCAAATGTTATGAAACCACTGAAGTATTCCTGAAAAAATCTAAAAATTTAACACTTCTCCTTGTCCTTATTTCATTTTTCTAGATTATACATTATTTATATAAAGATGATTCCAAACTATTGTAAATAAAACGTTGTGTACGAGTTGACTTTTGATTTGTGTACGAGCTGACTTCTGATTTGTGTACGAGTTGACTTTTTGTGTACGACTCGGTTTGTGTACGAGACGGTTTGTGTACGAGTTGACTGGACACCCCGTCAAGCAGAGGGTTCAAATTGTTGAGCAGACATCACTTGATCTACTGACCACCCCACTCACAATTATGTGCAAACAACATGTGGACACACTAAATAGGAAATTTTTCCAGGTAATTTGGTTTCCCTTTTTTGCATATGAAATTAACGAACTATATATATTTTTTAAACAAAATAATTACCTTCAACCATTCTTTGACACAAGCAGCATGGTAGTCATGTTTACACGGTAGAGTACAGAGTTTATCCCCACTTTTGTATGAAGATAGACACACTCTACACCCTGGTCCTTCGTGATCCTCGGTGTAGATCTGTGTTTTAGAGGTGTACGTCTTCACAGGCAGCGCCTTAATTTCCTTCTCCTCCATCCCACGATTCTTCACTTCACCAATTCTCTCAGCCAGTTCCCATAGAGACTAAAAGAATGATAGATTCTTTGTTAACAATTGACTTTTTTTCAAATGTTGCCAGCAATTATAGTGACATGGATTGACAGATATAAATGATTTTTTAAAATAAAAGGTAAAAGAAAATGAGAAACGAAGGCTAAAATTATTATTCCTTTTACAACTTAGTATTTGCTTCAAAGATACAGATTAAGATATAGATAAATGACATACTTCATAATCATTAGGATCCACATCATCAGGAACAAGTAACTCTGGCCTGCGTCCCATCAGGAAGAGAATCAACAACATTGGATCCCTCTACAGATAAAGTAAATATCCTTACAAAACTCAGCTAATAATTACAGGATCTGTGATTCATGCATCACCATCTTTGATTGTTCCACTGAGCTATACATTTTTTTAACAAATTCGGTAAAATATATAGATTACAATTCAATTCCTCTGAAACTTGCTGAATTTTCTTACCATTATATGTATAAAGCGATCCTCAGCATTGGCGTTGCTCTGCCTTCCGTTAAGTAGCATTATCTCTGGCTCGGTCTCTCCCCTGGGGAGCTCTGGGCGATTCAGGGCCATAGACAGGGGCAGGGCTGTAAAGACAAACCACTTTTATAAGGGATATACATAGCTAGACACAGAACTGCTTGTTTTTCTCATCTTTTATTATGTATTTACTAAACATAAAACACTTTTATAATGGATCTTAATAGCAAGAAACAATTGTTTTTCTCACTTTTATAATGTATTGACTAAACATTAAACCTTTTTTATTGATATACATACATGTACATGGAAATTGAACTATAAGTTTTTCTTATCTTGATAATATATTAATTAAATATTATTAGGACTTTCAATGATAGTTCAATAAATTGCCAAAGAACAATGCTTTGATTTTAATTCATAATTTTAGAATATATACATTGCAGATATATATTTGAATCAAAACTGTAAATAATAACTTTAAAAGCTGTTAAAGTAGGAAATAAAGTCATTTGATACAGGGACACATTATCCTGGAAATCATTTAATAGCTTGGTAAATATTTGACACATTGATAAATCAATACTTTTTATAAGTTTACCCTAACATATTTAGTTCATGTCAGTGATACTAAACTCATCATGCAGAGAATCACAATGTCCTACTACTTACAAGTAGTAGGGAATGTCTCAATACTTACCACTAGGTTCCATTGATTGGAATTGTCTGAGGGGCTCCTGAGGTGAATATCTCAATACTCACTACTAGGTTCCATTGTCTGTGGGGCACCTCAGGGGGTGTCTGAGGATCTCTCATTACTTACCACTAGGTTCCATTATCTGTGGGGCACCTGAGGGGGTGTCTGAGGTATCCTGTCTCCTCGTCACTGATATCCTGCCTGCACCCCTCCCTCTCCTCGGGGCTCTGCCTCGGCTTCTCCCTCGTGTTCCCCCTTTAATGTTATTATAGGAAAATTATTTCACCTAATGGTCTCTGTTGCCTAAACTGTTTAAACTCTTTGTTAAAGCAATTGCAAAATATATGTACTAGTATGTGACTATTTGGGATATCTGAGATTAGATATTTCATTAAATGTTCCCATGTCAGCTTGTAAAATGTTCAGAATTAATTGTACAGAAACAAAGGCAATAGGCTGATTTACAAATAACATGCATGTTTTGTTTAATTCCCTTTATTTCAAGGTATTTTTATTTTTGTCTTGTTCATTAGTTGATTTACAAACATGGCATAGTTTTCAGAAAAAGAGTGAAAATGTTTGTTTTTAAAAATAATCTAGAAAAATTTTATTTTGGAAATATATAATATATTATAATTTCTAAACTGTTAAAAATAATACTGCTGGATATTTTTTCTAACTTTACAAACTCTACAAATCAGCTCTGTATAAATTGAATGGAATATAAAATTACAAAAAAATTTCATTTCCCCTGAGTTACCTCTTCGAGTGGGAGTCACAGAGGGGGCAGGTGTGACCACCACGTCAGTTTCCGTTGGTCTCATGCCGTGAACAGATCTCCTGGCGGTGGTTGTCCCCCTCCCTCCTCTCCCCCTCTGACCCCGGGGGACTGGTACTACGGGGGAGGCATTAGGGGAGTTTTCCTCTACCGTGGTGTCTGTATCAGAGTCTGAATCATCTTCTTCACTCTCCTTGTAATTGACACCAGAAATCTGAACTTTGAACTTTAATATCTAATATCATGTACAGTTAAACTTGTCCGTTCCAGATGTTGTCTATTCCACATTTTAATTGATAATCAAAGCAATGAATTTGGTATTTTTAAAATTGTTCACAAACATATAAAATGATTTTAAGAGAGGCTGTCTAGTTTATACGAAAGAACACTTACAGACAAAGCATTTGTCTGATTCTGTCTTTGACCACCCCTGCTGCTTGCATGGACAACTAAATCTGCGAACAGTTGTGTTATGGGGGTCATGGATCTGAGAGGGGGTGCTGGAGGTGGGTGTGCCTCTTCCCCCCTCAGCCTCATCACAGGTCCAGGCATAACGTTTATGTGTCTGTGCATTCTTCTGGCTAATTGTTCATCCTCCTAAAAGAAAATTAATAATTTATATAGCTACAAATGGTAGTTTTATTGTACTTGTATCAATATAAACCTTGCATAAAACATAGGCAATAATTCTCTACTTGTAACATTTTGAAGTGAATTTAATGTGTATATTTATACTATTACAATACAACAGCATAAGGGTCATCTCTTCATTAATAATAGCAGGTTACTACAGGAACATTTTTATATTTATGTGTTTATTACAGAGTCTCTGTTGATTAAATACATAGCAAAGGAAGAGAAAAGTACTACACACCTAAATAAAGCTGCTCTTTATGTTCGTTTTCTTGCATGCCACATTATATTATAACCAGACTAAAACTGTTAAGCATTTTGAGAGTATTTAACAGAAATGTCTATTTTTAGTAACCACGGCAAAACCGTTCATCGAAATTAAATACCGGTACACAGAATTATGTATCTGGTAGTCTACGTGTGCCAAGTTATATTGAAATTAGACTCTGTAGGCCTTGTCCACTAGCCATGGCGCAGCAACAGAATTCTTAGTGTAGTCTCTTGTGTGCCAAGTTATCTTGAAATTAGACCAAAACTGTAGAAGGAGTAGTATTTTGAGAATTTCAATTTCTAACATGTCATATAGTCTGTTAGGATAGAAAACAATTATAGTCATGTCAAGTATTTTTTTATTTCATGATGACCGAACACCTTTACAGTGTGCCAAGTTTATTGAAATCATGTAGGAGGAGTAGCATTTTGAAAAATTGTTTACAGACAGACAGACGGACAGACAGACAGACAGACAGACAGACAGACGGACGGACGACGGACGCATTACCATCGCATATTGTTTTATTGACTTAACATTAAAAAATAAAAACCTGTGTCCGCAAGAAATAAAAATGCGATGGAGCTGTTATAAAATTGGCAATGTTATATACTTTTCTTTTCTTAAGAGATATATGAATATGAATTCTGATTAATAAAAATGTTGCTATATATAGCTTTTGACATATATTGTTTATCAAAGGATCGGAAAATTCTAAACTGAAAACCGTTTTTGTGATAACAAATCAATTAATGTATTTGTACCAATATTTTGTTATATAAAATGGTAGGCACCAACGTGGTTACACATTGTTTACAAAGTGTACACACGTCATCCAGGAATCTCTTTAATAATATACACACACAGAGATTAATTTTTTCTTAAAAGGAAATTGACATACAGCCATTTCTTGTTGATATAGTATTATCAAAGGGGGGAATGACCTAAATATTCTCTATTATCAAACATGTAAACACGTTTGTATTTTTTATTTGCTCCGGAAGTGGACGTTATTTTTGATTTCTTTATAATGTGTTGTATCTGGCGGGAGTGTGAGCTTAAAACAGTAATATATCTTATTAATAGGATGTATAAATATTAATAACAGGTTACTACAGGAACATTTTTATATTTATGCTGATTACAGAGTCAATAGATTAAATACATCACTACACACCTCTAAAGCTGCTGCGTTTTCTTCTTCCTGTAGCCGTCTGGCATAATCTTCATCCTTGGAAACACTGACTGGTCTCGGTGCTCGATTACTCGGGCCTTGTCCACTAGCCATCCCTTAAAATCAAATTTTAGTCTGTTAGGATAGAAAACAATTATAGTCATGTCAAGTATTTTTTATTTCATGATGACAAACCTTTACAGTTTTTAAAACATCGCATATTGTTTTATTGACTTAACATTAAAAAATAAAAACCGTAGAAAGAAATAAAAATGCTAATAAAATGGCAATGTTATATACTGTTAGAGATAATTCGAGATTCTGTTTAAATGTGCTTGCTTTTGACATATATTGTTTATCAAAGGATCGAACGAATCTGATGTGATAACAAATCAATTAAGTACCTTACCAATATTTTGTTACACCAACGTGGTTAATCTCGTTCTCTGGAATCTCTTCAGCAAAGTTCAGGTGACATACAGCCATTTCTCAAAGGGGGGTAAATCTCCAATGTAAACACGTTTGTAGCTCCGGAAGTGGCATAATGTGTATTGGCGGGAGTTTTAAAATACTTATGGATGTATAAAAATGAAGGGGAGGGGGGTGTTCAGTGGAAAGTCGTCATCTTTTTGTGTTCTTGCAATCCCTTAAAATCAAATTTTTCTATGCGAGAGATGTGAACCCAGTTTTACAAAAGAGCAAGTTAATTTACGATGCACATGGCGCAGTGGTTAGAGCACGTGAAGAGTCGTGAAGATCCTTACGTCGCGGGTTCGAATCTCAGTGCGGGACGTGAATACCTGCCCTTTAGATGAGACCGCATAAACCATGTCGCAGTAGGGGCTGGCACGAAAAACAATCTTTTTGCAGGTCTTCACCCAGGCGTGAATCGAGGATTTTTTTTCCGGGGGGCGGGGTGGTTCCACCCAAGTCAAAAAAAAATTCAAACACAGATATTTTCTTACAAGCAAGTCGGGGGAGGTGGTGGAGTTGTAGTCGTTCACTTCTTAATCTTCATACCTATGACTTTTCAGACAAATTTTATACATATATATCTGTTTTCCGGGGTGGGGGTGGGGGGATTCCAAGGTCACTTTTAGTTGCCTTATTATTTTACATTTAATAACTCTGCTAATTCCAGGGGGTCCGGAACTCCACCCCCAACCCCCACCCACCCCCGGCCCCCTCTAGATCCGCGCATGCCACCGGCAAGAGTTGGCGTCTCCTTCTGAGAGAAAAATTCTCAATAGTGGCATTAAACAACATACAAACAAACAAACAATGTTGATCCTCCATCTAAGGGAATACGGACTGTAAGGTATGAATTTTTCACTTGACCTAATTTTGACTAAAAATTCCAAACGGGATTTTCTTTAAGTCACAACAAGTTATGATATAAAATTTCATTTTTAAATTTAAGATCAAGCAGTAAAATTTTACTTCATTAAAGATCAAGGAATAAAGTTACCACTATTTTTTCAGCATAGTTTGAATATCTATACCCTAAGGTCTTAAATTAGTATTGTACATGTACAGGACGAAATAAGACATTCCAGGAAAAAATGTCATAAGATTTCTGGCTTTTTCGTTTATGGACCACCAAATGATTTGGCTAAAGAAGAATGATAGAGTTGCAGACAGACGAACAGTCAGCTAGACAGACCGACAGACGGCAGCTGGACTATGATAACAACTCACGTTACAACACATCCGGACTTTCTTTCGAAAATACTGGTATAAAAACGAAAAAAAAAATTATTTCATGTAAGACGTTTTTAATAACACAACAATTATCCCACCACCGATGTCACAGAGGTTTGGGGAGAGTAGTAACAAAAATGAAGTCTTATATTATCATCGCCGTCCTCATAAGGATGGTCTCCGGACCGACTGTCCTGATTGTGTACATCCTCCGTATCCCACAGAATGGTTTCCTCTCTTATTGTCATCCCAATGACCTCCTGACATCCTCGCTTATGACGTAACAAGATAAAGGGCTTGTCTCTTGGCAAAACGATTTCTTCCGTTGGAAGCCCGTCACTCCTGTTGTTGAAAAAAAATAATATACGGTTCACACAGAGAACATGAATTTACTGCGAGCAAATTTCATACGGCATCGTCACACTTTCGGTATTGCCTCTCAAGATTGGTTCCGCGAGAGTTTGAATCGAACACTATCGTTGACAGTTAACAGATGTTTAGATTCATCAAGTATATTAAACAATTCTATGCTATGATTTACGACCGTGAATTATAGCTTATGACGATTAACTAAAATTTACAAAGATGTATCGCCGTTTATCTCTCAAAGCTACATTTTGCATATTAAAATATAGTTTATACTACATATATCCTGTCCACATTGAATGATTTTGTAAAACTGTGAGCTTGACCTCAAAGTTATTCACCTGCAGCAGTAGTCTATCTGAGTATTGCCATCAAACCTTCCGTCAGGTAGAGTTCCATTCTGCTGATTTCTGTCTCCGGGGTCTTCGTCATCCCACCCTATGGAACCATAGGAAAAGCCTGGGTAAAGAAAATCATAATTATAAAGATAAAGAGAATGATGGTCCGACTTCTGCATCACAAAGCTGTTTCTTTTTATCATTAGATGAAATATGAAGATAAGAAACATTATTATATACCCATCAATTTCCTTGTTTTTGTTACTGTTAATTTTACAGAGTTTGATCCGAAATTTTCTGAAATATCTCTGAAACTGATGACGTAGTACGCAAAAACATGACGTTATTTTTCTTGCGCGTTAAAAAGTCATAAATATTACACAATTGATCTCTAAAGTTTTATTCTGCTATGTTTAGCTAGTTATAAGGGGGTATATAATAAATTTATCATTATAACAGTAACCTGTCTCGTTGACAGGCGCGGATCATCAGATCAAAATCGACGCTTTGAAATGATCCGCGCCTGTCAGAGGTGAGATCAAGTTACTGTTATAATAATATATATGTATCTAAAGTCCACAATACAGATTGCGAGCAGAGCAAGCACATGAAACATGAACTTTGAAACATCAGAGACGGGATCAGGAGCCTTAGAGGAGTAAGCCTCCCGTGTCGACTAGTCAAATCTTACGTGTCATGTTCTCTTTGTTTGAATTTTAAGAAAATCATATATCATTTCAGCAAAAATAAAGTGTACGAGTTGTAATAAACACAAATTGATGTCATACCATCCGGACATTTGCCATATTTTAGGATACAGTAATCTCCCTTTGGCCAATTCATGTCAAAATCGGAGACATGTGAGGTTCCTTTAATGCAGAAGACTTGGGCGATTCTTTTGTCATTCTTCTCACCTAAAATTGATACTTAGTTTTCTGAAAACAACACTCAAAAGTAAACCATTTCGACTTTAAATTCTTATACATGTATGGTATAAAATTAACAGAGTATTCCTCCTTGCTATGCACCTAAAAGTTTCAGCATTTAAGTATGGTGTCGTAGTTTGGTAAATGTAAGTATAATTCCACTGTCTGTTTGATAATTTTGTCTAACTTTTATTAATACAACTGGAGTAAATAATTGAAATCAAAGATAAATATATTTTTTATATGTTAATTTACACGTACATGATTTAATTATGAAAATCATTGGTTCTACAAAACTTTTTCGTTTGATTTGAAAGGACAATGTCTTCATAGGTTTATTTTCAAATTATTCATATTCATGAAGTAGCAACATTGTTGAAATAAAGACCTTTGACTTGATTACATAGATCGATACACATTGACCTGATCACATAGATCGATACACCGAGAATCGAACATTTCTTGTGCGGATCAAAGGATCCAATTCAAAGCAGAATGGTGTAAAGGGAAAAGCAAAGTTACCATATACGTGAATATCTGACGTCCATGAATTGTGGTTATGATAATCTTCCGTGTCTTGTATGATGTAACCAGTGTGCCAAGAAAAGGAGTGTTCGGAAGGACAACCGGAAGTGGTCATCACTAATCCGTATGTCCCTTTTGGCCACGTGACGGGGATAATCAGTTTAGGGTCTTAAAATTGAAAAATCAAATTCAATGTTAGTAAGCAACAATGACACATGTATTTATTTGAAAAAAAATCTTCTTGAATGTCTTTTATCACAAAGAAGACCTGCTAGTTACAGAATATTATGAATGCCATTTTTTCTGGCGTGCACCTATTCGTGCAATTCAGCAAATTTCATTTTTTTTGTATAGTAAAAGTAAATTATATGTACATATATGCATGTTCACAGAATATATAGAATGAATTAATTTTTACTTCAAATGTGATTTCGTGTTAATTTTATTATTTGCTCAATTGTTTTTGTAAGTTCCAGACTTAAATTTTCAAAATAGACACTATTACAAAAAGTCAGATTCAGACCTGACGACCGATCAGTCTTAAATATGCAAACATTTACAACATGGTTTTGTTCAAAGTAAAGAATTGCAATGTCAAGACTCTACAACTACATTACCTGTAGGAGTAGGAGCCATTTTATACGCTGCATAATCTTCCAATGATCGGATTAGATGTGACTTTCTTAATTGTATCCGTCCTAGATCAACAGCAGAGCAAACACCCGAAGCGACTAAATCATCAAACCTCTGCCAGTATACGGGTTGCAGCGCCTCATCAATGCTGTGTAGTTTCAGACTTATCGGTTCCGGGAGGGTTTCAGAGCCGGACTGTAAAGTATACTGATAGGTTCCGTAGTTCTGATTAAAACTACTACTTTGTTTGAATGCATCAAAATTGATTCCAAGTGATGCGGAAAATCCTAGATATGATCCTCCGACAGCCAAATTAAATCCTCCCTGAAAAACAACCAAGGAGCTGACGGGGAAACATTGCAAATGTGCAAAACCATAGCATTTTGAATGTAATTCAAAGATAATTTATTTTCAGTAACCATAACAACACTTCACGAAGTTAAAAAAAAAAATAAAGAAATAAAATTATTTTTCTCAGTGTAGTCCTCTTTCATGCCAAATTAAAGTGTATATAGCAGACCAAAACTGTAGGAGTAGGAGTTTTAACAGAATTTCACAGAAATTTCTATTCTCAGTAACCCTGGTAACATCGTTCATCAAAATCAAAAACCAGTGTACTGACCAG